ATAGATTACGGTCAGATGAGCATCCAGGGGCCCGCCTTAGGTCCATTGGTTGGGTTCGGAGGGCAGAGCCCCGGAAGCTCAGGGCTTTAGGCATTTAATTACGTCAGATGAGCATAATTATACCTTATTTGTGACACTGGCAGGTAACTAATTGGCGTGGGGTCCAGAAGCTCAGGGGTTTTAGGAATTTTATAACGGTCAGATGAGCATATTTTGATACTTTTGATATCTTTATATTTCCTTTTTTCCTTCTTTTTTTCCCTTCTCCCCCCCCTTGGATCCGCCACTGCCATGCACCCACCCGCTTCACACTAATGACAATTACAATAGGTCAGCTAGGCTTTCGTGTGTGTGTGCCCAGGTCTGCACGAGTGAGAACTCGCCAATCATCCATATCAAACTCCATCCACATGTACAACGGAATGTCTCGAAGATCCAGTGTTGTAATTCCCAAATTGGTTTAAGACGCAAGTACATGACTTGGATACCCAACCTCCTCAGTATATTTTTTTTTTATCTCACTTGTTAATTCGTTTGATCACCTGACACCTCCTCTTGCTCTGCTTTAATTACTATGTTAACTATTGTTCTGAATTAGTGTTTATAAAACAACATTCGATCCTCTGTTAATTTGTGCTAAATCATAATTATGTTAAACCTTGTTTATTGACTGTTAATGTCTACATTTTTGTCAATTCATTAGTAAATGTTGATCTGTAGGCCTATATGTTACACCAGCCAAAATAAAATATCCCGAAATGGACAATAAATACTAAATTGATTGCATGAATTGAATTGATTGATTGAAATTGAAATTATTTGTGTTTGTATGCATCTTATTAAATGTACTTAAAAATGTATAATGATGTAAAATGAAGAAATATTTGTTACTTTATTTATATGATTATGTTCTATTTTGAAAATGTAAAAATAAAAACAATGTACAATGTATGGATTTCATTGTCATTGTTTATCTATAAAGCCTAAAAATGGTGCAATGCAACATTGTAAATCACTTTTCAAAGACTTTAATTCATGAGATGGATTGAGATTAGCAACATCATTACATATTGCACATATGCTAATTAGAGGATTATGCTAATAGGGCTATTAAAAAAGTTGCCCAAGGTTGCCTAGCTGGCAACCAGGCTGAATTTACTTTAATATCCATCTAGAACACAAATCAAAAAAAAAACAACCTTGTACTTATCAAGTTTTCCAGGTCTGAAAAACTTCTACAGGACTATACCTACGACCAACAGGAAAGAATTTCACTTTTGTGAATCTTTAAATGCTACTCGTACGTGTAATACTACTACTACTATATGCTATCACTTTTATTACTAATAATAATATTGATAGTTATTATAAGCATAATGATCATTATAATAATGTATTATTATTATTATTATCATTATTATCTACACACACACACACACCCATATATATAGCCTATATATATAGCCTATATATATATTTATATCAAAAATATGAATGTATGCATGTAGGTATGATGGGTTTATGGATGACCTTGATATTATACATTCATATTTATACAAATATAATTAGGTCCTCAATACTATACATTCCGTTACAACTAGTACTAGAACTTAAAATTTCCTATGCACTCTTTTACAAGAACAAATCGGAGAGAAAACGTGTATTTCTGCGTACTTTACTAGAATCTTTATTTTTATCAAATTGTGTAGAATCTAAATGGAACTTACAAAGAAACGTAATTCTTAAAAGAGGTAAAAATCAGTTAATAGGAACACACCGACACTTTATGTGAAGAGAAAGAATCAATAAAAAAGATATGGCTAGATGCCCTTTGTCTGTGTAGCGTCCCTGTCTATGACAGAGACTTACTAAAGGCCAATAAAAGTACCTAGGGGTTCCGTGGATTCAAGTGACCTCGCCAATTTAAACATTTTTTTGGAGAAACCTCCTTCAGTTTTGCTCGTCAGACAATTTTCAAAGCGAAAAGGGAAACCTTAGCATCCTTGAATAGAGAAAGTCTCTCCAGGTGACCCACTCCTTTCCCCCACATAGGAACAGTTTTTTTTTCAATATAACCCCCCCCCCCCGACTCATTTTTCATGTTCAGATCTTTAATCTTGATTTGGCCTCTTCAAAATTTGGGGAATAGTACATGGTGGCCTAATAAAAACGGACTAGCATGCTTCCAATAATGTGGAGTCACATTCACGGAAACCACCAGAAGGAGAATCTTTTCACATGAAAAATACCAGTTTTCACAAAATTTGGTAGAAGTGTTTTCGTTTTAGGGAGAAGTTCAAATTTGTTTGTTTTCAATGAAACTGCTTTCTTAAACAATTTGTTTAATTCTATGTCTGTGTGTCGTTGACAAATGCATGCAAAATAAAAATGTGTGTGGAATGTTATGTTTGTGTGCTACCTGACATTATAATTATTACAGCTTGACCAAATCTCTGTTATAATACCATTTCTTAAACAACGCAGTCCTACGTTGTTTTCTGCAGGAAAGACTGCCAGATGAGGTAGTCAACATTGTTTTGTTAAAGGTATCTAGAAAAGAAATACTCGACCAATTTTGGTGGATTTGGTAACATTTTCCTTCTCCAAAGATTTCCCATCTCTTGTTGCCATTTGCACCATGCTACTGGAACTATGCTTGTCCGTTATTTATGGGACACCCTGTTTATAAAATGAGTCCCTAAAAAGTGACTTTTACAGAAAAGTAATAAAAAATTCATCTTACCTTAATTGGGTCACTGCGATAATTATTAAGCAACACCTTAATTGATATAACACAACAAAAATATACACCATAAACTATAATTCATTACACTATTTGATATACATATGTTTGCTACATAAAACCAATTTCCCATTAATATATAGTATACAAATTCAAGACATATTTTAAAGATTACAGACTCTGGCCTCTCTACCATACATTGATTAATTGTCATATAATAAACATATACTTACATATTATGGACCCCTAAGAAATGACTTTTATAGCAAAAATACTTAAAAATTGATCTACCTTCAATTGGGTCCCTGCAACAATTATTAAGCAACACCTTAAATGATATAACACAACAAAAATATACACCATAAACTATAATTCATTACACTATTTGATATACATATGTTTGCTACATAAAACCAATTTCCCATTAATATATAGTATACAAATTCAAGACATATATTTTTAAGATTACAGACTCGGGCCTCTCTACCATACATTGATTAATTGTCATATAATAAACATATACTTACATATTATGGACCCCTAAGAAATAGCTTTTACAGCAAAAATACTTAAAAATTTATCTCCCTTTCATTGGGTCCCAGCAATAATTATGAAATAACAAAAATATACACCATTAACTATAATTCTTTACACTATTTGATATACATATGTAAGGTAAATATAGGATTTCCCGGCCAAATTCGCGAGTTTGTCAATCAAATTAATTTGTCTTGCGTTCAAATTCGACGGTTTTAGTGCAGTCAGGTATATCTCGGGTTTATATTCCCTTTTCTAGTTTTCAAATCTATGGAATTTTCGTTAGAATCTATGTATGTTTCATTCAAATTAATGAACAATGTGCTTCTTTCGCTATTTGGTCATTCGATTTGGCGCAACACGAGTTTCTGACAACGCGACGGTGTACTTTTAGCATTCTAATTCATTTGTAGCATTTAAATTAGCACTTTGTGCACTTAAATTGATGGTCAATATACATTTCTCGTTTATTACACACTTTTCATAGCTCATTCTTTTTCTTTCAAGATTGTTTTTCATGTGTATTTCATCATATTTCATTTTCTTGCATTTATACACTTATACTTATTAGATTTATCTGATATTCATCAGCATTTAAGTTTGATTGTTAAGAAGAAAAAAATGACTTCCATCTACGGACCTGATGGTCTCAGTATATTTGTAAATGTTCATGTAAGGAAGTTGTTTGTCTTATGTTTCATCATAAATTTATCATATCATCATAATTTCATTATGGAAGAAGGGTACAATATTTTGACTGAGGTAGGGACTAGAGTCAACCATTTGAACGTGATTCATTATTTAGCCATGTCTTTAGCCATCGATCTGCTGGCGGGCAAGTAAACTATGAAACTCTTTAAGAAAAACAGAGGGTTGTGCTGGGTATAAGAGACGATGTGAATTACTTTTGTAAAATTCGGAGTCTGTAGTAAAAAGGGGCGATTAAGGGTACCCCCACCTTTTCCGGGTATATGAACATGTCCGTGCAGAAATGCCATATCCCTTGATTTCGTCCCTTCTTTACTCTATGTCTGACTACACCCCATCTGCATTGTCCTGAAAATAAATAAATGGAATAACAGCTCAGACCCCAATGGCAAATCGTGCATTTTAACTGCATTATTTAAAAACTGTAAAAGTTTGTTGCAATTCTTCCCCCGAACATTCCTAACTTGAATAAAAATATTACGAATACGAAAGACAGGTGTTAATTTGAATGATAAAAATTACGCTTCGATAAGTGAATATTAATTTGAATGCTAGTTGAGCAGTTTCTAAATTGAATGACAGATCTATGAAACCCTTTGACCAAAATCCTAAATTAAATACAAAAACTGGAAAATTGAATGATAATTGGCATTGCAAAGCCGATCTGCGCTAACTTAAATGCAAAGTAAATGAATTCGAATGACAAACACGTGCATTTGACCGGGAAATCCAATAAAACCAATTTCCCAGTAATATATTATAGTATACAAATAATTCATGTTTGTGAGTTCATTAGTGAATATGCACTGCGCACGTATTAAGTTACTATCGGACAATGGACTTGACTTGTCAAAGTCATTATCAGGCTCATAAACAGAGTGTAGTCTATATCACTGTTTATATACACGAGCTTCAAAACTTGAATAATTACATTTATAAAACGGGTCGGCAATGTGGTAATAAAGTCAAGATAAAAGCAACAAAACCAATCAAATTGCCAAGAGTCGTACAGTTATGAAGGCCATCATTTGCTTTATTGATTAATATCAAATAAGCGGGCAGTCAAACAGTTTAATACGCGTCACAGTGCATGCATCATTGTCCTTTCATTTGAAACTGCGTGTATTTTGTCACGTCTTAATAGTGTTCCCACCAGGAATACGCTTAGGCGCATCTCAGCCACTTTTTAATGGGAATATTTGTTTGCACTGTACGAGTGGTAGGAAAGTCTGATGCATGGTCATGTGTTGTCTTTTGACCAATTAAATTGCATTCTAGAACCCGTTTTATAATCATAATTATGTTATAATATCTTATTACATTCCTTGTATCGTTTGCTATCATAAAGTTATCTGTAAAATATGATTGTCTTTCAAACTGCATAATACAAATTATCCCTACAGAAAGTGAGATGTCATACCTTAACAAAATTATAATAAAGGACATTTAAACCAATAAATTCTTTTACACTTTTTATCATTCTGTAACTGTTAATGCAATAAACAAACATGGCATGAAAAGTACCATTAATTTTTTAAGATAAGTAAAATTGATTTAATTACATTAGCAAATTACACTAATAATTCTACACTGATCAAATTTACCCACATGATGTAAAGAAAAGTAATTTTCATATATAGAAAAGAAAAACACTTAATAGAATTAAATTATTCATGTCATGTTTATAATCATACACATAAATCTAAAGTGAACTGTTAAGAATAATTGGATTACCGTAATCTAGAATGGTCTTAAAGATAAAATTTATTAAAAAAATAAACCTCTGCGATCAATTCGACATCAATTTTCCATGAGCTTTTAAAATGATTCATAAAGAATAATTGAATTGATTAATCTCTCCTCATGATCGTATTTACGTAAATTTGCCATGGATGTATTATAGTAACTTGTAGAGATTAGTTTGATAAAGCATCTAGTCTGAAATCCATAAGGCCCATATTCTACTAAAATTGGGCTTTAGCTTTCGTTCAACTTATTAAAGTATAAGCTTTCCTTTGTTAAAAGTGATCTTAGACCTAGGGTTGGCTTTAACTGAATTAGTACAAATGGACCAATGTCTTTGCAATTGTTTTGACGTAAATTTGCTTTGGGCTTTATAGTGATTGGACGTATGAGTATAATTTTGTTTAACTCTCTCGAATTGTCTTATAGATGAAATCAATAAAACTTGAAACTCGAGTTTTGCCTGATGGCGAGTATGCTTCGCCACAGGTTAATCCCCAGCTAGTGATGCCATAGATAGTCCAGCGACCATTCACCTCCTGTACCAGTGGACCCCCACTATCACCCTAAATGGGGAAAAAAGGGAATGAGTGATGACAAATATATATTCTGTTTGAAGTTATATCATAGATATATAGGTACTGTTACACGACAGATTTATTTGCCTTCTGAGTTCGCTTTTGTTACTGGCTATGAGTAGAGCAAAGTGACACACCAAATGAAACTCTTTCATTTGAAGAAGTTCAAAAAAAATTACAAAATGATGATAACATTGGCCTGAAATGGTGTGACGATTACATATCTCAGTGGTGCCATGAGACTGGTTTCTTCTGAAGGGGTGGGGATAGGGGCATACAAAATGAAAATAAATTTGAGCCACAACAAAAAGGCAGATATTTGTTCTACCGGTATATCAATATTGATGCTATATACTTTCATTTGGTGCCGTATTCCTTTTGGTTCTGTATTCTTCTGCAGGCATGGCATGGTATGTATTTTTTTATCTAAAAAACTAGGGTGGACTCATCAGTTCAGTGATGTTGATTTTTTTTTTAACACCACAAAAGTTTTGATCACCATAAATTGCATTAGATATTTGTCATGGACTGTTGGTCTGCTTCGAAACAAATGGATGTAGATTATTGAAAATAACAATAAAAAAAGTTTGAAAATACATGTATGTTGTATGAAGGACAGTATGACTTACAGTGCAAGCAGACTGATATCCAGTATCGTACATAGTACAGAACATTGACGGGAAAACACGTAAGATATTTGTCAGAGGTCTCTGACATATGTTGTTTGGTATCACAGGTGCTCTGGCCTTCTGCAGATTACGAGGTGAGGGCCCTTCAAAAATGAAAGAAAAACGGTTGAAATATATTTGAATTGAGCATAGATGGTAATGCAGATAAAAGAAACCAAATAATAGAAAAACAGAAGACAAAATGTGATTGCGTCTCCAATATGCCTCTGTTACGATCATGGTTTGAATTTTGAATAGCCTATAGATACATGTTAATTGATCTTCATGACCTTTGACCCGACTATACCAAGGTATGATCACTTGTCTCCATACAGCGATACAGATTAGTTCAATACAAATGTTAAGTTCCCAGCTAAAACAGCTTTGAAATAGTTGATATGGTGATGACAAAGTTATTTAATTACATGTATACTAGACGACTTGATGACCTTGACCTTCTTAACCCATGACTTCTGAATTCTCAAATCCTGTTTTGTTTGAGATAGGAGCAACCCGGTTCCAGTAGGCAATGGGTTTACCCAAAAGATCCAATCATTTTGTTTCACTATATACCAAGTTTGAAGTTCCTCTAAAGGCTTGTTCAGATATGGCACAGTTAAATCATTTTAATTAACACTGTCATTATGTTAAAGGTGCTATGATTTTCCAATCCCCCCATTTATCTCTCCAGGCTTTAAAGACAATCTGTCCCTTTTGCAGCCAACATCAAATTCTGTAGAACTTTGCAGGAATTATGAATATGTCATGTATGTCCAATCTGTGAAATTTAAACGTAAGCAGTGTCCTAGTATTCAAATTATGCAAGGAAACCTGTTTACTTGCTAGACTTCACTGTCAGACACTATTGAGTGACTGACTGGCTTTTTTCTTCTTTGGTAATAACATACATAAAATGAGCTGAAAAGGGTACATGAGCATTTGTCTACATCATACCCACTTCTTGTAATGGCCAAAATTTAACTGATTGAATATTTGCATACGGTACAAGAGTCTGAAAATCAGACTTTTTAAGGAAACAAGTGTTATTTTTCCACAAAAAGACATTTTTAAGCCCTTCCGTTTTGAGGGAAGTTTTTCAAATGCCATTGGAATTTAACCTTTTCATCTTTTTGGCTTCCAAATAGGACATAGTAGGCCTACCTTTAAAGGGCAATCCAACATTTGTAATATGTTCATTTGTATGAAAGCATAAAAATAAGAGAAACAAAATGGTGAAAGTTAAAAATATTTGGACCAATGATAAGAGTTATGAATTTTAAATTATGAGATAACTGAATCTATGTGAATCTCAAAATTGGCTATTTGGTCAGAGCATTTTCAGGTAGCCACGGACAACTCTCACATTTATAGTGTACAAAAATATCATTGAGAAGTGCCTTCTCCCTTGGGGCAAACCTAAACGTATATTATGCTACACGTTCCTCGAACATACACCAAAGCTGGCGACAATGCTTTCCATGCATGTGCTCCTCGACTCTGGAATGATCTTCCACGTTTTGTTTGATTATCACGTTTGCTGGATGTCTTCCGAAAATGCCTCAAAACTCTCCTCTTTGACCATGATCAACAATAGATTCTTTGATATCTTTTATGTAAAGCGCTGTGAAACAACATTTAGTTTGTGAGAGTGCTATAGAAATGACTTTATTGTATTGTATTGTATTATGGACAGCATATTATTATAGGTCCTCTGAAAAGAAAAGACCCTCCCGAGTCATAATTTTGAAAAAAAATGACCCATTTTATGTGTTGAAACAAATAGGGAAAATTGTCAGCATGGGACTATATAAATTTAGCCAATTTTGTAGTGCACATATATGTAGTGATTTAAACTTCCAAAAATTACATTAGCCAGTATTCATTTTTATCTGTGATATGAACAACGTATCTCAGAAAGCTGTAGAAAGTGTGATTATAATCCTACCTCCTCTCTCGCCAAAGCTTCCCCATCCTGTAAACGTGATATAGGAACCCACTTCAGGAAGATAATCCCCTGGAGGGGGCAGACACACGGGCTGGACAGCATCCGTGAAATTGAGCGGAGTTGATAGCTTGAGGAGAGCGATATCATTTTCAAGTGAATATGAGTTATACAGCGGGTGTATAAATATCTCGGATACTTCATGGACCTGCCCTGCTGTATCATAAGTAAGCGTTCCTGCTTGAATTTGAAATGGAGAGTACCGGTAGAAGTCTTCCCTGCACAAAGAAAAACAAACATGATTCAAGGAAAAATGTTCTCAAGAGCAACTGTATACCTATTATTGTGCCTTTTAAAAATCATGTTCTGATTATAATAATAATTGGATTTAAATAGCACCTTTTCCAGAGGATAAAAAGGTGCTATCCCTTATTAGTCAATCAACAAAGTAAGAAGAATTGTAGAGGTGTGTTTTCATGCGTCTCCCAGAAGCAATAATATCACAGGCATTCCGCTGAGATTTGATGTTCAGCCTGCGATCAACATCTGACTTCCTCTTGCATCAATGTCTCTCTGCAAATCATCATCCACGTCGAGCTTCAATCAAAAATACGAATACAGTGCAAACAATTAATGCCCAAGTTACTGATCCATGTTCGAATCTAAACTGGTGCATGTACAAAGTGGCTTTGGAAGCTCATTTGGAGTAAGTGGTAACATCACACAAATGTTGCCTAGAGTGCAACAGTATAAAAAACGCTGTTATAGCTTACACGCAGTGTGCTGCAGTGAGGATCCAATCATTGGCAATGATACTTGCACCACATATAAATCGAAAACCGTTCGCGTAGAGGGCAACTTGCCATGGGGCTTCTCCCAGGATGGTAACCTCTGATCCGTGTGTGACACGATGTACGTCCAGGGCAGGGCGCAGCCCACACTCTTCTGGGAGAACTATAAATAAAGCAACGCAAAAGGAGGTTTTTTGTGAATGACTTACAGGAAACTAGACTCACACACCATCAAAGTACATTAAGCATTTTTTTTTTATTCCTTTATAACAAGTTCTCCTTTTCACTTATCATTGGACTATTATAATTATGTCAATGAACATTTTATAACTTCATTTCACGTTTTCTTGTATTTTAACAATTACAAATTAAATTGAATTGAATTGAAGTGTTCTATGTCAAATGAAATGAACATTAATCTTGATATAGTGGACATACAGTACCATTCTCTTGGTCCACTTTGCAGAAGGGGCCTGTTTTGTGAAGGGAATAATGCTTGTTAATGCGATATCATGGGACTATGAATAATTGTAATGATATCTCACTCTTTGTGAATTGCATCGCAGTATTGATCATTTGAGAAGGGTATCTATATGCTCTCATATTCCAAATGTACCCAAAGGAAAAGGTAGCTCTATTTGTATCAAATAACTTAGTCACATGTGTGCATGCATATCTCTGCATGCCCTTCAACAATTTCCAATGAAAAGTTCACATCAATCGTGCAAAAATTGTAAATATCCAAAGTCCCATATTACACTATTTACTACATAATCGTCCATTCAGGATGCCTCCTAAATTTGTCTTCAAAAGTGTAACAGCATTACTAGTATTCAGTGTAGCATTCTAAAGAACATGAATTTTTATGACTTACTAGGGTGGTTGCAATTTCTTTCATCATTTCCATCAATGCACTGTTTTTCTCCGTCACAAATAGCATTACTGCTGATGTTCACACGGCCCTCACTGCACAGAAGTGGGCCTCCTATTATCATAGAAACATGAAAAGAATTGGCATGGAAACGCTGTTATACACATCTTATTTTTAGAGTTTATAGCAAAAATATCCACACAAACTTTCCGGAAGACGATTATTTTTGTTGACTACCAAAACTTTGTGCAAATCCTTCTCCTCAATGCATTCGAAAAAGTTTCATGCTTTTTTAAAAACAATTTATAACTTATAAGTTGTTTTAAAAAAGCATGAAACTTTTTCGAATGCATTTCATTTTCCATTTTATCATTCCAACACGTGGACCTATAGTTTTCCATAATATTTGCAGATAAATAAAACTATGTACATGTATATACATGTTGGATATGTATAAATCTATAATAATAATACACTAAGGCTCCGCGGGGGGCGCGACGTCTCCGCGAGCCTTTGTATTCTATTGTTTTTTAATGAGATCACCGACCGAAGTTGGTGCAGTTATCTCCTCCTGAACACTCCCCTCGGGATACCCGTGCCCGGTGCCATCGTCCGCGGGAGAGTCTACTCTGTGGAATTGGCTATACTCCGCCCGAGGTCCTCCTCCGTGTCGACGTCCAGGGCGAAAACAGACGCGATATGCATAATGCAGGATATGCGTGACGACAGAGATACCTCATGGATATTCAACATTACATCCGTAGACACACGACCGATGACTATCCACTCACATTAAGTTGCGTATTAAATGCACTATGCACAGGGTCGGGATTACCCAGAGTAAAGCGTCTTGCTATAAGATGTGCTTTGTAGTAGCTGTATCAAACAGACACACAATTAGATGACCATCAACTCACATTATGTTACGTATTAAATGCTCTATGCAAAGGGCAGGATAACCCCCGAGTAAGCCATCTTACTATAGGGTGTGCTTTGTACTCGCTGCACAAGCCAGAGAGATACACGGGGCTAATTCCCGTCGACGTCCAAACTTAGAGACCTATTTCCATCATGATTGCCGCGATTTTGATATAGTTTTCGTGAATGGAGGTATGAAATCAAAGCTTATTTTGTGATTATTACGGCCATTTATACTTAATTTTGATTATCATTTTCTAAAGGAAAGTTTTCACAAGAAAACCATTGGACTGACAGTTCAGTCGCAAGCTAACTTCAGTCAACACATACAGTATACACGGTGCTGCGGCTGGGTCGCTTTGACCAAGACTGAGCTGCGCTAGAGTCGAAGAGTTTGGGGGGCCAAGCAGGCCAATATTCGTACAACTATATAACTACACATACGTCTATCCATCCATCGAAGAACCCGTCAACACAACAGCGTGCGGGCCGAAGTGGCAAAAATTTGTTTCTTATCTTTACAGTAAATTACAAGAAAGCATTGAATAAGGTTATGAATTGTACATTTGCATATTAATAGTTCAATATATCAACCATGCAGACAGAAGCATGTGACTTCATGCATTGCAAAACAATCAGTTGCGTAATGAGTAAAATTGTTTGGGGGGGGGGGGGGGTGCAGAAAAAAAATCGGCATCACCATGCACCATTCTTGCATGTTACATGAAGGCTCCAAGAAACATTTTTGAAAGTGGGGGGGGGGGGGGGGGGGGGGTCAGTTAGATCGCAGCGGGTTGAGTGCATATAGGCGTGGGGTCCACAGGTTTCAAGGGGCCATAAACCCCCGAAAGCTCGGGGGTTTTAGGCGTTTAATTAGGGTCAGATGAGCATATTTTTAATACTTTATTTGTGACACTTGCGGGTTACTAATTGGCATGGGGTCAATACGTAGTGTTGCGTACCAACTAGGCTGGCCTACGTTACTATATGCTGAGGGACGGAAAGGGGTACGCAAGATGAACGAAAACAATTCAACATGTTTAATTTTTTTCGCGTAGTTTCGGCGTAGAAACTTGACGCAGAAAGTACGCCTTTTTACGCAACACTACGCTACATGCCTACGCAACAGTACGCTACCCTACGCCAGATCGACAAAGCAGTAAAAGCTTTCCACACAGTAAGCAACCATAAGCAAACCTGTACGCCAGCCTACGCATAACCTACGCAGGGACTATTTTCCCATTAATACGCAGCCTAATTCCTGCGTAGTCGGTACGCCACACTACGAAGTTCCAGTGGCTTAAAGAATAACTACCGGTACAGTTGGATCGTTTTTTTTTTTTTTTATATAAGGCCAAATTTAAAAAAAAAACATGTTTAGCGTCCTGTTTTTTCGAAAAATGGGAAGGAGGAGACCCTTTTTTTTTTCTCTTTCTTTCAAAATGGCCGCTCCGTACATTTTCCCTGACATTCGGGCTATTTTTCAAGATGGCGGCCGACATTTTTTTTTTTTTTTTTTTTAAAATCAGAAATAAATTTTAGCAGTGCTTTTCATGTTTGTTTTCTTTCAAAAAATTCAAAAAAAATTCAAAAAAAAAAAAAAAAAAAAAATAGGAGGCGGCCCCCAAAAAGGAAGCGGGCGGGGACGCTGTTTTTTTACCTTTCGAAAAAAACAAACAAAAAAAAACAACAAATTAAACAAATTAAAAAAAAAAATTGGAGGCGGCCCCCAAAAAGGAAGCGGCGGGGACGTTAAACATGTATATTTTTTTGATGGCCTGAATGGCAAATAAAGTTCTTGGTGGTTTTAATTTAGACAGTCTCTATATATCTATTTACACCCCCCCCCCCCCCCCTCTAGAATCCCGCGGATTTCCGCAGGTCCTGCTAGTACAAACATATAATGTCATAAAAGTAATAACAACAAGTACAACTTTACAACATTAAACAAATAGTAGAACTGATAAACAAGACAGGTAGAGCTCTTTAGCAGCAATCAAAAGCCGATTTCACTACAAAGTAAACCCTTTTTAAATGCTGACTTTTCCTTCTATGTAAGTATGAAATAATAATGGCTTCGTGTATGATAAAACGCATCAGCACGATCATAAAGACTTGTGAGCATTTACTATAACATATATATAATTCACACATGGCATTTATGCGATATACCATTGGGTATTACTGAAATTAACCTTCAGTTGATTTCCGAAATTCTTTGCTATCGTATAATTGTTGGACAAAGTTAATTTTGAATACAATGGCAGCACACGAGGCTTATTCTTTTTCTAAATACATGTACTTACCTACGATGTGAGCAGGTCTAAGTTCAAGTTCAAATGCTGCATCCGTGGACTCATATGAGTGTAGGTGAACCCACAACGCTTCTGATTCAAAAAGCAACTCCAACAGTGGTGAGTAAGGAGACAAGACCACGGCCCGTGTTTCAGTAAGGCTATCATCCAATCCTAGTCCTATGACCAATGAGCTCATCTTGCCCAATTGAATCATGCGGACCTGGACCGCGTAACCGCTGAGGCCTCTCGTGTTTGTGATCCGCCATGTAGCATCAACAGTGTGATCAGAGTAGGCCAGTTGGTATGTTAGGTTCTTCCAGGCTTCAGATGAGAGTTCAATATCTACGGAAGAAATAAGAGACAGTTTTAAATTTTGTGATGGGCAGCGTGGGGCAGGGACACCTCTCTTACGATTTTGACAGCAGGGCCAGGGGCGGATCAAGAATTTTCCAGTAGGAGGGGGGGGGGGGGGGGGGGGGGCGTGAATTGTACGAAATTTTGAGCGCGATCGAAGCTTTTACGGCTTGCAGTCCGGGGAAATTTTGAACATTAAGATGCTTTATGGCACATTCTGAGGCATTTCTGAATGAGTAAACTGAACATTTATTCACGTATTTAAAAAAAACTAGATGGATCTTTGACTGTTCGCAGTCGAAAATGATCTCTCCGCTAAAAAGAGCAATTTTTAAAATCTAAGTTTGATTGTAATCCATTAATAGGTTCTCAGGATATCGTGATTACGAGCTATTTTTCATAAACATGTATGACCCTTCGATCTTTAACCTCATGACCTGTAAAAATCTAATCAGTTCATTGGCTTTGCAAGATACATAGGCCTACATGTCCTGAGTTTGTTAGTAATTTGTCAGTTCTGATCACGGGAACGGAATGGGAACAGGGCGTACAGACGGACATACATGTACAACCAAAAACATAATGCCTCAGGCTACTACATTGCAGAGGCATACAAAATTTAGAAGTTAAAAGGGGGAGGGGCATGCACTCCCACGCTCCACCTGGATTCGCCCCTGAGGGCAGCTAGGAAGCATGATAATTCTACTAATAGGATTTTGGCTGTAAAATGTGGAAAATATATCCTATAAAATTTGTTCACATATTGATCTTACCTACTAGCTAATCCCATCAATTGAATTAAAGTGATCATTATCTGTTGTAGGTCAGTAGGGGTCAGGGTTTGATATCAGTATAGAAGTCTACCCTGATATTAAGTTGGTTTAATTGAAGCAGGAAAATGAGAGAAACAGGTCAGTGAAAGTTTGAGCAAAAACTGATTAAAAATAAGAAAGTTTTGAACTTTAGAAGGTGCAATCAATCACACACAAATTGGCAACTCTGTGACATTTCTTGAGAGTTCCTCTCCCATTTGCCCTGAGCTAAAAACTTATAAATTTTTGATCATATATTCATCCTAAATAATTATTGCATATATGTTTTTTATTATATCCTGCATCAAAAATTTGTTGACTTTTGATTGGTTGAAAGCTCGTCACATGACCAGAAATATTTGACCTATTTTTAGAAAGTAATATATATATATGAGAGTACTATTTTGGTTTACTATTTGGGAGTTGAGAAAAAAATTTGAATTTTTTTTTGGAATTGAATCAATTTTTTTTTCAAATCTTAATTTAATGAAAACAAAATATTTTAAAACTTTTTAGATAAAATTTGACATTTTTTTTGTTCTAAATTTTTTTTCCCAAAAATGATTTAAAAAAAAAAAAAAAAATTTATACCATGCCTTCTATTCGAGGTACGGTTAAACTATGGGCCTCGGTGACTCCAAAAGTACCATTTGCTTTGGGGCTGCACCCCTCAGCAAATAGTACTATTGGAGTCACCTCTTGTGCATAGTTTTAACCAGAACCTCTCAAGGCAGTGTATATTTGTATAATATACAACCCCTACATGAAACAAATATGTTCTGTCATGAATAACAAACAAATATGAAAGTTATAATTTTCTGTACAAAGCAAATTGTAGAGGAGCTTGTATGATTTGTTACAGTGTTGCCCATTTGTGTTTTACTGATGAAAACTTTAAGTTTTCATCAGTTGAATATCAGTTGAATATAAAAATTTACCGGTGCTCCCGGTAATTTTTTGGGGATAAATTTCAAATAGCGCCTACGGACGTACAATGGTTGTTGGGACTATGAAAATCTCAGAACATGTAGTTGTGATATATTTTCCAAACGGGAATAGCTAATCGGTCTATTTTAGTCAAGAAAATTGTTTTATAGCTTAATTAATATATTGACCTTGAGAGGGAGCTATACAACATAAAGATTTAATTATTCACAATTTCATAACTTTAGACACGATTTCAACCGCGACAACAATCACTCAATATTGTAAGATTGCATATGCTTCCAATATGTTCATTTGAACCAATTTCATGACCCCATACCAAAACTTTGTATTACCTTTAATATTAGGGTGGACTTCGCCTTTAAAGGTACTATGTCCCTTTTGCAGCCAACCTCAAATTCTGTAGAACTTTGCAGGAATTATGAATATGTCATGTATGTCCTATCTGTGAAATTTAAACGTTAGCAGTGTCCTCATATTCAAATTATGCAAGGAAACCCGTTTACTTGCTAGACTTCACTGTCAGACACTATTGAGTGACTGACTGGCTTTTTTTCTTCTTTGGTAATAACATACATGAAAAGAGTTGTAAAGGGTACATGAGCATTTGTCTACATCAATAACCCACTTCTTGTGATGGCCAAGATTAAACTGATTGAATCTTTGCGCAGCATAAAACGTATGACCATTCAGTACAATTGTCTGAAAATCAAGACTATTACTTTTGGGCTCTATAGCCCTAAAGTCGATTTGACAACTAATAGTCGTTATTTTCCCACTTGAAGACATTTTCAAGCCCAACCTTTTTTAGGGAAATTCTAAATTAGTATTATCTTTCAAATGCAGTTGGAATTTAACTTTTTCATTTTTTTTTGGCCTGCAAATGGGACATAGTACCTTTAGTAGGAATATAAGTAATTCTGGGAAAATAAGATCAACAAAGTAACATCTTTACAGGAAGGTCCATTCTATTTAATTTTTGTGTGTCCCATACATCCCATAGAATCACGAATTATGACGGAGTCAAAATAAAAATAAAACATTTCCTTGACATTTGATGTGATCTTAACTACAGTAAAGGCTACCATTTTAGTAAATTCTCCAGGTACACTAAACCACTTGTTATGGTCAGAAATGTATGAAAAAAATACGTTGCAAGTTGCAATTGAGGTAATATAATAGTAATAATAGTAAGGTAATGGTTTATTCATTGAGAAATTCAATAATTTACGGCCAGTTGGCCTAATCACAGATTTATTGATAAAGTAAAAAGAATATATAAACTTGGAATTTACCATAATTGTCACACTCATGTTCATCGTCGCCTGATGGGCAGTCTGATATGTGATCACACTTTTTATCTGCTGGAATAACCGACAAATCTGAACACTCAAAGGATTCACCTTAAAGACAAAAAGAAGAAGCAATTGGTTGATGGACTTTCATGTTAAGAAATGAGTTTGAGATTGAGATTGAGTTTATTTACAACAAAAATAATAACAAGTAAAACATAATATATCAAGTATAATTACATAAAATATAACAATATAACACAATATAAATAACATTACACATGAATAAGATTTGTAAAACATTGTTTTACAAAGTATGTTATATAGTATATACAAATGAAATACAATATTATGTGTACACTTTTGTTGTTAAAGGGGGTACCAGAAGTTAGCACAAGTGCTAGTCGAGTCTGGTTCCCTGTCTTTTGCAAGAATTTTAAAACTAGTTTTTAATATACTATATTACATATATTTATACATGTAACATAAACTATATATATAATGAAAGTAAACAAGGAAATAGAATAGTCATTTTGAAATATTCCTTACTTAATATATACATGTAAGTCAAATGTATGTCGAATTCCGTATCAGAACAAAAAATAAATGAAAAATACATCGTTATCTAATGTGACGATCTTTTTAGAAATTCTCTAATCTGAGATTTCTTTATTGCCATTTTAGGAAGTCTCAACTTTTGTTAAACTCAAAGTATTTAGATGTTTCATTAACCCCTTCCAAAAAGCATTTTTAGATCATATTGCTCTTAAATCATATCATATACTATTCCATATTTTCACGCCCATAAATGATATTGAAAATTGACCTTGTGTGGTTTTGCATTTAGGCAGATATAGTTGTCCATGTTCTTTGCCCCTTGTGCCATATCTGTGCTCTATTACCTGACAGTATTCACTTAAGGAGCGAGGAAGATTACCATTTAATAAGTCATAGATGTAGGTTGAGACAGACAGGAAATGAAGGTTGTACATTTAAAAATAAATAAAATCTTTCGGAACAGGGGTTCCGAATGGGTACCTCTCGGGCTGAAGGGAATCATTCTCATCGCCATTTTCTGGGTAAGGAAAATACAATTCAAATTTGGTTTTGTTTGTGGTTCCCCATACTTCAATTCCATAAAAAATATGTGGCTAGATTAACGCTTTGTATAATAGTACTAACATTTTCTGTGGGACATAATAATAATACTAAGTTTTTATATAGCGCTTATTACAATCACCAAGCGCTTACAAACTTGGAGATTTTTTAGCTGTGATGCCATTACGGCGCTCTAGCATTTCAAAGAATTAATTCCTGCCAGGTACCCATTAACATCACCTGGGTTGAGTGTGGCAAATGTAGATCAATGTTTTGTCAAAGGTCATTAGTGCCGTATTCTGAAATATTTTCCACAATCAAAGACTATTATCCAAATTACAAAGTACTTTAGAACCATGCATTGCCCTCCTAAAATACTTCACTCCCTCTGAAACATTCCAATAGCAATATCCATGAAGAAAAAAATGAGAAAAAAAATAGTAATAATATTTTGGTTAATTTAATTTCCAAAAGCGTCTCATAAAACTTGTTATCAATAACGAGTTAAAATAATTCTTATAAGCTACTGAAACTGTGGCATTTGATTGGCCGAGAGCTAATTTGTCATAGAAATTTAGCATTTGTTATTGATATCAAGATTTATAGAACAGGGCCCAGTTTTCTATAAAATGTGACAGAAATACAGGAGAATTCTGAAAGCAACACCCATATTGAAATTTAAATATGATATAGTTCTAATGATTTCAGATTTATCAGCATAATTGTTAAGAACCACTTCTATACTATATAAATATATTTATCCTTATTAAAATAATTAACTTGAGAAAGCCCTTTGGGCAATATAGTGTGTGAATGTATACCTCTCTAATGAGCATCATATTTTTAATCATTCTGCCTAAACAAATATCAACATGGTTTTACTGAGAATAACTGGGCTCAGAGCATGTACAATTCAAATTATTGTATCTTTTGATTTAATTATGAACATTCATTTGTCTAGTTATTTGAGATTTTTGTTAATTTGCCTATTTAAATCACATATTTAATTCATACATATGTACATGTATACTACATGTACATGTATATACATGTATTCATATAATATATAAAGCAGGATAAAGCAGATGATAAGCTATCAGCCACATGGCTTCATCAGCTTTTTATTTTGCTAATGAAAAACACACAGCAATATAAAGCAAAACAACTTGATCTGCAAAATAAAAGCTGAAGGAGGGCAGAGGATGATTGCTTCTAAACTCAATTCTTCATTCTGTGACCTTAATCATACCCTCACACACAAACACACATTTATATATTTATATATGTACATACATATATATATATATATATATACATATGTATATATTGAAAAAAGGAAAGCTAGAGTTCTACTTGGAGTACAGGAATATACACAAATAAAAAAAAAAACAATGCTCTGTCCAGGAAGAAATTGTAAAACAATTACATGTATTTCTTGCATTTTTGTATATATATATACACATATACAGCATGATGAAGGTCTCTATAATTGATTGACAGACTTACTTTCAAATCTTGTAGAGATAAGCTGCAAGACAAAGCCTTCATAGACAACACTTGAATCTGTTGTCATTTGTAGCCAGATCTTTGTACTGTTTAGATGGATAACATAGGGGAAACTTCCGTAATCGTAGTAAGATGTGGAGGCACTGCAGAAATCAGAAGTAACTGATCGCTTCTTCCGACCATCTGACTCTGGTTCTTGGAAAGTGTCTGAAAGTGTTTTAGAGGCACTTACAGAAGACTCCGCAATGCCCTGATTTTCAATAGAGTATGTCCCGGTGAATCGGTACAGGTAATGTCCATCAAAAGTACCAACCCCGATATCCAAGAAATCATAGCCGGATTCTAAAGAGAAGACATCGAATTTCATGCGTATACCAGAGTCTCCAACTGCTCCAGTTATAGTCCAGATATAGTTTAGTCTGTTAGAGTAGCCGTTTGGATATGAAGGTGATGTCAGGTTGAAACACTCTCCTGTGTTAAGGACTACTTCATCTGTGATGAAATACAATAAAATACATAAATTGATATGTATCTTCCTCATGTTTTTTAATGACCCAATGAGGCTCATACTGTGTATCATTTCACAATTTAATTGCTGTTTCCGTCTGCATTTATTGCTTTTCCCTTCTTGAATCATATTGTTTGTCACTTAAGGATTGATAGGGCATTGTGTACATTGAAATTGGTATAATAGCTGGAAATCTGGAGAATACATAATAAAAATATATGGCAGTTTAAAAAAAAATTATTTTTAAATTAATTAAATTATTGCTAAATACTGTGAAAGAATGCTCAATGTCAATATCATCATTTCCTGGATATTGAATTGAATTTAGAGGAAGGTTTTATTATCTTTTTTTATTTTGTTACAGCCAGTGGCCCAATTGTGAAAGATTTAAAGACATTCATGATAGCGATACACAAAATGAAATGTACATACTTAGTCATTATTACACATGTCCAAATGTTTAACATGAATAAGACAATAAATGTACTTATTTTGTACAGGATGTATTATTCATTATCCAAATTGAATTTGCTGATAATCCTTTTGAAAAACATAAAAATGTCTTGTCAAGCAACAACAACAACAAAGTGCAAATACACTTTAACTCATATCCTGCCATAAGGCCACCTGCACGCTAGCTACCGTTATAGTGCTTTGTACACGCGAGCACGTATTGAGTGGCTGCTTAATTCCTGCGAGCAACCCATTGCTTCGGTGCTTTATGCATGATTGCTCGCATTCGTAATAGCAGTTATTGTTCATGCTCATTGTACTGTGCCTAGTGCTTCGCACAGGCTATCGCGTTAATCAGATTGTCTCAAAATGAACTTGGCACAGGGGGGATTTGAGGCTTGGCACAATGGGGATTAGCCCTGTGGCATTAGGCTGTATTCATTATGGCAGGATAAGAGTTAATGTATAATACATAATGTGATGTAAGCCTAAAATAAAAACTTGACTGGCTTGCACCAAAAGAGAGAAATAGTGAAATGATAGAATTGATGACATGACTATTATGAGGGCCTAGTTGATGGCATATATTGTAGTTGTAGTGTAGTGGTGGCAGTATTAGAATATGATCCGCATCATCAATACTAAACATAATTGTAAAGACTTAAGAAAATCAACCTCAGGCAATTTCAATAGACCAGTTTATTGATAGCAGATGGTAAAAATATCCCAGATCTTTTAAATATGGAGAAATATCAATTTATTTATTAATAGAATATCCACTGCCAAAGTTCTTCATGAATAACTTCTGTTTGCCCTCTTGAAAAGAATAATTCGACCTGTGTATCATACAGTGTACCTTAGGTGCATAAATGAATGATTACGTAACTTCATGAACATGTATCCTGTATTTATCTCAGTGGGTATTACAGATCTGTACAAATGACCTAGCTGTATCTGCCCATGTGCAAATAGTAGCTACAGACAGGCTAATAGCCTTTTGTGTCATCTTAAGAGATCGATGTACTTAAAGTAACATGAAAATACAACATACAACATAATCCGAAAATGATTTCTGAGGGCAAGACAATGGGATATTATCATTGCCCTTGAGTTGATTTCTTGAAAGTCTTTGTGAACCTGTTACCATATATATATGCTGCTTATGAAAACTCCCGTCATACAAAGCTGGACCTAATGCATCTCCTGTTTGATTGGGAGCTTAGGAGCATCATATAAAATGTACCAAGAGCCTCTAACTTTAGCGTTACATCATATAATCTACTATTCTAAACATAATCCCATTGCACAGGAGGCGTCATTTGACTGGCGGGGGATATCGTGATATCGTGAGGGTGACATTGTCAAAAACGTGATTGCAAGGTGAAAAGGGCAAACAATGCTTTCAAAACTAAATGGATCTACGACTGCATGCAGTCAAAAATGAAGCGGCAATTTTACAAACCAAAACCAGAGCAATTTCGAAAATTCAAGTTTGATTGTGATCCATGAGAACAGGTTATCAGAATATCGTGATTACAAACTATTTTTCATAAACATATGTATGACCCTTTGATCTTTGACCTCATGATCCTAAAATCTAGTCAGTAATTCATTGGCTCTGCAAGATTCGTACATGTTCTGAGTTGTTCTAATGATAATATAATAATAATGATACATAATGAGTCCCATGACTTTGACCTTTTCACCTCATGACCCCAAAATCTAATCAGTTCATTGGCTCTGCAAGGTATATACATGTACATGACCGAAGTTTGGCAAAAATCCAACAATAGGTTCTTGAGATCAGGCAATCACGAGAACAGGAGGTACAGACAGACAGACGGACGTACGGACAACCCAAAAACATAATGCCTTCGGCTACTTCGTGGCGGAGGCATAAAAAACAGCGTACTGGCTGATTGCCTTTCCAGGCCCAACTTATGGAGGTAATAATGCAATGGAAATGATGCACTTTGTGCAATGGGCAATGAAACACTAACGTACCTGGTGGGTCACTAGAGCAAAACCATTCATCACTTCCATCATTACAGTCTTGCTGGTCATCACAGACGTCACTGCGGGCTAGACAGTTGCCGAAGTTATGACACTGGAAGTAATTGCCAGGACAGTCTATGCATATAAGACAAATAAAACATATAAATTAGACAAATACCATCGAGTCTCCTTCACATATGACGTGGTTTAATACAGGATTTTTATATTCTACATGTGAATGAATGGCAAGTGGGGTTGTGAAAAAGTATCTGCACAGACCAAAGCATGTACAGTACTAACTTACTTAGATAGTTTGTCAGTGTATCTTGCCCTGGCAGTTTATTGCAGCAAAGGGGAACAGTATTTCAAAAGTGCAAGCTATTATGACGACCATTAAATGTTTTACCTGAATTTAACCAAATAGATCAGGGAAGAAAAAAAGCATCCAGCTGAAGAGCTGGCTACTCTTTATCATTCTCTGTGGCATCTTATAAACTGGACATGTTCATAACTAAACAAATTATGCATTCATTGTTATACTAATTTTACACAATACAATTTCAGCACGTCATTTTAAAATGCAGATTTGTATTTATCTTTTTGTAAAAATCTACAAACTGTATTCACACATCAAAGTAAACAAATTAGGTTAATTGCTACAGAATTTCGTTTTGCATTCAAGCTGATATATGGAAAATAATTGAGACTTATTACGTATATAAAAAAAAAAAGTGGATCTAAACCTAACAAAACTTATGTTGACTTGATAAGTGTCTGTAATCTAAATTGAGTTCTACAGATTAAAATGAACATTGTACCTACATGTACATCATTCTCTTGAAGAAAAGAGACTTACATTGACTGTTTTCGGTAATTTCATCGGAGCCGTCACTACACTGAGATGCTCCATCCCCAAGTTGCCAGAAATTAACACATTCTCCACTGGCACACTCAAACTGAAAGCTTTGGCATGCTGAAGAAAAGAAATATACAAGAATATAGTTCCATGCTGTAAGGGACACACCAGAAAATGTGGAAGAAAGTTAAATGTCTCAAATCTTTACTTTGTGCCAGTCTTCAGTTTCACACACAATTTGAATACATGTGTGCGATACTTATAGCCTACTCTATCATTCAAATGTACTTTTTAAAAATACATGCCACTTGTCAAGACTAGCTGAATACTCCCATTAATCTGAAACTTTTTTTATGGATTTCAAACAAATAGTTGTCCTTAACCTCCATGGTCTTCATGGTCATGTGTGATTGAAAACACATCATAGAATAGCGCCCATTTGGTACTAAACACACACACACACACACACCACTATACAGATATACACACAAATATGTATACACAGTATATATAGTATATATTAAAACAGTTGAAAGAAAGATCCTTGAGAGTTTCAATTCACTATTACCAGTTTCAATTGATTTTTTTCTGACGAAATAAATTGTAATTGGTAATAATAGCGTATACACACTGCTGCCAATTTTTTACCTTTTTTCGTACTATGTCGCATTTGCAGGCCAAAAAAAATCAAAAGGTTAAATTCCAACGGCATTTGAAAGATAATACTAATTTAGAACTTCCCTAAAGAAAGTGGGGCTTGAAAAGTCTTCAAGTGGGAAAATAACGACTATTCGTTGTCAAATCAACTTAGGAGCTATGGAGCCAATAAGTAATACGTTTTATGCTGCGCAAGATTCAATCAGTTTAATTTTGGCCATCACAAGAAGTGGGTTATTGATGTAGACAAATGCTCATGTACCCTTTACAGCTCATTTTATGTTTGTTATTACCAGAGAAGTAAAAAAGCCAGTCAGTCACTCAATAGTGTCTGACAGTGAAGTCTAGAAAGTAAACAGGTTTCCTTGCATAATTTGAATACGAGGACACTGCTAACGTTTTAATTTCAAAGATAGGACATACATGACATATTCAAAATTCCTGCAAAGTTCTACAGAATTTGAGGTTGGCTGGAAAAGGGATATAGTACCTTTAAAGTGATTGTGAGAATATGATTTATTCTTGATAAAGACTACATCTTCTCAGAACTTTATCAATGAATCTAAAGAGATTAAGAGATTGATCAATAAAGTTCTGAGAAGATATGATACTTCATCTATCAAGAATGAACCATATTGTCACAATTATTTCATGAACAGTGGTTATAAAAAAAAAAATTCTTCAACTTCATGGATAACAGTGTATTTATATATTGTATAACTATATATATATATATACACACCATTATATAGTCAACTGATTCTTTTATTTTGTGTCAAGTCTGTTTTCAAATCTTTCATCGCAGAACAGCATCTTCTATTTTTATTTGTAACCTTATTGACTCTGCTGCCGATCTTGCATAATGAACAAGATGCTGCTCGAATGATCATGCATACTGATATAATTGCGGGTGTCCCTATATTATCTGTGATAATGCTTTTGCGTAGTGGGCACAATAACAGGTTTCAATCCCAATTAATCCTTCATTTCAAAATGATTTATCCTTCTATACATAATCTTTGAAAGGTGAGTTTCACTTACAACAGTTCTTTTCATCACTTCCATCAGCACAGTCTACGAAGCTATCGCAAACGCTGTTTTTGTAAATGCATTTCTCACCACAATCATACTGATGGGCTGCACATTCTGAAATATGAAGATAATTGTTTCATGTTAAATAATGTTGGTATAATCTAATTTGCTCCAAAAAATATTTAATATGAAAGCTTGATATACTTTCTGTTTGACAGCTAATCACAATAAACCCAATACACACCCTTTTTCTTTAAAAATAGCTGAAATCTAAATCATTCTCACTTTTCTGATTTAAGACCTTTAAATGAAATCAAAATTAACCCCCTTCAAAAAAAAAAAAAAAAAAAAAAGAAAAAAAAGAAATCAAAATCGAGTAGAGTCGAAATCCAAATCATAATCACTTTCCTGAGTTATCATTTTTTTTTAACCTAAGAGTGTATATCGAGAATCGATTAAATTGATTAAGCTCCATTAAATGACTAAACCACTTATGAGCAGCAATGATGTTAACTAATTTATAATTACCACAGTCTTGTCGCTCATCTGTAAAATCTCCACAGTCATTGAATCCGTCACACACAAATCCTTGGTGAATGAACCGCCCATTGTTGCAAGCAAATGCTGCATTTGAGAAAGATTAACAATATCAATCAAGGCCTTGTCAGATATGATGGCGCAAAACCGCAGAGTTTTTTTATATGACACAAAGTATCATATGTATCACAACACAGGGCTTAGTGAATACATGCAGGACCTTTAATGTACCGGTATGCAGTTACCATTCATTAATAATACACATTAAAAATATAGGGGCTGTTTACTGCCTCATGTCTGAACGACCCTTAAGACAGAAAGAAAACCTGCAATTGAATGCATTCCACTCTATATAAATAGAGAAGGAAGTAGAGAGAGAGAGAGAACAGGAGCGGTGTATGCACATGTACTGCTCCCGTTGTTCTGTGCTGTAAAGTGTTCCAAGGAAATGTGTCTGGTAACTTACTTATAAAATATTTCTGCATTGTCTTAAAAATGCGAAAGATTATTATTCTCAATTTTTGTCATAATCACTTGAGAAAGGATTGCCGTAGCTGGTATTTGTAAAAAAATTGTGTGCTAAATAAAAGCATGAAAAACATAAAACTTCTCTTTGATAATTTTTGTGTTATCATCCATATAATAATAATAATAATAATAATAGCTAGTTCTTATATAGCGCTTTTCAGGAATTTGAGAAAGGGGAAGAAGATCGACCTTAGTAGGCTGGCAGCAACAACATAAACAAACAATCAAACAAATCACAAGATTGTTTGAACAAGAAACCAAAGACCGATAACCATTGAAATTTGTGGAGATAGATGGGTAATGGAATACTATCATGGTATTTAGAGTACAGATAATATCTGATATCTCTTGATTTGTGGATCTAAGATATAACATTCTTTAAAGAAGTATTCCTGTCAGGTATTTAGCTTAGCCCATTAGAGAGACAAACATTTCAGATGCCTAAAAACACTTTTGATTTTGAGAAATGATGCTAAGAAGTATTTTGAATGATTTTCTATATTTTGCTGGCAGAGAGCGGGTATATACGGCCTAAGATGTCTGGGCTGTACAAAACTGCATTAGCGGCTCGAGCAGCACAATGTGAGGATGCTACGTCACACAGTCACATGGTCAATCTGGATTTTGTGCTGCAAATTTAATAATTTCCATTAAGAATATCCAACACACAAAAAAAAAAAACTTTTGAAGCAACCGTTGAAAGTTATGGCGTGATCGATTCATGTTTTGTTTTACTTATTGATTATTGATAAGCTGCTGAAAAACTCTTATTCTCGACAGGAATTAGCCTTTAATATTGCAAACTAGAGTATATATTATTCCATTCTTATATATTTGTATAATGTTGAAAACATAGGCAACTCACTGCAGTCTGTTTCACAGGAATGGTAACTGGTGCAGAAGTTATTGCGGTTGACACATGCTCTATATGGACCACATCGCACTTCCCAAAGACTAGGACATTCTGTATGAGACATATAAACAATCATCAAGTCAATGGAAATCATATAGTATTGTTAACATTCAGTAAACACAATGGCACAATAGCAAACACTGTCAAGAAATCCGCTTTAAGGCAATTTCGATAACCTTCTGCATGACATTTAAAAAAAAAATCATATTTGAATTTCATAATGTGGAATTGTAAAGGTCACAAATTTAAAACATGATGCGCAATTGTCAGAGGGTGATTTTTTTTAAAAAGAGTAAATAAAGTATAAGTACTTCATTTACTCCAAAGTTCATTCTTAATAGGTGTTTACAGGGGAAATAATATTTATGGAGAGTAGAAAATCCTTTGTTGAATATATTCCTTCTTGTGTTTTTGTTCTTGGATACATCAAATTTACATCTTTTTCGTATTAATACGTGAAATTAAGAAATACATTGACAACGTAATTGATTTTGCATTTGGGAAGCAATCCACTTTGTCTCACGTTGAAGATATGGCATGTACATACCTCTTGTATTAGACCATCATTTGAAACAAAGAATAGGCCAAATATATGGTCCAAAATTGTCATATGACAGAGACCCATATTACCACGATGTGCAATTAATTATTAAAGGACCCGGGACTTCTAGCTACCTCTGCAAGATTTTTATCACCACGACTCAAGTACAAACTTACATTACCAATTATACTAGAGTATAGTTAAACTGACTTGAACATTTGTTTTAAAATTCATGATTTTGTTTATAATGCCCCAATTTTATTTTTTAGAATCACACCGTTTTTATATCAATTTGAATAATTCGGTATCAATTTTCACAAAAATTGATCGGAAGTAAATAGCAACAAGGGTTTAATATTTTGTACAACCTCTGCCTGTTTTTGCCTTGTTGCAACATATTATCAGACATCATTTAAAATAAGGAAACAAAGTATTTAGATCTTAAAATTGGCAACGTTGGAAGTCACTACTATACAAAATTATATTCTACAAATGTACAGAATAGTTTCTGATTATGTATTCTATTTCAAGATACAACACTAAAAATAAACTAGATGGAACTTGAACTGCGTGCAGTCGAAAATGATGCCTCCACCATAGAGCAATTTTACAAACCAAAATGGAAGCAATTTTAAAAATTCAAGCTTGATTGTAATCCTTCTGTTGGTTCTAATGATAATGCGTTCACAAGCTATTTATAGGCATACATAATGAGCCCCACGACCCTAAAATCTAATCAGTTCATTGGTTTTGCAAGATATACATATACTTGCCTTGAGTTTGATGGTAATCTGTCTATTGGTTCTCATGATAATGCGATCACAAGCTTTTTTTAAATACATAATGAGCCCGAAGACTTTTGATCTTTGACCTCATGACCCTAAAATCTAATCAATTCATTAGCTCGGCAAGATACATACATGACCCAAGTTTGGCGGTAATCCATCAATCGGTTCTTGAGATAACATGATGCCGAGCTATTTTTGCATGACCTGTGACCTCATGACCACAAAATCTATGGACGTACAGACAACCAAAAAACATAAAAACTAAATGTTGCAGTTTGGAAGAAAAGAGGCTGACCAGTGTAGCATTTTCAAAAACTCCGTCCAAAAAGTGTTGAAATGTTGATGATTGAGCATACATACCACACTCTTCATCAGTCCCATGTATGCAGTCATTCACTCCATCACAGAACATGGTGGAGTCAAGACATTCAAAGAAGATGTCTCCACAAGTTGTTTCACCAGCAGGACATTGAACTGTAGAGTATATTAACACATACAAATGAAAAGTGAATCTTCTCTCAATATCCTTTAATCCATTATATATATTGTATATGTGTCTACTTTATTATGTTAATGTTGTATAGATTTGTTATGTGTACTCTGATATCGTGAGACCAATCTAATGTATAATTTGGTGTAAATAAATAAAACATTTGAAAAATGTATGCTTATGTATACAATATCAAGTCCATAATACAATGTACTAGGTCCAGTGAAATTTCTATGAATCTTAGTTTATTATCTCTTGATATCTTCTTCGGGAGCAAAATTTATATCCCTCTCTCTCTCTCTCTCTTCCTGCCATTGGCTCTTTACACTTCTCTAAAGATTGCGACTTTTGTCTTGACAACCTGCGCGTATCATTTGTGCATATAAAAACAAAATCACTTGTATTTTGCAGTATCAAAACTTGTAAAAGCCCTACTAGCGAAATATCATTTACTTTAACAAACATGTCAATTGAATTCCTTTTTCTGTTGTGACAATTTTAAATTATTCATCTCTGCTGCAAGCATTTTTTGTCAGTTGTAACTGGTAAATAAGGTGCTTTATAAGAAAAATACACATAAAATTGTTTAATATGAAAATGGGAGAATACATTCACAACGCACACACACACATGTATACATATAAACACACACACATATATATATACATTTATATTTATGATTTATAAATGTTATACATTTATACATGGTAATCATTGGCCCACATATTAATCAGTATTCATATTTTCAATCTATCAGATTTATTCTGATGTACTTCAATTCAGTTTAAAAGCTTAATTTTCAATGTGTTTAGTGGTAAATTATTCTTATTTTTAAATATGCTTGAAGACATTTAAAGTAAACTAAAGAAACCATAACCAAACGAGAATCATTATTATGTATGACTGTTATTTTGTCATCACCAAAATTTTTCCATGTTTTGTATCATATTTCTGTTCTTTGTAAACCTTGTCTGAGCCTTCATTTTACATGTGAACAAACCACATATCCATGTTGAATGACATTGGACAAATAAATACATTGAATGAAAGAATGAATATATAAATATTGGTTACATACTTCCTTAAAACACAATTGCAAACAAATTAACCTCAGGCAAATTTCAATAGCCTCATCCGTTACCTTTGGAAATGTGAAAAAATTACAGTGACATACAATGCCACATTACATAATCCAAATTTGAATCCTATAGGGAATAAGAAACGGCATTCAATTTACTCTTGGGTTCATTTTTGATAGTATTTGTGATCATGTTAAAATCACATTATAACAAAAATAAGAAATAAGAAGACTAAACGAGAAGAGAGATATGGAGAGGGAATAATAAAGGGATGAAAATATATTTACTTTCTGTTTCTTGGACAGCGGTAACTTCAAATGCAAAGGAAGATGTGTGAAAAAAACTCCCTTGAGTTCTGAAGTATGCGATCCAAAACTCAGATCCCGGTGGTATGATAGGTAGCAGACTGTTTCCTTCAATTCCCTTGTAAACATCATATGATAGCTAGAAATAAACATGAGAAAATACTCAGACATTTCGTCCTTACTGAATGTACCACAGACATATTTGTCTTGAGTTTGATGGTAATCCGTCCATCGGTTCTAATGATGATTCACAAGCTTGTTTTGCATACATAATGAGCCCCATGACCTTTGACCTCATGACCCAGAAATCTAATCAGTTCATTGGCTCTAGAAGATACATATATGACCCAAGTTTGGCGAGAATCCATTAACCGGTTCTTGAGATAACGTGATCACGAGAACGGGACATACGAACGGACACCCCAAAAACATAATGCCATCTTTGTTGAGGAGGCATCAAATACATAAAGGGGAATTCCATGAATTATGAGACATGACAAACAATTCTAAAATCTGTATTTCTTCCATTTTCCATGCCCAAAATGGTTAAAATTGGGATATGTCTAGATAGAATAACGGAATCATTTTCTACCATTAATTGTATTCTTGCATGTCCCCTTTTATGGAGAATCTAAAACTGCACATACATGTATGGATCAACATAAGCAGGACTATACACACACACAAAATTGCTTATAAACTCTCGTTGCAGCATACATTTACATTGTATTTTGGATGGAAATGCAACAAGTCAGTGATAAAGGGCAAACCAACTCTTATAATAATTTCATTTGTACGGAAGTGGAAAAAGAATGGTGAAAGTTTAAATTAAATTAGATCAAGAATATAAGAAAGTTAAGGGAGTTTGAAATATGATATCATTGAATCCATATGAATAGCAAATTGGCAATTTGGTGGCTGGATATTGTGACATATTCACGGACAACTCTCACATTTGTTGTGTACAAAAATATATGTTTTTCTCCCAAATGCCTATTGTGAGTATGGGTATAGCATGTTATTAAATGTTATCTAAAAAGAAAAAGACCATCCTGAGTCATAATTATTATTATTGAGTCATAATTAACTAAAATGTCAATTTTAGTAATTCTGTGTGTTGGAACAAATAGGGAAGTTGTCTGGCACTTCGTCACAACGACATTGCCAATTCAGCGAATTTAAAGTGCCCACATGTATAGTGTTTATAACTTTTAAAAAGTACATAGCCTAGGCTTCTCATTTTTTGTCTGATTTCGTTCAAACTTTCACCGGACTGCTTCTCTGATTTTTCTGCTTTCTTTTAGAGTAGTTTATTCTTAGGGATGGAAGTGCATCTGAATTCTATTTGAAGGATTGTTGCACATGAGAAAAAACTAATTTATACATACAGTACCTCATACAAAATCGTTGAAGCATTGTGTATGTCAAAACCAGTTCCTAGCGTAAAATGGTCCACACTTTCCATCTGCAGATGGATGATATCCAAACGTAGCCTTGTCCCATCCACTGCACTGAATGTCCATGTCTTTATCAATGGTCTGGTGATAGGTAAGTAAACTGGATATCCACGGGACTGGATGGTAACATTTTCGCCAAGACTCAGATTAAAGCTTGCGATGGGAGCTGTAATATGATAGGCATTACATGAATACAGAATCATCCGATCTATACACCCTGTCATTATTATTCTATTATCTATTTTGAAGAGTATAGTAGATGAATATGTTCTTGCAGATGTTCAATGACATCTTCTTTACTGTCTAAATTATGTACAGGTGTGGAGAGCCACTTTTGGGGGAATCATATTAGGGATAATTCATTTGAAGTGAAAAACCAAACTCAGAACTGTAGAATCCATCCTTAAAAGTGCCATTCAACCATTACTTTTGGAGTGGATTTCACCATAATTTGGAGTCGATTCTACTCAAAGGAAGTGATCTCTAATATGACTCCTAAAAAGTGGATTTGCATTAAAAGAGTATTTACATTTCCTGTGACACGATCCTAGTTCCTGTTTCGAATTAGTTTCAAAATTAAAACATTCTTTAGTCTTTATCATAATTTTCATAGGAAAACCAAAGTGACATGGAAAAATCAACAAATCTTACGGCAATCAAGCTCATCACGTAAGTCAGTACAGTCCACAGTACCATCACATCTGTTTCCAGGCGGAGCGATCTTATCTCCAGCATCACATGTTATGATATCTAAAGAAAGAATAAAACATAACAAAGTTACATTGCATGCATTGTCAAGAAAACATTTACATTTATTTCCTTGTGGCAAAGTACAGTAATGTGTAAAAGAAAGATCACTCCATCAAACAATGCTATTAAAGCAGAAGGAGGGAAATACCATAAAAAACTTGTGTTGAGAATGTCATGAACAAATAAAAAACAAGTTTACTGCAAAAAGTATGACAAAAAAAAAAGGATAGTCAGATAAAGAAAAAAAAAAGGATAGTCAGATAAAGAAAAAAAAAGATAGTCAGATAAAGAAAAAAAAGGATATTCAGATAAAGAAAAAAAAAGGATAGTCAGATAAAGAAAAAAAAGGATAGTCAGATAAAGAAAAAAAAGGATAGTCAGATAAAGGAAAAAAAGGATAGTCAGATAAAGAAAAAAAAGGATAGTCAGATAAAGAAAAGAAGGCACGAGAAGAGCAAACTAGAAATTTAATTCGTCATGGGGACGAATTAGGTGGTCTGTCTTCAAGTCTTATGAGAGATTATAATATTTACTATATTGAGAAAGGGAGAAGTTATATGGACATGTAAACAATGATGATCATCATGATGATCATGATGATGATGATCTTGATAGTAATGGTGATGACGATGATGATGATGATGATGATGATCATGATGATGTTGATGATTATCATCAACAGACCACGATGACATCAGACTGAACAAAATTAGAGAACATTAAGATAGCGTATAGTCTCAGCTACAACATACTCAAAAATCAACAAAAACCAAGCCGAAATAACGGCGATATTGCTCGCAAAAGACAAGAATGTAGAATCCAGATTTGAGAAAAAGTCATCTCCCATAAGGATTACACGCCAAAAGTAATGGATCAAGTGATAATAGGGTAATAATCAAGTAAATATGGTTGTTTATTATATTATTTGCGATTGTACGTGTTTTAATATTCAAAGGAGATGGTAGAGTGAAAGGTCAAAAAGAAAAAAAAGTGAAGAAAAAAAATTGTTGGAGACGCCCGGACTCGAACCAGGGTCCTCGACGTCGGAAGTCAAGTGCGTTACTGATATACCAAAACATTTCCCATAGAGATTACACGTAAACGGAAAATGGAATTATCAAATCCCACTTTGCAAGTGAGATATGAGCATGATCCCGGCATCTGATCGAAAAATAAAGGGCACACTTGTGATAGCTTATTGTCTCAGCTACAACATACTCAAAGCTTAGCGAAAACAAAGCTAAAATGACGGAGATATTGCTCGCAAAAGACAGGATGTAGAATCCAGTTTTGAGAAAAAGTCATGTCCCATAGAGAATACTCGCAAAATGTGAAAAATTGACATGCCTCCTTTAATCGCAAAAATACGCCATGATACCATTGTCAAAATGAAATATCGTGGTGACTGCATTTGTAGAAAATATTCTCAGGTAGAACATATCAAAATTTGAAAGAAAATTGATCAATATTTACAGAGATACAATCAATTTTCGAAAAATCTGCTGACGTCATAATATGAAAATTAAAATTTGAGTTTGGAGGCCATTATGATGACGTCATGAGGTAATTGAGGGTCAAATGAGACATGAAATCATATCTCCAACTCATGCTTTTTCCAACCATGATATAAAAGTTGGGGTCAATTGACTATCTGAAGAGCTATTTTGATTTTCAAAATGGGATGTTTTTTATCAAATTTGCATTATATTGCCCATAGCAGCACGCGCGGATTTTGAACTTTGACGCGCGCTCACGGCCTTATAAAAAATCAAGAGTGAGTGAAATTAATGTAAATTGTCATTTACGGTAAGAGGAATCTAGATCATGTAAAAAATTTGAATTTGATCTTTTCCGCGCGTTGTGAGCGCGCGCAACGCGCGTGGGGACACGTACGGATGGAAAATTTTGAAATGCTTAAAATGACCTGATTCGTACTCTCGTTTAATAGTTAAGTGATTTTGAGCATTTAAAATTTTGACGCGCACGTACGTGCGCGTCATGACCTTTATGTGACCTTTGATGACATGACTTGTTGACCCTTGACCTGAAATATATGTGATATGAATATGAATGACCTTTGCTTATGCATCATGAAGATATGATGGATAACGTGATTTCACAAAATGGCGCCTGGATGACGTCACGATGACCTGATGACCTTGAAAAGGTTACTGTCACGTCTCATGACAATGACCTATTAATGAGATAAAATTGAATGAAATTGACCCAACAGAACTTGAGTTATCCTAGGCACAAAAAAGTGTAGGAAATAAAAATAAATAATAATAATAAAGAAAGAAAATTCTGACGAAAACAATAGGTGATCTGTCATTGACAGACCACCTAATAAGGACAAAGCAGATTGGAAATTAGGAGAAGGGATGCCATTAAATCACCAGTTGATGTTACAAAATAACTGAAATAAGAAGACCAATAACCGATGAGAAAATAACAATTAAATTTGTTCCCCGTGGTCCCAGCTCGTTGAGAATTTCAGTGTTCAACCTCAATGACTATAACTCAACAGTTAATTTAAAGCATTTAACCTTACTGTGGCTATGCCAAAATATTAAGCATTTGCACTATCATGGACCAACTACTCATTAGGTGCTTTCAAGTACATGCATAAAGCAAAGGAAGCCCTTCCAATCTTTTTCTAAAAAAAGCATTTCCCGAACAGTTTTGTCCGCAAGTGATTTTATGAGCTGCACCCAAAAAGTGCTTGTCTTTAGGTCTATAGATCAGGTGCAGTTAAAAACAAAATTAGACACCGTGTAGAAAAGGGATAAATACCTTCCAGCGGGAGTGCAAGTATTTCGAGACCAAAACCTCCGCCATACAGGCTCTTGAATTCCACCGACAGTTCTCCCTCTGGGAATACTTTATCTGCAATATCACTCCAAGTAAAGGTTGTATCATCTGCAAATGACCACGTGGTCTCTCTCCGGCTTGTAGTTGCACCAATGTTACGTATGATAAGTGAGTCACCAAAATAGAGTTTAATATATTCAACTTGGACTATCAGAGCATTTGCACTGTCTGCTGATGAAACGATCCAGCTTGAATAGATGTAGTCATTTCCATAGTTCACGTAAGAAGGATAAGTGTAGGAGGCAAGGAAAACCGTTTCGTCTGTTGCCAGGATGACAGCTAATGAAAATGTCAAGAAAGATAAAGTAAGTGAAGAATATCTTGCCTATTTATCCACTGCATTGTTATTCTCCTATTCTCAGTTACACATTTTGTATGTCCTGAATCATCATTTTATGAAGGCTTAAAAACAAAGGGGATCAAACTCGAGCGAAAGTTCTCGGGACAATCTATTTTAACACTGTTAGAATAAACATGTGCTATTCAAATCAGGTTTAATATTGAATGCGTTTTTAAAAAAATGGTAACACGAATTGTGTCAAAATATGAACTGAAGCAGAAGATATATGTAAAACGTAAATGAAATGATGAGAAGTACCATTTTCTGCTCTATATTTTTTGTTAATGCAGAGGAGAGGAAATCCACTATCAAAGGAATGTATCAGATCACTTTAAAATACTTTGCACTTGAATCGACTCCAAAGTAGTGGTTGTATGACCCTTTTGAGGGAGGATTCCACTGTTTTGAGCGTTGTTTATCTAAGCCAAACAGAGTTATCTCTAATGTAACTCCTTCTAAAACAGATTTCGAATCGTGTACAATAAAATACTTACAACAATTTGTCTCGTCTGTACCATCAATACAATCAACCTTCCCATCACATACTTTGTTAATGCTAATGAGACCTTTGCCACTGCCAGCATTGCATATAAATTTCCCTACAAAGGACAAGATAGAAGAACAAAGTGAGTTAATATGAATGGCACGCTCCAGTTGATCATATACAACACCAAAAGGTGATCAACACAATCCCACGAACAGGAGGAAATATATCTCTCACTATATCTCTCACTATATAATGTGACAAGTTGATTTAAACCAAAGATTAGGCAGGATCGATATACTCGAACATTTAAAACTTTGATTTCAACAGATCATGCGACTTCAACATATATTTGAACTAAGAACAAAATATGATTTCAAGAGAGGGAGGGGGTCATAAATTATAGAGACGAGCCACCAGCAACCAAAGCAATCAAGAAGAAAGTTATGAATTTCTTTTAAAGTGTGAAAAACTATGGAACTTAGAAAATCACTACACATATTGCCAATTTGGTTATCAGTTTGTGACCTCATTGCCTCACGATTTATCAATTACTTTATATATTTTTATCCCATTAATTTCCCTTTTTATCCCCCAAAACTTGATTTTCCCATGGCTTTGACCAGGTAATATGATTTGTATCAGATTTCGTACATGACATTTGACAAAATCTTTTATGAACTTTGTAAAATTGATACTAATTTCTGAATATTGTATATTCATAATCATTGAATTTTTATATAAATAGTTTATCAAAATTTAAATTTTTCCTGATTACTCTATTTTGGTTCATCAACACAAAAACTTATTATTATCATTATAACTTGGACACTGGTGTGAGGAAAGAAGTTTAGGGGGGAAATTGGAAGTTTATATTATCAATATAAAGAAAACAATGAGTGAATAGTGAGGCAATGATGTCACAGACTCATGAGTGAGCTGCCAATTTGTCTTGTGATTTTCAAAGTTTTTCATGTCATTAAATATTCATAACTTTCTTATTAGTTATCCGATTTTGCTCAATTTTTTATTGGTTTGTATGATTTTTCTGCTTCTATTGAAAGAAATTTATTTTTGGAGTGTACTCGCCCTTTAACAAAGAAATTTAGAGTGCTTTCAAAGTTTTCCTTTTGTTAAACATGATTTTAGACGTAAGGTCGGGTTTAATTGAATTAGTAGAATATGAATGAGTCAAGTCAGCAGTCAGCAATCTACGAGTAGATATATATGCATTTCTAATATATATTTGATTCAAATTATTAACATACTGGTACTTATAATCCAGCCGTAACGTAACAGGCAGTATTTTTCAAAGTTTACTACCAGTAAATGCATGCAAATGCATCAACCTGAAGAAAAACACAACTTAAACCATTCCATCATATGAACTTTATTATTCATAGCTATAATAGCAAAATATGGTGCTTACACTACAATTTGTCAGAGCTGCCATAAAATTTCCCCCCAAAAAAGATGGCTCTTTCAAAACATTGGTGTGAATTACATGGTTATCTCCAAAGGGGGTAGGGCACATTTTGTTGAACAATTCAGTGCACCTTTTGTGGTCAAGAAATTAGCTATGATCTTGAAATTTTGAAGCTGAATTAGTATTGTGCACAGCAGTCTTGCTGCAACCAGCCCTCTTCCTAATATCTTGAAAGAAAACAATGCACATTTATTTGTATCATAGAATCTTTTCTCAATTTGGCTTAGATGGAATATGAAAGTTTGTTTAAATAGAATTAAAAGTGTTATTTTGTGTAATAACTGTACCATCTCGCAGGTAGAGTCCAATATCAATGCTAAAAGCTCCTAAATTGTAATAGTCATCGGTCACAAATTCAATAAAGAGCTCATCTCCTTCAACGACGGTAAAATATGGGTTGTCCAGGGATGTAAAGCCACTGAAATTGACTACAGTGAAGCCATCGGCATCATGGCCTTGTCCTATCTTCAAAGTATCATAGCTGTCGAGGTGCAACTCGTCGATGGTCACAACGAAAGAGAAGTTGCCTCCAGCTGATGAATTTGCCTGGAAGAGCCAAAGGATGGAGGTGTTGCCGTAGTAGCTATTTGGATAATTTGGCGAGTACAGATAAAGATGTTCTCCATTGTCCAGCTCATGTACTGTGTGGAACAATATATTTATTCATTCATTTAATGTCCAGGAAAAGTTAAAAAAAGAAAACATACATGGATCCAAGATTTACCCCGCATACAGACAGACAAATATTTGAGTAAAAATTACAAGGACGTAATTTAGGAATAGATTCCAAAACGGGTTATGAAGGGCATGAACCACTTGATGAATAAAATACTTGTCACACTAAAGGATGAAATTTACATTGTGAACATCAGCAACCCTAAGAGACAGTTCCAATGTGAATATTTCAAGCAATTATTTTGGGGTTGAACACTGAAAACCATACTTTGCGTATTAGATATAGCCATAGAGCTTACATCACAGAAAGGGCAAGCATAGTGATACCTAAAAATGTTTTCAAACTACCTATACTTGCTCTTGTGGAAAGATTAGACTTTAAAAGATGAATGAGGCATGAAATATCAAGACAAAAGGGGCATGCTCTCACACATCATGGAATGCGCTGTATAAATGTAACTTATTGTTATTATGAAGTAATTATATATCGATGCATACCAAGGAAGCACAACGGAAGTATGGTAGTGGTACTGTGAACTTTCTTCTAAAACTTAAAGAGAAACACCCTGGGGTGCAACAGTGCACCTCTGGGTATAATGGGTACCGGTAAGAGTTGAAAGCTGAATGGTTCAATTCTGCACCCTGAGAGACACTGTTATTATAAAAACAAGGGTAGTAATTTAAACCTTTCAACCTTTTCAACATTTTATTATATCAGGTAGTTACATGAATCAAGCCCGATATTCCACATACATATCTTTCTGCGTAACGTCCTGTTACAGTCTACAGACATTTATGTTTCAAGTCAAAAGTTATTAAAAGCAAAAAAAACATTAAGAAAACTTGTACAAATTCCATCTCATCTCGATCAACAATCATGTTCCGATATGAACAGTAAAGGGATCCTTTATGTGTTTCTTCCTAATCTCTACATGTATTTGATTATTTTTATAAATAAGATTTCTGATAACATCACATAAATCATCTCTTTTTACTCACTGCATGATGCCTCATCACTACCGTCTCTGCAGTCTAGTATCACATCACATATAGCGGATCCATTGACTGCCAATGGACCTGTCTTGCATTGGAAAGAATCTGTAATTTACAATAAAAGAAGAAAAACGTATAGATTAAGATAGTATGCCTTAAAAGTCCAAATGTGACCAGGCAACAAAAACATATCAAAAAGCGACCAGATCCTAAAAGAGGAGATTCTCAGCTTAAAATGATATATAAATCATCCCAATATGATGTTCCTAACCCAGTGAAAACAATGAGGTCTCCATTCTAGCATAAAATGTTATTTGAGAAAACTAAAATTTGTAGTATATTCAAGCATGCTGACCCACAAAGAAATGTGCAAGGTGACAAAAAGAGGATTATAACTCCCTATTATCAAATTGTCCTAAAACATAGCATACCGATTAAGTACACGCTGTTCTTATTTTGACCAAGTATCAATGCAAGAGCATTTTAAAGTTATAGGAATCAAAATAATACCAGTAGCCATTGTCATATGAAAACAATTATTACAACAACAAGAAAGATCAGACAAACATCGACAAGTCTACACAAAACTGCTCAAAATACCACTTTTAGATTATTTGGTGCTTCCAGATTTTGAATTAATGTAGAAGGTATCGTGGTCGAGTGGATAAGTCGCCGGACTGTCCATCACAAGGTCAGCGGTTTGAGTCCCGCCGTGGCACTAATGTCCTTTGGCAAGACATTGATCTACATTTGCCACACTCAACCCAGGTGATGTAAATGGCTACCTGGCAGGAATTCACTCCTTGAAATGCTGGAGCGTTGTATACGGCAGCTTGGCGTAAAGCAGGGGTAATAATAAATGCGCCTCGGAATAGAATTTCTAGATAGACGTTGCTATAGAATTGCCTATTATTATTATTATTACCGTAATTAACGTTGTATAAACTGCCCTCGTGTATTAACCACACCCCTCTTTTTTTTTTGCCGACTTTTTTTTGCCGACTTAAAAAACAGTAGAGGACCTAGGATAGAACCTTGTGGTACGCCGTGTAATAGAAGAAAAATTGGAGGAATTATTATTATCAACTACATATTGAAATCTATCAGAGAGATTACTTTCACACCAAGATGACAAACAAATTTGAGTGTTGTTCTAGTTTCAGAGTGGTGAGTCAACACACCGATTACAGAGCTGGGAGACATTGCCAGGCATAGCGCCAGGTGGAGGGGCATAAAACGAAACTTTTTTTTGGTGTACCGTGTATAAACCGCACCCCCGACTTTGAATTTTTTTAGGCGGCAAAAAGGTGCGGTTCATACACCGTTAATTACGGTATTAAGGTATACTCACAACATACTTGACAATCAAATTTGACCATCCCGACCTATTGCACCTCTATGAACCTCTAATTGAAAACCACACCATGCAACTCTTGGTTGGTTTTGTGGTGTATGGTAACTAACACATTTTCATTTGACCATGAAAAAATATGTGACAGACTTATTGCAGTACTTTTTCAACAGACTTAAAAAAAGAAAAGAATTACAATGAATTTTGAAGAAAATTCAAAGAGCTGGGGCCCCCAAATTATCTTGAAGGTGTTTACCAGTGGTTGAGTTGTTTATTAATGTCTCTTTACTGTTATTTCTTGTGTGCCCTCAGCGATGCTACATTTGCAATATCATTTGTCATGATGGTAAAAGCAAACAAATTATTCTGGAGGCAATTTATGTTCCTCTATTCTAATTTTGCAATACTGGGTTAAAGTGAGCCACATTTATATGTGCTGCATGTTAAAGCAAGATTGGTTTTTTTAATTTGTCATGTTTACCTGTGAGATAACCCAAAGATATCTCCATTTGGAAGTAGTAGTAGTTGTAGTATGAACTTGATGTAAATTCAATGAACATCTCTGACGCAGCTAGAATGCGCTCCCCCCTTGGAAATTGCTGGCTTCCACTGAAGACCTCAGAATCATTGTTGGGTACCAGACCGGCTCCAATCCGTAGGACATCACCATAAGAAAGAGATCCGTAGTTGAGAGTGATAATGAATGCTACTTTCATGGAGTTAGTAAGAGCAGGAGCGCTTGAGTTGAAGAGCCACAAGGCACGTGTGTACGATCTGTAACCAGGACTGATTAGTACTCTTGTGTCTCCAAGATAAAGCGTGTGGACTGAAAGAATAAGAGACATTGTTTGGTTCTGTGGTTATTTAATGACTTTTAGACACAATGTCCTGCTTCTTTAATTGAAGGTGGTCACGAATCCTACCCAAGAAATCAACACTTTGCAGAGGCTTACCTGTACAAATTTGACAGCATTTCAATTTCAATGTAATTGACATTTACCAGTACGTTCTTTCAGTAATATTCATCAAGATATACACACTGAACAAGCTTGGGTAACAAGGATTCCTGGTAGAAGGAATCGACTCCCACAAAGCTGTTTGTTGTGTGTAAAATTAAGAAATCACCATTCTTTCATTTCCCTTTAAAATCGTCATCTCAACGGTTATTCTAACACTCTATCGTATAGCCTATATTAATCAAGTTCAGATAATGTAATATGTCATCATCATGTTCAAACATTTTAATAGGTGACTTCAAAGGCATTTGAAAATCTGTAGGTTGATGACTCCAACAAAGCAGTCTGTTGCGTGCAAAAGAGATCATCATTCTTTTAATACTACATATGGCAAGTATTAAAACCAAATGTTTTGGGTACTGCTATGAATAGCAATGGACTAAAAGGTTATTTTTATACTTCTTATAAAGTTTGAAGTGATTTAAATGAGGCTTACATAAATAATTACAACAAAAATAAATATTTTAATTTTTAACATTACAGAAGATACCCTGACTAGTAAATCATTTTATCTTTGATTAAAATAAAGGCATTTGCCTACATTCGGACTTTGTAAGAAACAAACCTGTATGTTGAATTATAACCGTGACAGATAACATTTCGGAGACTATAAAAAAGAAATTCAAGTGAAATGAACATGAAATTACCACAGCCTGTTTCATCACTGGAGTCCAGACAATCTACACTGAGATCACAACGAAAGGACTGGTTGACTGCATGAAATCCATCATTGCACACAAAGAGACCTGAACACCAACAATCAATGTAGAAGGGAGTTATCAGGATCATATTTGAAAAAGAAGATGACCCAAAAAGATGAAAAAATAACGGATACATATTATTATGGACCCTACAACATTGAAAAATTATTATGGTGATGATAGTACTAAATGTTTTACTACTACTTCTATTAGTGAAATTTTTTTACTTGGGAGCAGTGAGCAATAAAGGTCTTGAAACACCAAAACACAATAAAATACTTTCATATCAATGTGAGAAAATTGCACCTATACAACACCTAATCCTAACGATCTTCTGTGAGCAGGAAATTGCATGTAGTTTTTCCCACTGGCTACTACTACTACTTCTACTAATGAAAACAAGTAACTGGAATAGTGAGAGAAAAAAAAGACATGGAAAGGAATACCTGTAGGTTAAAATGGAAACTGTGAGTTTGTTGACCACTCATCAAACATAATATCACATAACACAACTTAATATAACTTGATATACCCTTTATGTATTAAATGTAGCTGGAAAGGTCATTTTCAATATGTAAAGTAATCATTTTCCTTTCTTGTTAATTATTTCTCCCTTTCCCATTCTGCCCACCCCTCTCTCTCTTTGTTTCTCTCCCTGCTCTTCTCATCTTTACCCCTCTCTTTTTCCTTTCTGTTTTCTATTGTCCATACCTTCCATGTCTTCCATTCATCTTTTGGTTTTTACACCTTCTTGCAAGTGAAATGCGATTCCTCTTTCTCTCTCTCTCTCTACTTTTCTCTCCTTCTTCTTCCACCCTCTGTATTTAAGTAATATTTTAATATGATGTGAACATTGTTGTTTTGATAATTCATAATGTACATTGATTGTTACGCCAGTGGATGTTAAATGTCTGTTTTTTTAAACATATGGGTCAATAAAACTAATCTGAATCTGAATCGAAACCCCTAACCCCTAAGCATATAAAAAGAAAGATACACACAACCATGGTGCATACGGTTGCTGCAGGGAAAATTAATAGAATTGACATATACAAATATCCCCTTCTGATAATGATGTGATGAATGTAACAAGGGCAAATCCATACTGTACATATTAGAATATTCAAACATCCCTCTATTTCATGCAAATGTGGCTTGAAAGGTCATTTTCATTTCGTAAAGTAATCATTTTCCTTGCATGTTAATTATTGCTCCCTTTCCCATTCTGCCCTTCCTTTTTCTATTGTTCGTTCCTTTTCTCCATTTCTTCAATTGGTCTTTTGGTATTTACATTTTCTTGCAAGTGAAATGCGATTCCTCTTTTCTTCCACAGTCCCTCTCTCTCTCTCTCTACTTTCCTCTCCTTCTTCTCCCACTCTCTGTATTTGAGTAGTATGTTAATATGACGTAAACATTTAAATTGTTATATTGGTGGTATTCATAATGTACATTGTTTATGCCAGTGGAGGTTAATCTTCTCGTTTTTTTAAACATATGAATCAATAAACCTAATCTGAATTGGAATCTGAACCCCTAACCCCCAATCATATAAGGAGAAAGAAACATGCAGCAGAAGTGCATACAGATTTATTTTCAATATGCACCATCTCCACTTTCTGGGGAGTGTTCTTACCATTATGCTCGCCATGAGGGCATATGGCAATTACCAAAACAAATGCTTTGTTCATCGTACCAGGTCCCCATTTCTCTCCTTGGTATCGAGTGGCAAGTGTAGACTAATGCCTTGCCAAAGGACATTAGTGCTGTGTCTGGGTTCAAGCCCACGACCCTTGAATTTTAAGTAAAGTGCTTAAACCTTTGGACTATGACACCTCTACTATAGGTTACAGATTGTAATAAATTTACCTTCAAGGGAACGGGGAGTAATCGCCAGGTTGAAATGTGAAGAACTATAGGACCTTGTGAGTTCCATGTGCATCTCCGAAGCCTGAATGAGCCTCCTTGCCCCGTTAGACAGGTAGCCATCATTGGCAAATAGAAATTCTGAATCATTACTGGGGACAAATCCAGAGCCAATACGAAGTACATTGCCATAGCGAACATAAATGTCGCTAATGTACACAAAGAAGGCAATGTTACCGGTATCGCTTTGTGAAGAATTGATATTGAATAACCATGTCCTGTTGTAAGGTCTACCGTATGATCCATAATAGCGAAGAGAGTGGGTTTCTCCAACAGTAAGTGAGTATTCTGAAAATGAGTAAGGAGAGAAGAAATAAATCTTATCAATATATAACACTTCATTTCAATTTGTTGTTTAAGTTTTATTACAATGCTCTTTTTCTCCTTTTTTTGGTTTCATTTATTTCTCATTTCCTCAAAGCCATGTAAAAATTAAAGGTACAAACTTGAATTCACTCATACTTAACATAGCCATTTCGTGCTTTGTCATAATGAGAAATTGGAACCTTGAATAGCCTATAGGCTTTGTGGATATAAGTTATTTCTTACAATTGTTATATATTGTAGTGAATACTTGTGTCATCCTTAAATATAAAGATGCAACTTTTCATTAAAAAAAGACGAAATACTTACTGCACTTGTTTTCATCACTGCCATCATTACAATCATCAATAGAATCGCATCGAGCAGTAGAAGTATAAAAAGTTCCATCGGAGCAAACAAAGAGGTCTGTTAAATTTTATAGAAATATAAAGCAAAAAAAAATTGATACTATGATTATGAAGGTAACAATAATTATGATGACTGCATAGCACTACTCTCGACCATGATACTGATAATTTCATAAATGACACACACACAAAAATGTATAGCAAGAATGTTTAAAATCTATATATAATTTTTTTGCCCAGCATTCTTAGGCCAACGGATAGGAGCAGGAAGAAAAATACAGAATAAACAGAACTATACAACGTGCATGGTTCCGTGTGGTCCTTATTCTATGGGAGTGTGTATCGGACGCGTTGAGTAGTATATACTCTATTGAAATTTTTGAAACTCTACCTTGATTACAATATAATGACACTGAGACACCTAACAAACAGAATAAAGTATATTTTGGTGATTGGTACACTTTTGTCTCTGCTAGCATGAATAGGTCCTAAATATGGCTCTAGGACACCTGCCCCCCGGATAACCAACCCCAGTCAACTACCCCCGAGGACAACTACCCCCCACGGCAACCACCCTCAGGACGACTTCCCCCCGGACAACTACCCCATAGGACAAATTCCCCCGTACAACTACCCTCTAGGACAACCATTCTCTGCGACAACTACCCCCTGGACAACTTTCCTTGGGGTAGTTGACTGGGGGTGGTTATCCAGGGGGTGGATGTCCAGGGGCAAGTGTCCGGATACGCCTAAATATATGTGAATTTCGTCATTCCTGCAACTGGCTGATGTAGATGAATGAATAACCAAATGATGTTAGTATCACCGAAAGGACTCAAATACTATTTAATAACCCAATCCATAGAGAAAACAATGTTTTTGTTACTATTCTTCACAGCAAAATGTTAAAATCCACTCAGGAATAATCAATCACTTTAGAGTGAATACTTAATTTTGAAAATGCTTTTGAATTTAATTTTCTGCTACTTTCTTTACATGTTTTATAAAGAGGTGTCAATGTGGATAGGATTCGCAATTAGATTCCCGCTACAGCACTTTTCTATCCTTTGACAAGACTTAATCAAAATTTGGCGCTCTTCAGCCGGTTGTAGTAAATTGGATCCGGCAGGAATCTATTCCTTGAATGCTGCTAGGCTAAATCCAGGGTATGTAATTTGCAGGTGCCTTATAAAGCATCTGCTAGGATAGGTATGTGCACATCATAAAAATGCATGCAGCTTTTAAAATATTACTAATAAATAAGATAATAATTACAATAATAATACTAATGATACTAATAATAACAACAACAATATTAATGATTTAAAAAAATGTCTTACAAACAGCCCTCTTTGTAATATTTTGAAAGAAAACAAAGCAGTTTTATTTGTATCATAGAATTTGTTCTCTATTTGGCTTAGATGTCATCCCAAAGTTTTTTTTAAAATACAATTGAATGTGGTTTAATATTTTGTTTGTTAACTTTACCATCTTGCAAGTAGAGTCCAATATCGATGCTAAAAGCTCCTGAATCGTAATACCGGTAGTCATCGGCCACAAATTCAATAAAGAGCTTATCTCCTTCAACGACGGTAAAATATGGGTTGTACAGGGATGTAAAGCCAGTGAAATTGACTACAGTGAAGCCATCAGCATCATGGCCTTGTCCTATCTTCAAAGTATCATAGTAGTCGAGGTACAACTCGTCGATCGTCACAGCGAAAGAGAAGTTGCCTCCAGCTGATGAATTTGCCTGGAAGAGCCAAAGGATGGAGGTGTTGCCATAGTAGCTATTTGGATAATTTGGTGAGTACAGGTGTAGATGTTCTCCTTTGTCCAGCTCATGTACTGTGTGGAACAATATATTTATTTATTCATTTAATATCCAGGAAAAGACATACAGAGATCCAAGATTTACCCCAAATGAACAAATGCTATTAATTTTAAGCTTTTTTTTTTACACACACTGATGCACCCTCAACCATCCCACATACAGACGGACAAATATTTAAGTAAAAATTACAAGGACGTAATTTAGGAATAGATTCCAAAACAGGTTATGAAGGGCAAGAACCACTTAATGACTAAAATACTTGTCACACTAAAGGATGAAATTTACATTGTGAATATCAGCAACCTTTGATAAGAGACAGTTCCAATGTGAATATTTCAAGCAATTATTTTGGGGTTGAACACTGAAGAGCATACTTTGCGTATTAGATATATAGCTATAGAGCTTACATCACAGAAAAGGTATTCATAGTCAGATCTAAAAAAAAATTCAGACTATCCATATTTGCTCTTGTGGAAAGATTAGACTATAAAAGATGAATGAGGCATGAAATATCAAGAAAAAAGAGGCATGCTCTCACATACCATGGAATGCGCTATATAAATGTAACTTATTGTTATCATGATTATGAAGTAATTATATATCGATGCATACCAAGGAAGCACAACGGAAGTATGGTAGTGGTACTGTGAACTCTCTTCTAAAACTTAAAGAGAAACACCCTGAAGAGACCAAACAAGGGAGCAATATTATAAGCTGGGTGCAACAGTGCACCTCTGGGTATAATAGGTAAGAGTTGAAAGCTGAATGGTTCATTTCTGCACCCTGAGAGACACTGTTATTATAAAAAATAAGGGTAGTAATTTGAACCTTTCAACCTTTTCAACATTTTATTATATCAGGTACTTACATGAATCAAGCCCGTTATTCCACATTATGACATATCGGTACAAATCTTTCTACTTGAAGGTCACGTCCTGTTACAGTCTAAAGGCATTTATGTTTAAAGTCAAAAGTTATTAAATGCAACCAAAAAAAATAAGAAAACTTGTACGAATTCCATCTCTTTTCAACCAACAATCATGTTCCAATATGAACAGTAAAGGGATCCTTTATGTGTTTCTTCCTAATCTCTACATGTATTTGATTATTTTTATATTATGAGATTTCTGATAACATCACTTAAATCATCTCTTTTTACTTACTGCATGATGCCTCATCACTACTGTCTCTGCAGTCTGGTATCACATCACATACAGCAGATCCATTGACTGCCCATGGGCCTGTCTTGCATTGGAAAGGATCTGTATTTTACAACAAAAGAAAAAAAAAAGTATAGACTAAGATAGTATGCCTTAAAAGTCCAAATGTGACCAGGCAACAAAAACATCCTAAAAGAGGAGATTCTCAGCTTCAAATGATATATAAATCATCCCAATATGATGTTCCTAACCCAGTGAAAAAAATGAGGTAACCATTTTAGTATAAATTGTTACTTGAGAAAACTAAAATCTGTAGTATATTCAAGCATGCCGACCCACAAAGAAATGTGCAAGATGGCAAAAGGAGGATTATAACTCTCTATCATCAAATTGTCCTAAAACATAGCATACCAATTAATTACACGCTGTTTTTTTATTTAGACCAAGTATCAATGCAAGAACATTTTAAAGATATAGGAAATAAAAATAATACCAGTAGCCATGGTCATATGAAAACAATTATTACAACAACAAAAAAGATCAGACAAACATCGACAAGTCTACAAAAAACTGCTCAAAATACCACTTTTAGATTATTTGGTGCTTCCAGATTTTGAATTAATGTAGAAGGTATCGTGGTCGAGTGGATAAGTCGCCGGACTGTCGATCACAAGGTCAGCGGTTTGGGTCCCGCCGCGGCACTAATGTCCTTTGGCAAGACATTGATCTACATTTGCCACACTCAGCCTAGGTGATGTAAATGGCTACCTGGCAGGAATTCATTCCTTGAAATGCTGGAGCGTTGTATACGGCAGCTAGGCGTAAGCAGGGGTAATAATAAATGCGCCTCGGAATAGAATTTCTAGATAGACGGTGCTATAGAATTGCCTATTATTATTATTATTATTAAGGTATACTCACAACATACTTGACAATCAAATTCGACCATTCCGACCTATTGCACCTCTATGAACCTCTAATTGAAAACCACACCATGCAACTCTTGGTTGGTTTTGTGGTGCATGGTAACTAACACATTTTCATTTGACCATGAAAAAATATGTGACAGACTTATTGCAGTACTTTTTCAACAGACTTAAAAAAAGAAAAGAATTACAATGAATTTTGAAGAGAATTCAAAGAGCTGGGGCCCCCAAATTATCTTGAAGGTGTTTACCAGTTGTTGAGTTGCCCTGATAGCAGACTGACGTCTTAAAGACGTCATAAATTGGTCGTAAAGTGGTAAACACGTCGTACGTCGTATGGACGACGTAATTACGACGTCATTATGACGTCTTTATAAGACTATTTTTTCCAAGATAATTTTTGTCGAATTAACGACGTCATAAAGACGTCATTTTGACGTCTTTAAAAGACTATTTTTGTCATATAAACGACGTGATAATGACGTCATTATGACGTCTTTAAAAGACTATTTTTTCCAAGATAATTTTTGTCGTATTAACGACGTCATTTTTCGTCTTTAAAAGACTTTTTTTCCAAGCTTATTTTTGTCTTATTGACGACGTGATAACGACGTCATTATGACGTCTTTAAAAGACTATCTTTTTCAATGTAATGTTGTCGTATTGACGACGTGATAACGACGTCATTATGACGTCTTTAAAATACTATTTTTTCCAAGCTAATTTTTGTCGTATCGACGACGTCATTATGACGTCTTTAAAAGACTAATTTTTTCATTGTAATGTCGTCGTATTGACGACGTGATAACGACGTCATTATGACGTCTTTAAAAGACTATTTTTTCCAAGCTAATTTTTGTCGTATCGACGACGTCATTATGACGTCTTTAAAAGACTATTTTTTCCAATGTAATGTTGTCGTATTGACGACGTGATAACGACGTCATTATGACGTCTCTAAAATACTAATTTTTCCAAGCTAATTTTTGTCGTATCGACGACGTCATTTTGACGTCTTTAAAATACTATTTTTTTCCAAGCTATTTGTTGTCGTATTGACGACGTCATTACGACGTCATTATGACTTCTTTTAAAGACTATTTATTCCAAGATAATTGTTGTCGTATCGACGACGTCATTACGACGTCTTTAAAAGACTATTTTTTCCAATATATTTTTTGTCGTATTGACAATGTCATTACGACGTCATTATGACCTCTTTTAAAGACTATTTTTCCAAGATATTTTATAGTCGTAAGGACGACGTTATAACGACGTCATTGTGACGTCTCTAATAACTTTTTTTTTCAAGATAATAATTGGGTTAAGACTACAACATCTAATATGAGCATAAGTCAAAGTAAATAGGGCAATAATCAGAATTAAAAATAGGGAACAACCCCCCCCCCCCTCAATTGTCATTAGTCATTAATAGTGGACCAATTTCACACCAAGGTCTGCAATATCGATCAAGACTATACATGCTCGCATCTAGTTTGCTATTTCAAACGGGAATGTGTACGTACGTGTGTGTACAGGTACATTCAGCACTCAAGGCAATGCGTAGGACTACAATGCATTGCATTGCACTATACGATGTGTGTATGTAATGTATTTGAATTCAGAGTGAAAAAGCCGTTGCAAGAACTATCATCCTCCTGAATACTCTCGTTTTCTCCTGCAAATTTACAGTATGGGTAAGTCCTAGAATTACCTAATTTATTTACGAAAAGTACATAAATCTATAGTTACTGTTTTTTATTCTGAAAAGTTGATATGTAGACTCTTTGTTACTGTAATGCATGATCTTATGTCAGTGATAGTGAGCTCGGACTTTAAACATTTGCTGACTAGATTCGAAATGTATGATCCCATATATGTATTTTTATGTAGGGTTTTGATTGATGGGATGCATGGCATGGGGCATCATTTAAAGCAAAAAAGTTTACTCATTTGCCTACACATGGGCTGCATGGCTTTAAAGGGAAATCCAACTCGAATATACAACTGCTCTAAAACTGAAAGAAAGCAGAAAAATAAGAGAAGCAAACTGATGAAAGTTTTGGCACTAGGTAGGTCTAGAATCTACTGCTAAGTCACACCTAAGATGGATAATACATGCAGTCACTCCTTTATTCCAAGCAATACTGTAGATCTACTACTAGTTCAGAATCATATCCAGACTTTTTGACCAGTGACCCATGGCGTGGCCGGTGAGAGTCCTAAAAATCTAAAACATAGGTCTAGATCGGCCTACCCCAAATCAAGCAAATATTCATGAAATGTTCAAATAATGCCGGTCATGATTTAAAAGTCGTTATGTTTCTAACCTGTTTCTGGTCAATTTTTCTTATTTTGGGGGGAGTATTTTTCGGGAAAAACGTTGATTGTAGTATACACTTTCTGACAGGTTGCACGGCAAACCGCTGCACAATACAAGTGCATACAGATGGAGGGTTGCGGGGGCACGTAAGTCTGCGTGAAGTGATCTACCTCCTCATTGTACGGTAGATAACTTCACACAGGCGTGCACCCGCCCGCAACCACCATTGGTATGCACTTGTAATGTGCAGCGGTTTACAGTGAAACCTGTGAGAAAGTGTACTATAGTACCGGCCCAGGCCCAGATGTTTGAAAATTGAACATTGCGTGTCGATACGTAGAGGAATAAAGCAGTGACTTGTGTCACAAACATGTAACCTTAAACAATTTGTTTCTACAGTCTTTAGACAGCAAATTTAGCTTATAGGCTACCGTATACAGAAATCTTAACTGGAAATAATCGGTTAGACCTGTAAATGGTAAACAAAATTCTTTCCCCACAGGCTGTTCAAAGAAGCTTGTAGTATTTGTGTTGCACATGCATACATTATCAACCTTTCATTTTGTTTTAACTTTATTCATTTTCTCATTTATTTGTAGGCATCTTTTTTTAACATCTTTCGTCAAAGAAGTGGATTCAAAGCACATTGTGGCCTCAGTATATTGATGTGAAACCATGCAGAAAATGCTACTTTCTCTCAACCTTGTGGATGTTCCCTACTTCCCTAAGGATCAGCAGCCTCTTGAAACAGGTGAAGCCATTATCGGTAAATGTGTACATGTACTTGTATTATTTCTGTACATTTATTTGTCATATTGTGCATGATCACTGAGACACTGACGAATTAGACACTACATAATGGTTCATTTCATTTGAAAGGCTTATTTCAGTTATTTGTCCTAAGTTTCAAATATATTTATAATTCAATTAATTTTAGATCACTAAAACCTGCAGGTATGTTGCAATAACCGACAATATTATGTGAGTTTCAAACAGTGTTTTTTTACCCTACAGCATAGGTCAAGGAGCTTTCATTCTACCCTCATCAGCAAACTACAGGAATGCCAGTTTTCAGGCAATAGCCTGAATTCAGGCCCTGAGGAGTTATTTTCATACCATAGTTTAGGTTTTTTGTGTACAAGCTAGCTCATTCTAGGTGATTTTTCAGGTCCTCTGATCAATTCTAACTGGCATCCCTGAAACTAGAATTGTATTGATAATTAACCAAACAAAATCCTGAATCACGTTTTGCATTGCCCACAAATGTTTAAAACCCAAAGGTGTGTTGACTTTATGTTTGTGAGCAATAAGAAATTATTTCTGATAAATCTTACCAAGCAGTACTTTTCTGACAGAATTAATTATTTATGTTCCAGTTTTAAAATATATGAAAGTTTTTCTTAAATTGTATTCCTTTCTTTTTGCTTTATTCATGCATTAGAATTCCTTGCGTCTATGTTCCTTGGATTTGAAAACAGTGCATAATGCAGGAGATTCCACCCAAAAGCTAACCCACAAGTCCAAGCTGAAGTGGAATATTTCGCAAAATTTGATCTACACTCACCCGATAGCTTTACTGCTAGAGAAAGGTTATTTTTTCACTTCATTATACTTTATAGAGAGAGATTGGGGGGGGGGGGGGGGGGGAGGGGGAGGGGGAGGAGTGAGGTGTAGCCACAAACCTGAATGGATAAGCTGTAGAACTGAAATTTCCAGTCATGTTACTTGCAATTTTAATGAATTACAGGATTTACGAACTGACATAATAACGATTTGGGTAAAAGTCTAAAAGATTCCAGTATTTTGAGGATATTTGTAATTACTATTCATGAAGTTGACCTGTTTCATAATGTCTCATGCTCACCCCCCTCCCCCCACCCCATCCACTTCATATCAGTTCTTAAAACATGTTGCAAATTATATATACATTGTAAGTTGGTAATAGAGAAAAATTGAGTGAGGTAAATGCAATACAAATCGAATCCATTATTAAGCAATTAAGACTTGTTCAGGTACGGCACGTGAACCTCCACAAATTTAAAAAATGATGCAGTTTGGTTTTATGTGTAAAGTGAATGGCAACAAAGGACCTACCGGTGCGTGTCTTTGTATGTTTTGGACTGCGCAAATTCAGTGAGCTCTTTTTAATAATATACACTATGTAAAGCGTATTGAACTCTATGTCAGCATTTAAAAAACTCTGCGATTTTGACTGTTTTGCAGCATCATATCTGAGCAAGCCTTAACGGGACGTGGTAAAATTGTTCAGATGAGAGACAATTGTGCTAAGGTATTGACTTCAATGCTATATGTACACTTAAAGATAATCTGAAAGTTTGAGTGAAAAAAGACCATTATTGATGATAAAAATTGGGAACAACTGATCTGATCGATTCCTTAATTCTTCCAACTATATTATTATAATTTAATTAAATTTTAGGTGAATGTAAATCATCACAAAGAAAAGAATTGGCTCTAATACCTTAGATTTTTAAAGGCCTGTTTTATATCTTATTTTCATGGAAAAACGGTTGGGGGAAAATTCAAAAATTTATTGGGAGAATGAAGTGTTAAAGAGTGACACACAGTGGCGCCTTCAAAGAAAACCATAAATATCTTTGTGGTTTGAGAATTTTTTGGTAGTTAAAAGTATAAAATTCTTGGATTGTATCTGTGATTTTGAGAGCACTATATGGCTTACCTTTATTGAATTCGCTGTTAAAATTTAAGTTAAATTAATATTTTGTGAAACTCCCCCCAGGAGTTTCAAACGTGCCAAATGAATGTTGTGACATTAGCAATAGAATGTATCTCTTTGTGCTAAACTTGTTCAGCATGTTTGCTATTTTATCTTAAACTTGGAAATATCTTCTGAATAATTATTGCACAGTCACCTTCGAATTGCCCAACAAAGCCACTCGTACTGGCGGGAATGTTATCTGATATAAATTGTATTTTTATACTTGAACTTCAGCTTCTGTATTTGCAACAATTTTTTTTTGGATGATATTTATAAAATATGAATGTTGCCACTAATGCCTTTTCTTGTATTTAAGTCATGTGCCAGTAAGAAGCAGGTTTCTAGCACAGAAAATAGGTACAGTTGAGCTGATATCTGCACAGTTTTCCAATATGCTGTATCGCCAAATGTGAACATTGTGGTTTCAACGGGCAAGCAACCATCATCAGAAAACTCTGCAGGTATCAGTGAAGCTGTCCCTGTTCCCCTTGCTGCCAACTTGTTCCTTTTGAGTGTAAGAAATAACTTAGCTAAGCCATGTGTTTATCATTTGTGCCATTTTTCTCTTGTGTGTGATTTAGATTGTATAGTTTTATACTTTATACTGAATTCTTGCCATAAACTTAGATATTCCCCTTGTATGTAACAAGTATTGATCTTTCATGCTCAGGAATTGTTTCCAACAACCTTTTGTTTTATGTTATAGTCTTTATCTGCATTAAAGTATTGGGGTTGTGAGGAGCAGTGTTGCAGCATGGAGAAGAAATAGAGCTGCACTGATGAATGCCCAGCTTTCCACTATGCTGTTTTGCTGAATATGAGGAACTTCCCCAGTCTGATGTTTTCTTGTCTACTAAACAACTGCGGGTATCAGTGTAGCTTTACCTAGTCTCTATGCTGCTAACCTGCTTCTCACAACCGCAAGACTTATAAGTTAAGCCAATATATATCATAGTTTCTTGTAACTGAATTAAATTTGAAATGAAATAGCACAATTTATAACGAAACAAATATCTTTGTGATGGCCTGTTAACTTTCTTAAAATCAATTATGAGACTGACAGAAATACACTAGGTATTTATACAGCATGTTTTGGAAGAAGTTTCAGGATGGTGATGGAAAGATTTTGTATTTATAGAAGACAAGTTAGATAAAAGAAGGTATAAACATAAGTATTCTATATTTTTATTATCCATTTTCATACCATATAAATGAACATTAAAAATATGAAAATTACTTTCTGTCTGGCATGTGTATATATTATGTGATGCAATATCTGTTGCTCTATTTTTACTGTGTGAATGTTCAGAATGTATTCATGAAGTGACTTTTACACTTTCTTCCTTCATCAGGTGGTCATATAGATGTCATTTAGAGGACACAAAAGACGTAAAGATCATGTAAGGATAAAAGGTACATCGAAATGACCAGTAAGATGTAAATATCACGTCAAAATTTGATGTCCATACAACATATACACGACGTCTGTAGGACGTCTTTCTTGGGTAAAAGTTGACGTCTTAAAGACGTCTTTCTTGGACCAATAAGACCAGAAAAAAATATGACGTCCATACGACGTCTTCCATGGTACAAGTTGACGTCTTAAAGATGTCTTTCTTTGACTAATAAGACGTTAAAATCACGACAAAATATGACGTCCATACGATGTCTTTCTGTAGTACAAGGTGACGTCTTAAAGACGTCTTTCTTTGACCAAAAGATGTAAATATGACGTCCATACGACGTCTTTCTATGGCACAAGTTGACGTCTTAAAGACGTCTTTCTTTAACTTATAAGACGTAAAAATCACGTCATAATATGACGTCCTCATGACGACGTGCGCGGGTGCAAAATCATGTCTTTTTGACGTCGTGTTATGTCGTCTTAAAGACGTCTTTCTTTAACTAAAAGACGTAAATATGACGTTCATATGACGTCTTCCTATGGTACAAGTTGACGTCTTAAAGACGTCTTTCTTTGACTAGTAAGACGTAAATATGACGTCCATACGACGTCTTCCTAAGGTACAAGTTGACGTCTTAAAGACGTCTTTCTTTGACTAATAAGACGTAAAAATCACGTCAAAATATGACGTCCTCATGACGACGTGCACGGGTGCAAAATCATGTCTTTTTGACGTCGTGTTATGTCCTCTTAAAGACGTAGTACAAGACGTAAATATGACGTGATATTTACCAGTCTCTGCTATCAGGGTGTTTATTAATGTCTCTTTACTGTTATTTCTTGTGTGCCCTCAGCGATGCTACATTTGCAATATCATTTGTCATGATGGTAAAAGCAAACAAATTATTCTGGAGGCAATTTATGTTCCTCTATTCTAATTTTGCAATACTGGGTTAAAGTAAGCTACATTTATATGTTCTGCATGTAAGCAAGATTGGTTTTTTAAACCAGTCATAACGAATATACATAATGTATCAATTATAATTATACATCAACTAGTTTTTTATGAATTCTTTTTTATTTTGTTGAAACTTCTTCAATTTTGTATGGAATCTTGTGTGTAACAAAGACAGTATAAACATTTGCTACATGTAAATGACTAAAGGTTAAAATTTGGCATGTATTTTTGAGAAATAGAATGCTAATATGGTATATATTAACTGTAACTAGCCGGCTTGTTACTTTGTGAAAATAAGCAAATTTATAAAAAAAAAAGATTTAACAGAAGGTCAACTAACTAATTTTAGAAGAAAAAGAATTACACTTTTGACCTTACAATGTGCTAATTTGAATTCATGAAACTGAAAAGGTATTGTAAATAAAAAGTATTAAATTTGTATGTAAAATTTGTCATGTTTACCTGTGAGATAACCCAAAGATATCTCCATTTGGAAGTAGTAGTAGTTGTAGTATGAACTTGATGTAAATTCAATGAACATCTCTGACGCAGCTAGAATGCGCTCCCCCCTTGGAATTTGCTGGCTTCCACTGAAGACCTCAGAATCATTGTTGGGTACCAGACCGGCTCCAATCCGTAGGACATTACCATAAGAAAGATATCCGTAGTTGAGAGTGATAATGAATGCTACTTCCATGGAGTTAGTAAGAGCAGGGGCGCTTGAGTTGAAGAGCCACAAGGCATGTGTGTTTGAGTAACCAGGACTGAGTAGTACTCTTGTGTCTCCAAGATAAAGCGTGTGGACTGAAAGAATAAGAGACATCATTGTTTGGTTCTGTGGTCAATTTTAGACACAATGTCCTGCTTCTTTAATTGATGGTGGTCACGAATCCTACCCAAGAAATCAACACTTTGCAGAGGCTTACCTGTACAAATTTGACAGCATTTCAATTTTTAAAGTAATTGACATTTATGTCCTTTCAGTAATATTCATCAAGATATATACACACTGAACAAGCTTGGGTAACAAGGATTCCTGGTAGAAGGAATTGACTCCCACAAAGCCGTTTGTTGTGTGTCAAATTAAGAAATCACCATTCTTTCATTTTCCTTTAAAATAGTCATCTCAACGGTTATTCTAACACTCTATTGTATTGCCTATATTAGGCAATTGAAATTATATAGGTTAATGACTACCACAAAGCAGTTGTGTGGTAAAGAGATCATTCTTTACTACATAATGCGAGTAAAACCAAACTGTTTTGGGTGCTGCTATGAAGAGCAGTGGACTGAAAGGTTATTTTGATACTTCTTGTAAGTTTTTTAATGATTTGAAAGAGGCTTTAATACATGAATAATCACAACAAAAAGAAATCTTTATATTTCCATCATTGCAGAAGATACACTGACTAGTAAAACATTTTACCTTAGATCAAAATATACCGTAGGCATTTGCCTATACTCGGACTTTGCTATGAGGCAGTCACCCAAAGAAGATGCATGGGGAACGCACAGCCCGCGCATTGAAAATTTGCAAGTTGCGTTCTCGTTCGTCAAGCCCGCTAGACCAACGCTATGCATTCAACGTCATTTGCGCTGTGTGTCGGGGAATAAGTGTGCACGGAGCATGACGCACTTTATAAAATAGCTCTAGTATTTTATGCATCGTGACTGGTCAAAATGCATCACATGACATGCAACATTTTTTGTGCACTGCATGTGTGCAAAAAAAGCCCAACAAAAAGTATCATTGCACGCTAGCAACACGCTATGCATGGGCGCACAACGATGCACTGACCTTATTTTCTAATTTTTCAATACGCAGGCCATACGTCGTCTATGTGTGACCGGGCCATAAGAGACAAACCTGTATGTTGAATTATAACCGTCATAGATAATATTTCACAGACTATAAAAAACAAAAACAATATTCAAATAAAGTGAACATAAAATTACCACAGCCGGTTTCATCACTGGCGTCTGGACAATCTACACTGAGATCACACAGAGAGGACTGGTTGACTGCATGAAATCCATCATTGCACACAAAGAGACCTAAACACCAGCAATAAATGTAGAAGGGAGTTATCAGTTCATTGGCTCTGCAAGATACATACACTGTACATGTCCCGAGTTTGATAGTAATCCATCAGTCAGTATTGACAATGCATTCAAAAGCTATTTTTGCATACATAATGTACCCTATGACCTTTCACCTCGTGACCCCAACATCTAATCAATTCATTGGCTCTGCCGTTGCCTTAGTTTGGCGGTAATTCATCAATCGGTTCTTGTGATAACGTGATCACAAGCTATTTTTGCATATATAATGAGCCCTGTGACCTTTGACCTCTTGACCCTAAAAGTGGCAATTGGCAAGTGTAGACCAATGTCTTGCCAAAGGACATTACCGGTAGTGCCGTGTAGGGGATCGAACCCACGACCCTTGAATTTCAAGTAAAGTGCTTAAACCTTTCTCTACTATAGGTTACAGATTGTTAAAAGAATTACCTTCAAGGGAACGGGGTGTAATCGCCAGGTTGAAATGTGAATAACTATAGGAGCTTGTGAAATCCACGTGCATCTCTGATGACTGAATGAGCCTTCTTGCCCTGTTAGACGGGTGGTCATCATTGGTAAATCGAAATTCGGAATCATTACTGGGGACAAATCCAGAGCCAATACGAAGTACGTTGCCATAGCTTAAATAAATGTCGCTAATGTACACAAAGAAGGCAATGTTACCAGTATCGCTTTGTGAAGAATTGATATTGAATAACCATGTTCTGATGTAAGGTCTACTGTATGATCCATAACTGTAAAGAAAGTGGGTTTCTCCAACAGTAAGCGAGTATTCTGAAAAAAAGTTATGAGAGAAGAAAAAAATCACATCAATATATAACACTTCATCTAAATTTGTTGTTTAAAATGTTGTTATATGCTCTTTTTCTCCTTTTTTGTTGGTTTCATTTATTTCTCATTTCCTCAAAAATGTCCATGTAAAAAAAGTACAGACTTAAATTCACTCATGTTACATAGCCACTTCACGTAATGTCAAAATGGACAAATTGGAACCTTAAAAAGCTCACAGGCTTTGGGGGTATAAATTCTTTTGAAAAATTACTTTTTATTGTAGTGAATACTTTTTCATCCTCAAATATAAAGATGCAACTTATCATTAAAAAAGATGAAATACTTACTGCAGTTGTTTTCATCACTCCCATCATTACAATCATCAATAGAATCGCATCGAGCAGTAGAATTATAAGAAGTTCCATCGGAGCAAAAAAAGAGGTCTGTTAAATTTTATAGAAATATAAAGCAAAAAAATATAAATTAATACTATGATTATGAAGGTTACAATAATTATGATGCCTGCATAGCACTACTCTTAACCATGATACTGATAATTTTATAAATGACACACACAAAAATTCGGCAACGGGATAGAAAAAAGCCTGTTCCAATCACACACACAAACAAACTGTGTAGCAGGAAAGTTTAAAATCTACATACAATTTTTTGGCCCAGCATTCTATGGGCCAACGGATAGGAGTATAAAGAAAATACAGACTTAACAGAATACCATGTGCACGTGTGGTTCTTATTCTATACAAGTGTGTATGGACATGTTGAGTAATCTATTCACAAATCAATAATTTGTTGATTTCGATATCTCTTTATTGAAGTTATCTTTGAAACTCATATCTTGATTATAGTATAATGACACTGACACGCCTAACATACAGAATAGAATATTTGTTGTGATTGGCACACTGTAATCTCCAGCAACTTTATCTATCCTGCAAATGGCAGATGTAGATAAAAGAATTGCCAAATTATGTTAGTACCGGTATTTAATATTATACAACAAAACTCCTAGATCCTTGTTATTTGATGTAAAAAGAATTCATTCAAGAAAGTTTCGTGAATGTATAATTATGGCTGACAAATAAATCTCAAGTTTAATAAGGCTTAATTTAGTGCGCACACATAGCTATACAGTAGATATAGCAAGCGCACTCACCTCTATACCCATTTACGCATAGTGCTGCGCAAGAATAGGCTCATGCTCACGCAGTATTAAGCGCTCTTACCTCTACGCGCACTACTGCGCTCTGAAAACGAGTTCAATAGTACTGGAAAATATTGCACTCCTTTTCATTAAAACGAGTGCAATAGGATCAGTAAATGAATCACACGTGACCGTGCATGACCAATCATTTGATTAGTGATCTGGGAGTGATGCTGTGTGTATCTATCGCACTCAGCCTAACGGCTTTGTGCGATAGATACACACAGCTTCAACTCGAGTGCGGATAGATCGTATAATGAACTCATGCGCATGCATCATTTGTATACTGATGGGACTCAAATGCTAATGGCCCAATCAATAGTACAGGTTCAATTTGAGAAAACAATGTTTTTGCTACTGATCTTCACAGTAAAGTGTTAAAATCCACTTAGGAGTAATCAATTACTTCAGAGCGAATACTTAATTTTGAAAATGCTTTTGAATTTAATTTTCTGTTCCTTTCTGTACATGTTCTAGAAAGAGGTGTCAATGTGGATACGATTCGATTTGATTCCCGCTGCAGCACTTTTCTGTCCTTTGACAAGACTTAATCTACATTTGGCACTCTTCAGCCGGTTGTAGTAAATGGGATCTGGGAGGAATCTATTCCTTGAATACTTGAATGCAGCTAGGCTAAAACCAGGGTATGCACTTTGCAGGTGCCTTAAGCACCTGCTAGGATCGGTATATGCACATCGTAAAAAGTTTTAGGTTTTAGGACGGGACAATTACCTCCTGGGCAATCACCCCCCCCCCCCCAGCCAATTTCCAGTGGGCAAGAAATCCCCAAGGACAATTACCCTGGAAAATTACTCCCCAAGGACAACCACCTCCTGTGGAAAATTACCCCCCCCCCAAGGACAATTACCTCCAGAAAATACTTTTTTATCAGGGTGGACTTCCCCTTTAATGAACAAGGGGGTAATTTTCGGAAGGGGGGGGGGGGTAATTATCCTTGGGCTGGTTGTCCTTGGTTGTCCTCAGGTGGAAAAGGTAATTGTTCTAGGGGGTTAGTTTTAGGGGTGAGGATAATTGTCCTCGGGGGGGTAATTGTCCACTGGGAGAATGGTCCACGGGTAATTTTCTGGAGGGTTGGTTGTCCTCAGGAGGTAAATTTCTGGGGGGTAAATTTCCGGGGGATATTGTACTTGGGGGGGGGGGGACAGTCTTCCGGGGGAGGGGGGGGGGGGGGGGGGGAGGGTAATTTTCAGGGGGTAATTGTCCTGATACGCAAAAAACTGAATGCAGCTTTTATAATATTAACATTAAATACAATAATAAAGATAATAATAACACTAATGATATTTATAATAACAACAATATTAATGATTATAAAAATAATGTTTTGCTGCAAACAGCCCTCTCTTTGTTATATTTTGAAAGAAAACTTTCAACTGTTTTTGTAATACAATTAAATGTGGTTTAATATTTTGTTTAATGACTTTACCATCTAACAAGTAGAGTCCAATATCGATTCTAAAAGCTCCTGAATCGTAATAGTCATCGGTCATAAATTCAATAAAGAGCTTATCTCCTTCAACGACGGTAACATATGGGTTGTACAGGGATGTAAAGCCAGTGAAATTGACTACAGTGAAGCCATCGGCATCATGGCCTTGTCCTATCTTCAAAGTATCATAGTCGTCGAGGTGCAACTCGTCGATGGTCACAACAAAAGAGAAGTTGCCTCCAGCTGATGAATTCGCCTGGAAGAGCCAAAGGATGGAGGTGTTGCCGTAGTAGCTATTTGGATAATTTGGCGAGTACAGGTAAAGATGTTCTCCATTGTCCAGCTCGTGTACTGTGTGGAACAATATATTTATTCGTTCATTTAATATCCAGCAAATTAAAAAAAAAAAGACATACATAGATCCAAGATTTACCCCCAATCATTTTTTAAAAAAACGGGTAATGAAGGGCAAGAACCACTTGATGACTAAAATACTTGTCACACTTAAGGATAAAATTTACATTGTGAACATCAGCAACCAATGTAAATATTTCAAGCAATTATTTATGGGATGTACACTGAAGAGCATATTACACTTTGTGTAATATATATATATATATATAGCCATAGAGAAGGCATACATAATCAGATACATAATCAGATAATCAGATCTAAAATGTTTTCAAACTAATCATACTTGCTCTTGTGGAAAGATTAGACTCTAAAACTTAAAGAAAGAGAAACACCCCGAAGATACCGAACAAGGGAGCAATATTATTAGCTGGGGTGCAACAGTGCACCTCTGGGTATAATAGGTACATATAAGAGTTGAAATCTGAAAGGTTAAATTCTGCACCATGAGAGACACTGTTATTATCAGAAATAAGGGTAGTAATTTAAACCTTTCAACCTTTTCATCATTTTATTACGAAAGGTACTTACATGAATCAAGCCCAGAATTCCACATACAAATCTCTTTCTACTTCAAGGCCACTTCCTGTTTAATACAGTGTTCATAAATGTATGTATAAGATATAAAGTTATAAAATGCAAACAAAAACATTAAGAAAACTTGTACAAATTCCATCTCATTTCGACCAACAATCATGTTCCAATATGAACAGTAAAGAGATTTTTTGAGTGTTTCTTTTCTAATTATCTCTACATGTATTTGATTATTTTTATATTATAAGATTTTGAGATATTCATATACATTACTTCAATTATCTCATTTTACTCACTGCATGATGCCTCATCACTACCATCTCTGCAGTCTGGTATCACATCACATATAGCGGATCCATTGACTGCCCATGGACCTGTCTTGCATTGGAAAGGATCTGTTTTTTACAATAAAAGAAGAAAAACAGTATAGAATAAGATAGTATGCCTTAAAAGTCCAAATGTGACCAGGTAACAAAAACCTATCAAAAAGTGTCCAGATATTATTTTCTAGTTTAACCTTTATTGTACTGGGGGGAGGGGGGGGGGGCCTGAGAGGTCCCCTCAACATTTTCGGAGATTGCGCTGCAACCGCTTGGAATTTTGAATTGTCGTTTCAAAACTTTTTTTCCCTCAAGTCTTACGCACATTTTTGAAACCATTTTCGTCGAAATCGGATATACCTGTAAGGCGTTACATAACAATTAGTATGCGCATGTCATCAAAAATATGCTATAATGGAATATATTCATGTACAAGCAGAAAGGTGAATACAGGTTTAGATGTATTTCTTCCTAAGTGGGAGATATGAATTGATATCAAATTACTTTTATATGTTTCTCAAAGTAACTTGATGTATTCCAGAACAAAAGTATACATTATAAATAAAATTGATATAATAAGAAATAAAAAATAATAAAATACAAAAGAAAATAAATATTTGAAAATCGCATCAAATTTGCATAAATTATTATCAATAATCACATCAAAATAACTATTTTGTGTTAGAAAAGATGTTTCATATGAATGAGTTTGAATTAACATTCAAAAAGTGGAATCTGACAATTCTTAATTGTAATGATTCTAGTTCCCTGAATATTTCCAGATTTGATATTTATGAATGCATATTCGTATTTCATGCAAATTAACCTATGCATTTTCAAATATCATAAAAATAATGTAACCTCATGAATTTGAGATGAAGAAAACATTCATTCAATACATTTTCAACATTCTTCACAAGTCTACAGACAAATATGTAGTTTTCTATAAAATGCATAAAATTAGCATTTTACATAATTAATCAGGCTATAATGACAAAAATTTGCATATTAGGAAAAAACTAATTATACCATCTTGTTCCTTACGTAAATATCTACAAACATGCACATTTTTGTGTTCATTGGACTTTTGACGGACGAGATCATGGGGGGGGGGGGGGCTTCCCAGACCCCATGATCTCGTCCGTCAAACCAGACCCCCCCCCCCACCCCAGTCACGAATTGCTCAAAATAGCGCAGTACAGTAAGGGTTAAGCTTTGGTCACAACAGTAGCCTGCTTGTTGGCCGGGCGGCGAGTTTTGAGCCAATTTCGCTCGGGCACCGAGCGACGGCCGCCCAGGCACCAGTTGCTTTTAGGGCATTGCTTGGTCGCTGCTGAAGTTTTAGCGCGGAGTTAAAATTTGGGCTGTGTCTGCTCACTTTCACTCGTCGCCCAAAGTACACTGACCTAATGGAGCGTTCGCCGTCGAGCGATTTAGATAAAAAATCGAAGCGGTAGGTCAAAGGTTGCCAAGCTGTCGCTGCCCGGTCGCCGCTGGGAGATCAGTCGGTCACTGGGCGGCGAGTCCAAAATCGGTTGGCAGCCTTTGACCTAGCGGCTTCAATTTTTGACATAAATCGCTTGACGGCGAATGCTCGATTATTTTGGAGCCCTGCCGATCACCCACCGGCTTCCGGGCAATATCTTAAAAACAGCTGGTGGCCGATGGGAGACCGCTCGGGAATCATTGGGTCATCAGTCGGTCACTGCCGGGACACCGCCCGGAGAAGCTCCCCAATATTACCCAGTTTTGACCTAAAATGGACAGGCGACCAACAGGGAATCGACAGGGCACCACCCAGGCATCGCTGGCGCTCTACAGCCTGCTTAACTTCTCCAAAAATCTTTGGGCGATGTCTAAATTCGACCGAGCAGGCTACTAATCGGTCGGTCACGGCTCTGAGTTGTGACCATAGCTTTAGGTCAGATCCTAAAACAGGAGATTTTCAGCTTAAAATGACATATAAATCATCCCAATATGATGTTCCTAACCCTGTGAAGAAAATGAGGTCTCCATTCTAATATAAAATGTTACTTGAGAAAACAAAAATCTATAGTATATTCAAGCATGCTGACCCACAAAGATTTGTGCAAGGTGACAAAAGGAGGATTATAACTCTTTGGCGATTTCTGTGAAAGATCACCAAATCGTCCTAAAACGTAGCATACCAATTTATAAGCACACGCTGATCTTTATTTAGACCAAGTATCAATGCAAGAGCATTTTCAAATTATAGGAAATTTAAACATATTTGTGGCTTATACCTAGTAAATAAGATCGATTGATCGATCTGTATTGAAAAGCAAGTCAGAAAAAATCTTGGAAACCAGCGGGACTTGAACCTGCATCTACTGCTTGCTGGGCAGGGACTCTACCACCAGGCCATCACTGGTCCATGGCACAGTCACAATGAACTAGAACAAATACCTAAGCTCTCCTGATTCATTCTGACTCATTAATATTCATTAGTCCGCCATAGGACAATAACTTTTTTAAATGTAATGCTTCCTGGGAGAAATTTCAATCATTTAAACATATTTGTGGCTTACACCCAGTAAATAAGATCGATTGACCGATCTGTATTGAAAAACAAGTCAGAAAAAGTCAGAAAAAGTCCTGCTGGTTCCAAGATTTTTTTTCAATTGATTTTATTTACTGGGTGTAAGCCACAAATATGTTTAAATGATTGAAATTTCTCCCAGGAAGCACCACATTTATAAAATAATACCTGTAGCCATGGTAATAACAAAGCAATTACTGTAAGTTTGTTAATCTTATTTTCGCGCGATTAATTTTTCACGCCGTTCAGCTCAGCTCAGAGTCTCAGTGAAGATTTGAATTTGAAAATTACCGTTTGGCCTATTCGCCTTCTACCACTAGATGGCAGCACACATTTGGAAAATGAAGGCCTTTGGGTCTTCTTTAAAAGTGACTGCTTATCTTTGAAGGCTTATTTTCAGCGACTGCTTATCTTGAAGGCTTATTTTCTACTGACTGCTTAATAAGCAGTCAACATTTTTGGACTGCTTATATGAAAGTCTTTGAAGGCTTAGCTCTCGCAAACTAATAAGCAGTCGAAGACTAAAACAAGCCTTCGAAGGCTTATGAAGTCTTTGAAGGCTTTGTGAAGGCTTAGCGAAGGCTTATCGAAGGCTTATTAAGCAGTTTTCTTTGGTAAGGGATGTTTATATTTTTGTGGGTGTTCTAAAATTTGTGGACACCCACTCTTGCGAGAAATCCGCGAAAATTAATGTACCGCGGATATTTCTGCGTGTACAGTACTACAACAACAAATCAGACAAACATCAACAAGTCTACAAAAAGCTCCTTAAAATACCACTTTTAGATTATTTGGTGCTTCCAGATTTTGAATTTATGGTATAATACTCACAGCATATACTAAATACCGGTACTCAAATTTGACCATCCCGACCTATTGCACCTCTATGAACCTCTAATTGAAAACCACACCATGCGACTCTTGGGTGGTTTTGTGGTACCTGGTAACTAACACATTTTAAATTGTCCATGAAAAAATATGTGACAGACTTATTGCAGTAAGTTTTCAACAGATTTAAAAAAAACAAGACTAACAATGTTTTTCGGAGAAGAGAATGATATGTTTTTGTATACATACATGAAGTGCTATGTAGTTTATTCAAAGAGCTGGGGCCCCCAAATTATCTTGAGAGTGTTTAACCAGTGGTTGAGTTGTTTATTAATGGCTCTTTACTGTTAACTCTTGTTTTAAACTTTCAAATTTACAATGTGCTAACTTGAATTCATAAACTAAAAAGTGATTGTAAAATAAAAATATTAAGTTTGAATGTAGAATATGTCATATTTACCTGTGAGATAACCCAAAGATATCTCCATTTGGAAGTAGTAGTAGTTGTAGTATGAACTTGATGTAAATTCAATGAACATCTCTGACGCAGCTAGAATGCGCTCACCCCTTGGAAATTGCTGGCTTCCACCAATGACCTCAGAATCATTGTTGGGTACCAGACCGGCTCCAATCCGTAGGACATTACCATAAGAAAGATATCCGTAATTGAGAGTGATAATGAATGCTACTTCCATGGAGTTAGTAAGAGCAGGAGCGCTTGAGTTGAAGAGCCACAAGGCATGTGTGTACGAGTAACCAGGACTGAGTAGTACTCTTGCGTCTCCAAGATAGAGCGTGTGAACTGAAAGAATAAGAGACATCATTGTTTGATTATGTGGTCAATTTTAGACACAATATCCTGCTTCTTTAATTGATGGTGGTCACGAATCCTCTCCAAGAAATCAACACTTTGCAGAGGCTTACCTGTACAAATTTGACAGCATTTCAATTTCAAAGTATTAAATTGACAATTATGTTCTTTCAGTAATATTCATCCAGATGTATACACACTGAACAAGCTTGGGTAACAAGGATTCCTGGTAGAAGGAATTGACTCCCACAAAGCTGTTTGTTGTGTGTCAAATTAAGAAATTACCATTCTTTCATTTTCCTTTAGAAAAGTCATCTCAACAGTTATTCTAACACTCTATTGTATTGCCTATATTAGGCAATTGAAATTATATAGGTTAATGACTACCACAAAGCAGTTTGTTGTGTGGTAAAGAGATCATTCTTTACTACATAATGCGAGTAAAACCAAACTCTTTTGGGTGCTGCTATGAAGAGCAGTGGACTGAAAGGTTATTTTGATACTTCTTGTAAGTTTTTTAATGATTTGAAAGAGGCTTTAATACATGAATAATCACAACAAAAAGAAATCTTTACATTTCCATCATTGCAGAAGATACACTGACTAGTAAAACATTTTACCTTAGATCAAAATATACCGTAGGCATTCGCCTACACTCGGACTTTGCTATGAGGCAGTCACCCAAAGAAGATGCATGGGGAACACACAGCCCGCCCATTGAAAATTTGCAAGTTGCGTTCTCGTTCGTCAAGCGCGCTAGACCAACGCTATGCATTCAACGTCATTTGCTCTGTGTGTCGGGAATAAGTGTGCACGGAGCATGACACACTTTATAAAATAGCTCTAGTATTTTATGCATCGTGACTGGTCAAAATGCATCACATGACATGCAACGTTTTTTGTGCACTGCATGCGTGCAAAAAAAAAGCCCAACAAAAAGTATCATTGCACGCTAGCAACATGCTATGCATGGGCGCACAACGATGCACTGACCTTATTTTCTAATTTTTCAATACGCAGGCCATACGTCGTCTATGTGTGACCAGGCCATAAGAGACAAACCTGTATGTTGAATTATAACCGCCATAGATAATATTTCACAGACTATAAAAAAAAAAAACAATATTCAAATAAAATGAACATAAAATTACCACAGCCGGTTTCATCACTGGAGTCCGGACAATCTACACTGAGATCACACAGAGAGGACTGGTTGACTGCATGAAATCCATCATTGCACACAAAGAGACCTAAACACCAGCAATAAATGTAGAAGGGAGTTATCAGTTCATTGGCTCTGCAAGATACATACACTGTACATGTCCCGAGTTTGATAGTAATCCATCAGTCAGTATTGACAATGCATTCAAAAGCTATTTTTGCATACATAATGTACCCTATGACCTTTCACCTCGTGACCCCAACATCTAATCAATTCATTGGCTCTGCCGTTGCCTTAGTTTGGCGGTAATTCATCAATCGGTTCTTGTGATAACGTGATCACAAGCTATTTTTGCATATATAATGAGCCCTGTAACCTTTGATCTCTTGACCCTAAAAGTGGCAAGTGGCAAGTGTAGACTAATGTCTTGCCAAAGGACATTACCGGTAGTGCCGTGTCGGGGATCGAACCAACGACCCTTGAATTCCAAGTAAAGTGCTTAAACCTTTCGACTATGACACCTCTACTATAGGTTACAGATTGTTAAAAGAATTACCTTCAAGGGAACGGGGTGTAATCGCCAGGTTGAAATGTGAATAACTAAAGGAGCTTGTGAAATCCACGTGCATCTCTGATGACTGAATGAGCCTTCTTGCCCTGTTAGACGGGTGGTCATCATTGGCAAATAGAAATTCTGAATCATTACTGGGGACAAATCCAGAGCCAATACGAAGTACGTTGCCATAGCTTAAATAAATGTCGCTAATGTACACAAAGAAGGCAATGTTACCGGCATCGCTTTGTGAAGAATTGATATCGAATAACCATGTCCTGTTGTAAGGTCTACTATGTGATCCATAACTGTAAAGAAAGTGGGTTTCTCTAACAGTAAGCGAGTATTCTGAAAATAAGTTAGGAGAGTAGAAAAAAATCACATCAATATATAAAACTTCATCTAAATTTGTTGTTTAAAATTTTATTATATGCTCTTTTCTCCTTTTTTGTTGGTTTTATTTATTTCTCATTTCCTCAAAACTGTTCATGTAAAAAGGTACAAACTTAAATTCACTCATGTTACATAGCCATTTCATGTAATGTCAATATGACAAATTGGAACCTTAAAAAGGCTTTAGGGTATAAATTCTTTTTAACAATTACTATTTATTGTAGTTAATACTTTTTCATCCTCAAATATAAAGATGTAACTTATCATTAAAAAAAGACAAAATACTTACTGCACTTGTTTTCATCACTGCCATCATTACAATCATCAATAGAATTGCACCGAGCAGTAGAATTATAAGAAGTTCCGTCGGAGCAAACAACAAGGTCTGTTAAATTTTATAGAAATATAAAGCAAAACATTAAAAATTGATACTATTATTATGAAGGTAACAATAATTATGATGACTGCATAGCATTACTCTCGACCATGATACTGATAATTTTATAAATGACACTCAAACACAAAAATGGTTTAAAAAAAAACCCTGTTCCAATCACACACAAAAAATATTTGTAGCAAGAATGTTTAAAATCTACATAGTATTTTTTTTGCCCAGCATAAGCCAATGGATAGGAGTATGAAGACAATTTAGAATAAACAGAATACCACGTGCATGGAACTAAAGTCAGACTTGGGTTCCGTGTGGTTCTTATTCTTTGCGAGTGTGTATGGACATGTTGAAGAGTCTCCTCACAAATCAATAATTTGTTGATTGCGATACCTCTTTATTGAAGTTATCTTTGAAACTCATATCTTAATTATAGTATAATGACACTGACACGCCTAGCATACATAATAGAAAATTTGTTGGATTGGTACACTGTAATCTCCACAAAAAAAATCTCCATCTTGTGCCTATTGCAAATGGCAGATGTAGATAAATGAATTGCCAAAAGATGTTAGTACCACCGATAGGACTCAAATACTAATAGCCCAATCTATAGTCCAGGTTCATATTGAAACTAGATGGAATTTTGACTGCGCGCAGTCGAAAATGATGCCTCCGCCATAGAGCAATTTAAACAAGTTTGGAGTTTAAATCTCCAGTGGTTCTTGAGATATCATGATAACAATCTCAATGTATGGAATTTCATAAGTTGACCTCTGTGACCCTTGACCTTTGACCTACGTGCTCCAAAATCTAATCAGATTGTCTTCCTATGGTGATACACACTATCATTAAGTTTGAAGTTTAAATCTCCAGTGGTTCTTGAGATATTATGATATGGTGATACATACTATCATTAAGTTTGAAGTGAAAATTCTCCAGTGGTTCTTGAGATATCGCGATAACGATCTCAATGTATGGAATTTCATAAGTTGACCTCTGTGACCCTTGACCTTTGACCTACGTGCTCCAAAATCTAATCAGATTGTCTTCCTATGGTGATACACACTATCATTAAGTTTAAAGTTTAAATCTCCAGTGGTTCTTGAGATATTATGATAACAATCTCAATGTATGGAATTTCATAAGTTGACCTCTGTGACCCTTGACCTTTGACCTACGTGCTCCAAAATCTAATCAGATCGTCTTCCTATGGTGATACATACTATCCTTAAGTTTGAAGTTTTTACATCTCCAGTGGTTCTTGAGATATCATGATAACAATCTCAATGTATGGAATTTCATAAGTTGACCTCTATGACCCTTGACCTTTGACCTACGTGCTCCAAAATGTAATCAGATTGTTTTCCTATAGTGATACACACTATCACTAAGTTTGAAGTTTAAATCTCCAGTGGTTCTTGAGATATCATGATAACAATCTCAATGTATGGAATTTCATAAGTTGACCTCTGTGACCCTTGACCTTTGACCTACGCTACGTGCTCCAAAATGTAATCAGATTGTTTTCCTATGGTGATACACACTATCACTAAGTTTGAAGTTTAAATCTCAAATGGTTCTTGAGATATCATGATAACAATCTCAATGTATGGAATTTCATAAGTTGACCTTTGTGACCTGTGACCTTTGACCTACGTACTCCAAAATCTAATCAGATCGTCTTCCTATGGTGATAAATACTATTCCCGAGTCTTAAGTTTAAATCTTAAATGGTTCTTGAGATATTGTGATAACGGTCAAACGGGACGGACGTACAGACGTACGGACGTACGGACGGACAACCCGAAAACATGATGCCTCCGGCAGCACCTTCGGTGGCGGAGGCATAAAAACAAAGTTTTTGCTTTTAATTGTTAATATTAATCCTATTAATATTACTTTCATTATTATTGTTATTATTATCATTATCATTATAAGTGTTATCATCATCAATCATTATCATTATTATTAATAATAGTTCAGTTCTTGTATAGCGCATAATATGTTATGAAATAACATCTCTATGCGCTTCCAAAGAGCTTTGGACTTTATTACCCTAGCTTTAGCTCCGGCAGCCTTATCAGCGCACAGTGCATTTCAAGGAATAATCCTACCAGGTACCAATTTACCTCACCTGAGTGTGGCAAATGTAGATCAATGTCTTGCCAAAGGACATTAATTCCACGGCGGAACTCGAACCGCAGACCTTGTGATCGATAGTCCGGTGACGTATCCACTCGACCACAACACCTCTATTAATATCATAATCATTATTATTACTATTATCATTATTATCATGATTATGATCATTATTTTTATTAATATTATCATTATTATCATCATCATCCGTCATCACTTCATTAAAGCCTCCTTACCAGATATATCGATGCTCTGAACGGCAATGCTGAACCTCCTGTCTCTGAGTGTACTATATGACGAGGAAACAAGCCTAATCCACATTGTTGGGGATGCAACCACAAAACTGCTACTGGTACCACCATGGTAGCTAGACAGGTTGAACGTTGGATCTATGCTAAAAAATGGATCAGCACCAGGTCCGATACTAAGGGTATCTCCATCGCCGAGAAAGACGTCCTGGGGTGTTATTCGGAAGCCGGATGTGTTTGTTTGCAAGACATATGTGAAGAACAACAAATTCCCATAACCTAGAGGGTAGCCTGGGGATGTAACTGATAGACGCTGTGCTTCTGCTAGGAATATTTGGCTGGGTTCTGTGTTAAAAAATTGACGGGAGAAGACTTTATAAAAACAACATAACAAAAATTGCCATTTGAATTATCATTTTAGGATTTTGAAATTGATAAAATCAACTTGGAACCGCAAGTCAGCAATAAGATCTTAACTTAATCCTAATGTAGCAAAACATCTTCCTATTTTTACAACTTTCAACTTAACTACTCCCTTCTTGTACAGCAAAAGAGTGGAAATCTACTTAAGGTCACATTGGGGATTACTAATTCCTTTGGACTTAAATCAACTCCAACATATTGTGGAATCGACTCCAAAGTAGAGGTTAAATTACTCTTTTGAGAGTGAATTCATCTATTTGGAGTGTTTATTTCCACTCTTTACAAAGGTGTTAAATCGGTATAGGTAGGATGAAATTCCTTGAATGCTGTGAGCACTGAAAACAGTAGCCTAGTGGAGCCGGGGTAATATATATATATATATATATATGAAAATAAGCATTATTATCATCATCATCATCATTTTGTCATTACTATTATTATTATCATATGACCCCTAAAGTTCGATTTAATTAAATTCATTTTATTTGCACATTTGATATAAATCACAATAACATACACAATACAAATTCAATTCCAACAAATAACACAACAGAACAGAAGTATCAAAATGTGGGGGGACAAACAAAGGCCAAAGGCCTGTCAAAGGCTTGACCCTAAACTATAAGAGTATATAAATTATGTGGTACAACAGGAAGAAAGAGAAGAACAAGGCAAACGTACCGCTTTACAGACTCAGAGGGTGTATGATTTAAAAAGATTAGATTTATATATATTTTGTTAAAACTAGATAAGGAAGGGCATTTCTTTATTTCGGACCCCAGACTATTCCACAATTTTGGACCACAATATTTTATTGTGGTACAGGAAAATTCATACTTATATTTTGGAATTTGAATGTGGTTAGACTGTCTTGTTGATTAAGGTACAAAAGAACAATTTTTGGGAAAACAATCATTTAGAAATATTGGCAACAGACCGTGCAGGTACGAAAACATAAGACTGGCTAATTGCAACTTGTGTATATCTTGAACTTTCAACTGTTATCGTGTGTGCTAAGGGTGCTCAACCAGCAATAATTTGTATTGCTCTTTTTTGTAAGATTATAATTCTATTAAGATGGGTTGAAGCACAACTACCCCAAATAAAGTTACAGTATGTCAAATTAGGTATAATCATAGACTGATAAATAGCAATTAGAATATGGTGAGGTAAAACTTTCTTTAATCGACTTAACGCCCCAATGACTTTTGATATTTTGCATGCCGTCTCAGAAATATGATTTTTCCAACTTAATTTATCATCGAAAGCAACCCCCAACAAAATTAGTACAATGTACTAAAGTTGCTCGTGTACATATAGAGAGTATTATCTCCCATGTTCCATTTGTGGCAAATTTCTGACAGTATGGAAATCGTACCTGACACAAATATTTTAATAGATAGATCTATGTTCCATAGCTTGGAGGCCATTGGGGCGACTGTCACAATGTAAATGGTTAACCCCCCACCCCAAACATCCATGCATAGAATAGTTCAGAGAGGAGTGCAGCTAGTAGGCTGCAGTGCCCACTTTAAATGGTTTACATTGAATGGGAGATTGGACTGCACTGAATGCTTCACACAGGTGGAAGTTATGGTGTGTGAGCTTGAAAGCTTGGATGACGGAGATTGGAAGCTGTGGTGTAAGAGATTGAGAGTCAGTTGTTGGAGGCCCCAAGGAGAAGGCACACCCCTTGTGTATGTACTGTTCCGTTCGGTAATGCAGGCCTACCAGCACTGTTCTAAACTACAGTTCCAGCATCTCAGGCCAGGAGAAGCCTCCATGACTCAACTCACTCACATCAACTGTAAGTTTAAACTATTTATTATAAAGTGAATATATATTAAACTTAATTCATGAAGAGCCATCAGCCAATTTATATAACTTTTGAGCATAAATACCATAGATGAAGTATGATAAAATACAGCATGTAATTTTAATTGTTTGTGTGATAGTCGGCAGTGAGGTTTGCAAAGTGATTTCAGGCAAACTGTTTCATGATGTATATTAATCTATTTTGTTTATATTGCACATTTAAAAAGGGCAAGGATTATCTTTAAGTTGTTTGAATTTAACCCTCCTCGTTAGGGACGAGCTGGGCTTGTTTAGCCACTTCTTTTAGCTGTCTTTTATAGCCACCCCTCGAAGCCACACCTCGTAGCCACCCCTTGCGGCTACACCTCTGAGTCACCGTTTGTTGCCAGTGAATGTAGCCACATCGCATGGACACTTGTCATAGCCACTCATCAGAAAAACTTGTTGTAGCGACTTATCATAGAATCTCCTTGTAGCCACTCATCACAGACACATCGTGCAGACACTCAACGTAGAAACATTGTGGAGACACGCCGCACAGTGGGCCAGAATCGCCTCAAAGTGTGCCAAAATTCAAAATTGGTGAATGTGAATTTTTATATTTTTGTTATTCGCTTTGGGAAGAAAACATTCTAAAGAATATTTTTCCATCCATATTTTAATGTTTAGCGAGTTTTAAAAGTGTCATATACCCCTGCGAACATGGGAAAATCTATATGTTGCTCCAAAAATGATAAAAGATGCAACTTTGCAATAGGTGTTGAGAATTTATGAAGGGAAAAGCAATCAACTTGATACTGCGTGCACTTCTTGCCTATTGGTAACCCAATTAGAAAATACAATGACCAAATTTATGAAAGCTTCATTTTGGGAAAAATGAGCATTAAATTTCACAAAAAAGGAAAAAATTGCAATTTTTATATAAAAGTAGCATGTTTATTAGGATTCCGGCCGATTCCCGCAGTGATGTTAATCTCAAAATGTCCGCCCAAACCTAAGCTTTCCATGTATGGTATTTCTTTTTGCCAGAATTTGCAACACTGCATGTGCAGGCGCTTTTCCTCCCCACGTCCATCGATTATTATTAGGCATAATCGGTACACATTTGTACTATTCAACGCTCGTCCGCGTAACCATGGCAACGGTTACGTGAGTGTAGAGCGTAAAGCGTAGTGTATATTGCTTCCACACGTTGATGCAATTCGCAATCATATATGGTATCATTCTAGGAGAACTTGGATTGAAATAAACGATGGCGGTATTAAGAAGACAGCTTTTTCATGCTGTGCATTCAGCTGGCTTCATTTCAGACATCAAACTGGCATCCGAAACACCCATAGATGCATTATGTGCATATCATAATGTGGGTAACAAGTCAAACATCCCACAAAAACTTATCAAGAGTTTGTCAAAGACTATTGGACGCTTTCTGTATCGTATGCGAGAGAAATGGAACAAAAGTGTGGTCGTTACCAGGAATATTTCATGAAAGAAAACGAGGACTGGCTTAATCAGACATTGACATTCAATACTGAAGTAGAAACATTTCTTGCACAGCAAAACAGCACAGATACCAGGACAGAAACAGAGCCAACTTCAGACTTGCCAGGCACATCACAGGGCGCATCCAATGTGGGACGTCCAGCTAAGAATTGGGACACCCTCTCAGATCGTTCTAAAAAAAGAAAAGCACACCACCTTCTAGAAGACAGAGAACCAGAGGAACTTCTATATGCGGCATCTCAAGGCGTGTATAAGAAAAATTCAAGTTTGAAATATGTGTTGAAATTCGCAATGCTAACACCATCAAGACCAGCTAAAATAAAGAAACTGATATCAGAAAAAGAGAAAGAACCATTAAAATTCTCAAGTGAAGAAGCTTTGTCACTTTTAGTTGAAACAGGAATGACAAAACAGGCATACCAAACAACCAGACTTGCTGCAAAAGATGTTGTCATCAGTCTTTTATCACTTAAAACTCCACAGCCAAGACCCCTGCCACGTGAAGTCCAAGAGATGCTGAAAGACTTTCGGGTCATTCAAGACAATGATTCTCCAGACAGTGACTCGTAATGAGAAGCAGAAGGACCCATACATAGAGATATGGCAAAAACGTTATAAAACGTTCAAGGGTATTTCATATTTTTAAATCATAATCATTTATTTGATTATATTCCAAATCCCTTTGAACATCTTCTGAAATCAATCGATGTCTCATTCTTTAAATTCATATGGAAAGGGAAACCCGATACAATAAACAGAAAACAAGTAGTTTGTAAATACGAAAATAGTGGACTAAAAATAGTTGATGCCGGACACTTTTATGGAGAGAAATTTAAAAATGCTCTAATTGTGCATCTTAGGTCCAGAGACCCCTGAAAAGTTCCCCTAGTCAGTGTAATATGAATCTGTCTATGTGTTAAAATGATTATTTGCCTTGCCCAACCAGACAGTATTTTGATGACGTCATAGAAATTTGAAAATGCTCCAACTGTGTTTCTTAGGTCAAGAAACCCCTTATAAGTTCCACTAATCTGTGTATTATGAATCTGTCTATGTGTTTAATACAATGAATATTTGCCTCGTCCAATCAGAAAACAGTATTTTAATGACGTCAGAGAAATTTGAAAATGCTCCAATTGTGTTTCTTAGGTCCAGAAACCCCATATAAGTTCCACTAATCAGTGTAATATGAATCTGTCTATGTGTTACAATGAATATTTGCCTTGTCCAATCAGAAAACAGTATTTTAATGACGTCGGAGAAATTTGAAAATGCTCCAATTGTGTTTCTTAGGTCCAGAAAGCCCTTTTAAGTTCCACTAGTCAGTGTAATATGAATCTGTCTATGTGTTACAATGCATATTTGCCTTGTCCAATCAGAAAACAGTATTTTAATGACGTCAGAGAAATTAGAAAATGCTCCAATTGTGTTTCTTAGGTCCAGAAACCCCTTATAAGTTCCACTAGTCAGTGTAATATGAATCTGTCTATGTGTTACAATGCATATTTGCCTTGTCCAATCAGAATACAGTATTTTGATGACGTCACACAGATTTGAAAATACTCCCATCGAATTCTATGGGCCTGAAAACCCTTAAGATACTTTAACCAGGAACTTCATTAATCTTCTTCAATGAGAAATTAATTTTGGCACACTTTGAGGCGGTTCTGGCCCACTGTGCGCCGGTGCAAGATTGTAGTCGACAAAATCTAGAGTCAGATTTCATCAGTGCAAGAAAAAAAAAAGGGGGGGGGGGGTTTCTTATCAGTTTCTCTCCGAGAACTGATAAGAAACCCCCCCCCCCTTTTTTTAAGGTACTATTCACCTATTTCATTTTGTAAGAACTCAACCATAATTATCTTATTTCATTTTCATATGCATGCAAATATTCAATGCTGATTTAGTTTAAATACTGATATCCTTGTATTAATGTATTGTATTTTAATTTCTTTTAAGATCTTATAAATCATAATCAGGTGTCAATTTGTTTTTTGTTGGGTACGCATGACCAGAGATGCAACCCTTCTTCAACAAAAAAAAGTATTCTTAAGAGCAAAAAACAGTGTTTTTGGACAAAAAACAGTATTTTTGAAAAAATCTCTCAACTTAACATATCACCCAATCGAGGAGCTTAAAAAACCAGGCAGTACCACGTATACGTACCCGGATCGGAGCGCGACGTGCATACATTACACGTGGGTTGTTCGCAATGTGCGCAGTTTGGGGCCCGTATCACCATCCTGCGTGCATCGTTTTAAGATGTAGGTGCATAATACACTTACGACACAAGCCCATGATCAGAAATTAAGAAAAACATCACTAAAAAAAAAAAAAAATCACTAAAAAAAAATTAAAAAAAAAAAAAAAAAATTAAAAAAACGTAACAAAACATACAAAAAACGTACTGCCCTATTCATAGCGAAAAAACGGAACAAATACGGCAAAAACGGAACAGTTGGCATCTCTGCATGACCATATCATTACACCAGGGCCTCATCTGTAGGTAGCCAGGTAAATACAGTACCAAGAGTTGACAGCGACAATGAAATAGACCTTAAGCACAGATTCTCCATAACTCTCCATCTTCAGATGTTCTAGTTAGCTGCTGAAATGATTTTCCCATCCACTGTATTAGGTTATGAGTATGTGTCCTAGGTGATGTGCCTCCCCCCTTTCTTCTCCCATCTAGTGCCTCCTTACAATATGGGTTTGCCAAGCTATTCTTCTATCTAGTTACACTGTAACTGTCTTTTTTTCACAATTGAACATATTAATAAATAACTTCATAGTTACCACATGCGCTTTGAATTTCATCATCATAAAACGGGCAAAGATAGTGGCCATTACATAACTCATCACTCCTGACCACCAGTGGGACATGTGAGCAGATCAGTGAATCTGATGGGAACAAATTGAAAATAGAATTTGGTAAAAGTGGAATAAACAATAGCATATAATATAATGTAACATGCCCCCCCCCCCCTTCCCTTGAACTTGAACGTCTGCATTTCATTGAGAAATGACAAATAGACATTACAATGGTCTCAATAACTTGAATATTCTTAAAGGGAAATCCAACCATAATCCCAAGTTGCTCTATAAAAGAGTAAATAAACAATAAGAGAAAATGGTAGTTACAGTTTGACCGAAATTGGACAAACAAAAAGAAACTCATGAATTGTTAACATTTGTATTAAATTACATATACTATCAAATTGGCCGAATAGGACCTGTCAATGTTGTATACAACAAACGGGAGAGTAGACCATGGAAATGCTATAGCACAAGGGAACTAGCACCACCTCCAAATTGGCAATTTGCAGGGGAAAAATTTGCATAGAAAAATTGTGATTTCATTTTTTAAAACATTCTTATCTCTCTTATTATATGCCTGATTTTCTTCAAATTTTCAGCATTTTGCCTCCCTTCTCTTTATGCTATCACAGATGTAAACAACAGAGGTTGGATTGCCCTTTTATATGACATGGATTTAAGTGGATTATTATCTTCGTCAATGTGTGCGGTACCCTTCTGGAGCTACTTTTAACATCAGGACAGCAAACGCTTTGACTTTCCTACTTGGTGCTCTTTATTAGCTTCTACATTTAAACAACATTCCAGACTACTTTGACTGGTCTGCTATTAAAAAAGGTAGACTAGCTTTACGTTTCATTCCAACTGCTGTCTATTTATGGAACTTTCTCCCTCATGTCGTAGGAAACATTTCAAATAATGGACTCATTCCAGCTTTTAAATGTAAAATACACAGATACCTCCTTGATGTGGCATGGTTTTGTTTTTAGCTTTATTCATATTGGGCTGGTATAACAGTTAACCATAGCTCTCATCAATTAGAGATATTAACTGGTAAGGCTTTTGTTCCCATTCTGCAACTTGTAAAATCGTTTGTTCAATTCTAGTCTTTTCTTGTTTTGTATCACAAGGAAACACACGACTTACCTCCCGTGAGAATAGCAGATATCTCAACCACAGCAAAGCTATCATGGTCTTCAAAATAAATGTCATCAATTGGATGTATCACTGCAAACTGTGACCCAAGTTCATAAGAAGAGAAGTTTTGACTCCCTCCATATGTGATGTTTATTTGACCAAAATAGATTGGAAAGAAGAACGCTTGTTCATCTGCAACAAAGCCGGGTACGATTGTGAAGGGAGGTAGGATAATCGATGAATTGGTCAGTTCAAACTTCAAATGATATCCAGGATAGGTTCGTACATGGAGGTAAGGAACTTGGCTTCCACGAATAACAAGGCGTTCGGGTGGCAGGTCAGGTTCAATGACAAGAGTGGAATCTTTTGGTGAAAGCAAGCAGAGGCATAAAATTATATCAAACATTTGAAAAAAACTCTTTTCTTAAAAAAGGAAATCTAGAATTACCTTTCTCTCCGAGAACTGATAAGAAGCGTAAATTTTGAGATTTTGTAGACGGCAAAAGATACATGTTTATTCTCATCCTCTTTGCAATATCGAATGTAATAATGGAACCTTATAGAATGTTGATGTAGAGGGGTCATGGTAATAGGAATAATAATACAAGTGGCTTCTTGTATAGCCATCTTGTCTGTGACGCTGTGACACTCCTAGTGCTCTAATAATATTACCCTGACAATAGCCGAGAGCTCTAGCATACTAGGTACCCATTTCCACCTCGGTGGAGAGTGGTACCTGTGGATTCATGGCTTGCCAAAGGATATTAGTGCTGGGCTAGGATTCGACCCTTAACCTTTGGATTGAGATTCAAGTGAATATTAAAAACCACTGTACCATGTAACCTCAAGTATAGTGGACTGATCATTGAACAAAAGCCTGCTGCACACTATACAATCTGAATGTGATTTGATTTGGAAGATTGTGCAATAACATTTAATATTCAAACAACATGTAAAATCTTGGGAATGAACACGATTCCAAAGAGTCAAATGAATTATTGATTCAAAACCGTGAGATATTTGCAAGCCTTCTTGTGGAAAGAAAATGCAAATCTGCTCTTGCTATCTGAATCGTGAACCCTTATTTTAAACATATGTGTACATGAAACAAGATTGCAAACTCTTTTGAGCAAAACAAGGCAATTTTGATAGTACCAAACTGTATACAGTAATCCAAACATGATTTCTAATAAATAGGGTTTTGAAATTGCCCTTGATTTAATTTCAGTCTTTGCGATTGGTTGTATGAAATGAATTAAGTAATCCACAGCATTCTTACTTGTGATACAGGGTCCGAGCAGGATATCATCAATAGCAATAAATCCCTGGTTGTAGTAGTTGTGAATGATTCCTTCAAGAATAGCAGTCCCAGATGGAAGACCAAACAAGTTGATCTCGGCATACGTCCATCTATCAAAATAGTGTAAGACATAATATACACGGATAGATGGATAGATAAATAGATAGAAGTAATATCCATTTTCTAGTAGCCACGATATAACGTCTGTAACAATATATAGTGGTGTAGTTGATTGCAGCTGGCAGCAGAGGGAGACTACTCAGAAATATTGTATGTACTTCATAAATATAAAAGAAAGACAGAATAAGACACACGCGGATGGGAGGAATATATGTGGGCAAACAATAAATACAAAATGGACTAAAATGGTGAGATTAAACATAATTGTGAGTCTTTAAGTATTTAAGAAATGTCTCAAAACTCAGTTGATAAGTAATCAACAACAATAATATAATTCATTCATAATATTAAAGTAAAGTGCTGTGAAACAACAGCTAGTTTATATCAGTGTTTTATTGTATTGAATTTTTGTATTACACAATCACAATACCATAATCTCGCAGTAAATGTTGTCTATTGATTGTAAAATACTCACTCATGCTTTGACAGGCCTTCATTTATCCAGATCAAGAAAGATTCAGACTTTGATCCATTAGTTTTGTAGGTGATGTTGAGGTTAAGGCTACCAGCAATGATGTACCAGAACGATAAACATTCATTGACTCTAAGGGGATCCTCCCTCACTATTGTCCTTTGCAGTGAGGTGGGGTTGTTGTTGTAGTAATGGTTGGATGACATCACTAAGTAATGGCCAGCTGTTTTCCGAAATAAAAAATAAAGTTGAGTAATTGCCATCAATTAAATTGTGAAAGAAAGAGTTTGGGAGCAATCAGAAAAAAAGGTTGAATATGAATAATACAAAAGTGATGTATACTGTGATGTTTTTGGAATAATCAACAGGACAAGTAATTGCCTCAATCTTGCTGAAAATAACATGCATCAGTGCACACAGAGAAGGGCATATGGTCTACACGCACATGTGGTATGAAAGTTTGGTCCACACTTTACAGCTATTTCTAATCATTTTGTGTATATGCAGGAGCATTTGAAGAGCACTAATAATCTAAACTTATATAGCGCTTAATATGGTCTCTAACGCTTTACATATATTACTCAGGCATTTATCTGATATATTTACGCACTATGTGCACCATCTCCACTCCCTGGTGAATTTTCCTACCATATGGTCACCATTAAGGGCATTTGGCAATTACTAACACAAAGGCCTTTGTCATCCTACCAGGTCCCCATTACTCCCCTGGGTATGGACTGGCAAATGTAGATAAATGCCTTGTCAAAAGACATTAGTGGCATGTTGGCATGTCGGGGATCGAACCCATGACATTTGAATTTCAATTCAAGTGCTTGAACCACTAAAATACGAGCAAACTTTTTCAGGGGACATTTTTTCTATAATGTTCTTCTAAACAGGTATACAAAGAATGAGAAAGCTCAATTTTCATCTTTACCAGCACTCAACCTTCTATTTTAAAGACCAAACATAACTCATTTTGTAAAATAAGAAATCAAGACCCTTACAAACTTTGGCGAGGATACATTGTATATAGATGCTGCATTCACATAAAACTAATTTTTGTGATTGTTATATCTCATAAAGAATATCAGCCTCTATCAAAAATACTTTTTAAACAGCTTAAATGTACTATGTCCCATTTGCAGGCCAAAAAAATGAAAAAGTTAAATTCCAACTGCATTTGAAAGATAACACTTATTTAGAACTTCCCTAAAAAAGGTAGGGCTTGAAAATGTCTTCAAGAGGAAAAAAATGACTATTAGTTGTCAAATCGACTTTAGGGCTATAGAGCCCAAAAGTAATAGTCTTGATTTTCAGACAATTGTACCGAATGGTCATACGTTTTATGCTGCGCAAAGATTCAATCAGTTTAATCTTGGCCATCAAAAGAAGTGGGTTATTGATGTAGACAAATGCTCATGTACCCTTTACAACTCTTTTCATGTATGTTATTACCAAAGAAGAAAAAAAGCCAGTCAGTCACTCAATAGTGTCCGACAGTTAAGTCTAGCAAGTAAACGGGTTTCCTTGCATAATTTGAATATGAGGACACTGCTAACGTTTAAATTTCACAGATAGGACATACATGACATATTCATAATTCCTGCAAAGTTCTACATAATTTGAGGTAGGCTGCAAAAGGGACATAGTACCTTTAAGGGTTGTTCTATAGAAATACTTTTTTTCAAACAATACATGACGAATGAAGTATCTAACAATGTCAGAATATAAACGTAGAAAACACAATCGCAAAGCCTTTCAAAAATCAACCTGAGGCAAATGCAGTACAATAGGTTTTTTGCGTCACTTTTCGAAATGCGGGAACATTGCCATGATATCTTACGTACCGCAACATGGTATTGAAATTATCCTTGTGCTGTTTTCTTGAAAATCTTTTTATGATCATGGAAGCAGAAAATGTTCCCATTGTCACCGCTATGCCATTATGACTTACATCTGTGGCCAGTGTGTAAAAGAATGTTTTTCATAACACAGTGTGAACATGCTTTAAAATACCACACTACGTGTCAAAAACTGTGTTGGCACGGTTTGTCAACATCAATGTTGACCCACTTTAAGGTCCCGCTGTGTTTCATACTATGCCTTCAGGGAGGTGCAACTCATATCTTTGATGTGTATCCACATATATACGCACAACAACATTATTTGTCGTTAGAATTCTTTAGATAAATTTAAATGGATTGAAATAAGAGTTCATCATGCATTTACCAGTTGTATTAAGAGTATGGTCGACTTCTGCATATTCAGAGTAAGATTGATTCCCTGAAGTAATACTCCAAGATCCAGTGTAACCTCCAGCAGAGATATTGGTTGGGCTCCAGGAACAGAACGAGCCATATTCAAAGTCACAGAACACATCACCTGCACAAGAGGTGAAAACATTTTGTCTCGTTTTATGATATCTGGTAGACACATTCGACAATCAAGCTTGAGAATAGAATCGACATTATTCCATACATCAATATTTGATATTAAAATCCAAATCAATTGCCCGGGCCTTATGTATCTTTTATTTTATATTTTTACTCTCATTAATATACACAAGGTGATGTGACCATTATTATAATTTGGCATCATGTTCCACCTTAATCACCTAGCCATTGGCCCCTCCTAAAGTGAAAGTCCCTCTTCCTTTAATCATACCCATTCATGAAAAATACAAATGCTTATTCATTGTCTCCTTTAAAGAAATTTACAAAACAATTAACATCTACAGCGAACTTTCATTACTCCATCATTAAATTAGACGCATATATAACATAAATAGAGAATGACACAAAACTTTGAATGTGGGCACTAGACTTTTAAAGATTTTGCACCATTTTCACCAATTAGTCTATAATCTGACGATAAGCTTGCGAAACAACTTTTGTGCTGATGTGAATTGAGCAAGATGAAATTTGAAGTACGTAATTTCTTGTAGGGCTTGAATGTATACACACATGCACCAACCCCCCCCCCCCTTACACACACACAAGCATAAATATATATATATTTATTCAAGCCCTATCTTAAAAAACAAATGAAATCACTGAATGTACAGATTGTATGCAAGGTAGTTAATGTCTTCTTAAATTTGATAGGCTGTTCACCAAAATTATGCTCATGAACGACTTAGCAATGATCATTTTGAAGAAGAAAAAGCATTCAAAAATTGCTTTTTCCAATTAATGAATGTTGTCACAATGTTGCTTTCATTGCCTATGAGTGTATGCAACTAGGCTCAAAGCCATACAACCTGACATTGGGTTTGCCATTCATTTTATCCAAAAAGTTTGGAAGAGGAAAATTTGACATAAATCAGGCAAGCTGTCTATTGTGACGTTTTATTGTTCAACGTGTCAAATTAGAGAAAATACATTGTGGACATTTTGATATTGGACTACATTTAAATGTACTGATTGTAATGATATGCTGTAACTGTATGCAGGTTTCTGATTTTATTTTTAAATCATAATGTTCATCTTGAAAACGTATTATAAGGCATATCATGTGCTGTTTAAAAGAAAGTTAATGAAAGTTTCAACATACTTATATTTCCATTTCGAATAGTAAGCGAGAAGTATGATCCACTAACATCCCCTGTCCTGAAAAAGATCCAACCATCACTGGTGGTTGTCTGAATGAATCTGTAATGTTGGTAACTATCGAAGTAATCATGTGATACGCTGAAAAGAACATCATTTCCAGGCAAGATGCCTTCTCCTACTTGAAGTAGATCCACTTCAGGAGTGTATCCAACCAAATATGATCCAAGGTTATAAGCCTCAAAGACGAAAACCAGCACTCCGGATTCTGCATGAATCGTCCATGTGATCTGAAGGTTTGGGATGATGAAAGTCGAGTACATGGTACCCACTGATACTGCGCTGTTTTCGGAATCAGCAGTGAAGTTTATCTGTCGTGGAGCTTTATGAAACAAAATAAATATTGGAAAAATTCATAAATATTCAAATAGTTTAAAATTATATAAAGGACGAATGGGCATGAGTTCATTATAAGATATATCCGCACTCCAGTCAACCCTTACTGTATTGGGCTATTTTGAGCACCTCAAGACTGGGGGGGGGGGGCCTTCGGAGGCCCCCCCCCCTACGATCTCGGCCGTCAAAAGTTCGATGAACACGAAAATTTGCATGTTTGTAGATATGAACAAGATGGTATAATTAATTTTTTCCTAATATGCAAATTTTTGTCGTTATAGCCTAATTAATTATGCAAAATGCTAATTTTATGCATTTTACAGAAAACTCTACATATTTGTCTGTAGACTTGCGAAGAATCTTGAAAATGTATTGAATAAATGTTTCCTTCATCTCAAATTCATGAGGTTACATTATTTTTATGATATTTGAAAATGCATAGGTTAGTTTGCATAAATTATGAATACGCATTCATGAATATCAAATCTGGAAATATACAGGGAACTAGAATCATTACAAAAATTTGTCAGACTCCACTTTTTGAATGTTAATTGAAACACATTATTCATATGAAACTTCTTTTCCAACACAAAATAGTTATTTTGATGTAATTAATAATAAGAATTTATGCAAATTTGATGCGATTTTCAAATATTTAATTTCTTTTCCATGTAATTGTTTTTTATTTGATATTATATCTATTTTTTTTATTTCTAATGTATTCTTTTGTTCTGGAATACATCAAGTTACTTTGAGAAACATATAAAAGCAATTTGATATCAATTCATACATCTAAACCTGTATTCACATTTCTGCTTGTACACATGAATATATGCAATTATAGCATATTTTTGATGACATACGCATACTAATTGTTATGTAACACCTTACAGGTATATCCGATTTCAACGAAAATGGTATCAAAATGTGCATAAGACTTGAGGGAAAAAAGTCATGCAACGACAATTCAAAATTCCAAGCGGTTGCAGCGCAATCTTCGAAAATGTCGAGTGGGGGGCCTCCCAGGCCCCCCCCAATATCTCTATCAGTCTGGGGAATGGTTTTAGGTAGATGCATTTACAGCCTCAATAGCATTGGATGGATTGTATAATGAAAACTAGATGGAATTCGACTGCGCGCAGTCGAAAATGATGCCTCCGTCATAGAGCAATTTTACAAACCGAAACGGAAGAAATTTTTCAAATTCAAGTTCAATTGTAATCCATTAACATGTTCTCAGAATATCGTGATTACAAGCAATCTCTCATAAACATATATGACCCTTTGATCTTTGACCTCATGACCCTAAAATCTACTCAGTTCATTGGCTCTGCAAGATTTCCTGAGTTAAATAGTAATCCATCTGTCAGTTCTAATGAGAATGCGTCCACAAGCTATTTTTGCATACATAATGAGCCCATGACCTTTGATCTTATGAACCATTCATTGGCTCTGCAAGATACATAAATGATCTAAGTTTGGCAGGAATCCATCAATCTGTTCTAATGATAATACGATCACAAGCTATTTTTGCATACATAACGAGCCGCATGACCTTGACCTTTACCTCATGACCCCAAAATCTAATCAGTTCATCAGCTCTGCAAGTAACATACATGACCTAAGTTTGGCAGGAATCCATCAATCGGTTCTTGAGATAAGGCGATCACGAGCTGTTTTTGCATACACAATGTGCGCTGTGACCTTTGACCTCGTGACCCCAAAATCTAATCAGTTCATTGGCTTTGCAAGATACATACATGACCAAAGTTTGGCAGGAATCTATCAATCGGTTCTTCAGATAACGCGATCACAAGCTGTTTTTGCATACATGAGCCCTGTGACCTTTGACCTCTGACCTCATGACCCCAAAATCTAATCAGATCGTCTTCCTATGGTGATACATACTATCCTTAAGTTTGAAGTTTTTACATCTCCATTGGTTCTTGAGATATCATGATAACAATCTCAATGTATGGAATTTCATAAGTTGACCTCTATGACCCTTGACCTTTGACCTACGTGCTCCAAAATGTAATCAGATTGTTTTCCTATAGTGATACACACTATCACTAAGTTTGAAGTTTAAATCTCCAGTGGTTCTTGAGATATCATGATAACAATCTCAATGTATGGAATTTCATAAGTTGACCTCTGTGACCCTTGACCTTTGACATACGTGCTCCAAAATCTACTCAGATCGTCTTCCTATGGTGATACATACTATCCTTAAGTTTGAAGTTTAAATCTCAAATGGTTCTTGAGATATCGCGCTAACAAACTCAATACAAGGAATTTCATAAGTTGACCTCTGTGACCTGTGACCTTTGACCTACGTACTCCAAAATCTAATCAGATCGTCTTCCTATGGTGATAAATACTATTCCCGAGTCTTAAGTTTAAATCTTAAATGGTTCTTGAGATATTGTGATAACGGTCAAACGGGACGGACGTACGGACGGACGTACGGACGGACAACCCGAAAACATGATGCCTCCGGCACCACCTTCGGTGGCGGAGGCATAAAAATGAAGACATGAATCGTCTGTTTTATAAAACAAAATTCCTGTTTGTTTGATAAAGTAAGGAGTCAGTTGAATATTGACCCATGTCATATCGATGGAAAATAAATCCCAAGTTTAGTAGGCTTACTGTTCTTTTAGGACATACTCATAAGCTACTCATGAGGGACCTTAAATCCACAAGCCTTGCTTTCAACCAAGGTCACCTCATCTTTCTATTGTAACGCCATATTCTGTTAACTTGTTATATTCATGTCATATTTGTAATGCGTGTTATGAAAGGAAGATAAATAAAACTTGAACTTGAAAAAACAGCTTTCATATTATTCTATGGACTGAAGCTATATGTAAGCACATTGAAAAGAGACAAGGTGTTGATTTTGCTGTACATATTATCATGGTTATTTTCATATCAATTTTCTTATAAAGATTAAAATTGGCCCTAGGATCCTCTGATGAAGTATGCCGACTCTAGTTTTTCATTAAAAAACATAGCAGTCTATAACACTGGGAAGTGTATGTAACATACATGTTAATATTGGACAACTAAAACATCACATCAGGGTGTCTTACCACTTTTTATCAGGAATAGTACACAATTAGTTAAAATGTTAAAGTTTTAATTTAAAAGAGTACAATGCTGCTTATTGTTAGCTCATCTAATTCATCAATATCTTCGGACATGCCTTGTATTTTAATAATATTCCTTACTAGTATCTCACATGATGGCAACAACTTTCAAGAAATCAACCAAAGGCGATTTCAATACCCTATTACAATACAATACAATACAATAAACATTTAGGGCGCCATTCCCATAAGGCTCAGAGCGCTAACATCAAATAATATTATTGGTCTTTACTACATGTAGTAATTATTGTATTGAAATCCTTACGTAATCCGTCATTGTCATGCTTGCACAAGCACAAGGCTATTGAAATTGCCTTTGGTTGGTAATTTGAAAGTATTTGCAATCATGTTAACTGATTCAATGTGAGACGTAACATCAAACTTACGGCATTGAGATTCATCTTCACGTTGGGGACACTGTGCAGCTCCATCACACGTTAGATTCACATGGAACACCAAACCAGAGCTATTACCACACGGTCTGTAGTCTATGGAAAAATTGATATAGGTTTATTTTGAACATGCTTCATAGTAAACTTGTAAAAATATATTATAATTCAAAGGACATCAGTGGTAGATCAAGAAGAATAGGCAAATGCAACATCAAGAGAAAACAAAGTTGTTATGAACAGTTTTTGAAAAGAGGTGAAAACGTGGTAAAATCATTATGTTAGATAGCCAAGATTCTGTGTATAGGAATTAGTATTGGCACAGATAAACCTCTAAAAAGGGAATGAGATCATTGTAATGTTGAGTTAATCTGATAGAACTTCCAAAATGAAACAGAGTCTGTTAAAAGATATGAAACCTATTTTTCCCTAGCAGTCTCTTTCATAATATATTATGTAAAAATCGATAGGTGAACAAGAGTTGGATCTCAAAACCAACAACAAAGAATGGCCAATCACTGCAACTCTTTCTGTTTTTATTTTGCTCTCTGACTTTCCATTCCATTGTCCTCTGTACAATCAAATGTTCCATGAATGTGATGAGGTTATTATATGAATGCCTATCCTGACCATGCAACTGAATACAAATGTGGTTTTCTTGAAATTTTCAAGTTCAAGCGTATGCTGCTTCGGCTTTTCAACAGACGTACAATGTAGCTATATCATGCATTCCAGTAACTCAATTAAAATGTATTCATGCCTACTGGTAATAATATCATAACATATTTATTACCATCAAATGGATGAAATGCTCTTTTACATAGGTACTTCAAAATCTATTTTTCATATTTCAAATTATATATAGGGAAAATTTGGGTTTCCTTTCTTGAAAATAGATGCCTTAATGCATACAAACCATTTATTTCTGATACGGCTGAAGCAAAGATTTGGAATCCACTTCCTCCATACTCAAACCCTGTGTCTAATGATACTGTGTCGAATGATACCCAAAGGCCATTAGAGGCGGGAGGAGCCAAAACACTGGCATAGACGTCCATAAGTTCATACTCCGAGTAAACCCAAGGGCCTAGACTGAGGAATCCTGAAATGCAGGTAATGGTAGATGAAGCATTCTGAGGGTTGTTACCCTCTCCAACACACAGGGTATCATTGGGGGTAATGGCAAGAATCGCGAAACGAAGCAAGACATAGTTATTATCAGTAGCAATCAAGGACCAAGTTACAGATGATGTTTGACCAGCAGTGTGATAGGTGTAGCCATATGATTGAAGCTTCAAGATATCCCCTGGTGATACTTCATGTGGATCTGAAGTTGAAAAAAAGCACAAAAGTGAAATCAAAATACTTTTCCTCTATTCAAATTATCGGATGTCAAACACATATGCGCATGGGCACATTTCGCTAGAGGAGCTGATAACCTTTGTCCTTATATCAACTCTTCAGCTTCTAAATTTTGCACAATTTTTTTTCTTTTTCAAACAAGACAAATGCGACAGTGTTCAGGAATTGACCTCTGTGACCATTGACCATTGACCATTGACCTCTTTACCCAGAATCTGATCAGATCATCTTTTTATGATGATACATACTATCATCAACTTTGAAGTTCATATCTCAAGTGGTTCTCGAGATATCGAGATAACGGGCAAGCAGGACAGACAGACAACCTGAAAATATAATGCCTCAGGCACCACCTTCAGGGGGCGGAGGCATAAAAAGAAAAGTTTTGTGTAGTGATAGCTACATATATTTGGGCACCTCCTGCCTAAATATGAGAATATTTGGGCTGCTTGCTGCCTAAATTTGTGGTGGTGGTGGTTGCCCAAATATACGAAATTTACCCCCCCCCCCACATCTTGCCTGTCTGGTCATGCAGTCTATGGTTTAGGAATTTATGTATTTATCATTTCAAATTTTCTCCAACCTTTGGATTGAGAGTCAAGTGAGTGAACCACTATATCATGACACTTCCACTTTGTTTTATAGGATCTTTCCTGTATCATAAGTGTGAACAAGGGAATTGATTTTACATAATTCCTATCCTTACCGCACATATATTCATCATTGCTATTCATGCAATCTGCAACACCATCGCATTGGGCTGTTCTTAAGGAGACTTCTGTCGTTGGTTCGCTGTCACAATACATATAGTCTGTATGAAAAAATAAAGTATAAATAATGAAAGTAACGAGGTACAAGCATTTTACAACTCCCTAATCAATTTACAGCTATAAAAGCATTCTTTGTACATGTAAGTAATTTAGTGGAATCCTTTGGCAACTAAATATCTTTCATATATTTTATTCAAAATCTTAAAGATTTTGTTATACTAAAAAAATAGAGGGTAGCACAAAAAGCACAAGGCAGCCGATATCTGTAATTTCAACGACATCATAGACAAAATGTCATTTTTTTTGGTTTGTTTTATTGGATAGAACTTTTTTTCTTAGTATTTCCAAGATCATCAATTTTGATTAGGCCATATAGATTCTGGAGCTTATTTTTAGTGGCAGAGTTGTTTTCAATATAACCATAATCGTGCTAGATGCAGTGACAAATTTTTACCTGACGGCTTCCCATAGAATCACAACATAACATACGAACGTTTCATTCATGTTTTTTTTTGTATGCATTAATCTTAAGTATGTTGAATATTAATTTAAATTATTTGTATGCACCTTGAGCATCTTTAAAGATGGATATGTTGCGCTTTATAAATATTGTTATCATTATTATTATTTAGCAGCTGATTGTATGGGATCCCATCATGCACAATTCTTGCTGCTTCAAGCATGACTACTGTTGCAAAGGTAGCAAATTTGAAAACAACTTTGCCTCACCAAAATAGTCCAAGAATCAAAACATCTAACCCAAAATTTATTATCTTGGTTTCATTTTACAAGAATTTTCTACTTGATAATATAAAACACAATGACATTTTGTGAATGATTTCGTTGAAATTACAGATCCCAGTTGTTGAAATCTTTTTTGGCTACCATGTATAATAAGGAATATTGAATCTAATGCACTGATACCAACCTCTTGCTTCTACAGCAGTTATTTGAAACTCAAAGTAGTCGTAGGCATAAGTTGAGTACTGATATTCAATGAACATATCTGAACTGTTGAGGAGGTGTTTCTCGTGAGCCCCAGACTGGTAGCTATAATAATAACCATCCCTGTATGTTACATTCCATGTCCTGCTGCTATTGGTGTTTGGGTCATGTCCATAACCAAAGACCAGATGGGAGCCATCATAAAAGTATGAGTACAATGGTTCGATCAGAAAGGCCAAATTTGGTGCATCAGCAAGAGTGAGCTTCCAAAGGATGTAGCCGCCCCCAGAATGATAGGTCGATGACACATTCACTGATTCACCTTGTGTGAGGACTCTCTCTACAATAAAAAAAAAAAAACACTGGAAATAATTTTAATGGTAATTATGATTATAATAATAGCGATAATAAGTATTATAATAATAATAACATTAATAATAACAATAAAAATATTAACAATCAGAATCTAATAGTCAAGTGCTTTGAGAGGCTCTTATTGAAATTAAGAACTCTCTGAGATGACTGGCATAGTTGTGGGGGGCATATCTTGTGAGGGGCATAGCCTCGTACGAAATAGTAACTATGCTTGTCAAAGGGAATTCATAATTTTACCAGTGCCTTGAAAACAGTGTATGACATATTTGATGTATACCCTTAATCAATACATTAACATAAAAATAAAGGGGTAAATTAATTGTGACAAACTTGGAAATGACTGCAAATTAGAAAAAAAATGACTCCGCTGGGAATCGAACCTGGGTCTGTATGGGAAATGCCTTAACCACTAGACCATGTAGGCGGGTTGAGGCCAAGAAAGTATTGAAGAAGGACAAGCTGCATGCCTAGCTAGATCCATGTGGCATATATGAAGCTAGTCATAGTTCAATACTCCCCCATCCCTCAAAGAAAAGGAAAAAGTCAACTGCGTATTGGTTGGATAGGCTGTCAGTCAGTGACTGTATCTGGTGTAGCCAAGTCCCACTCAATCTGCCTCCAGGGGGCATTTTTAATTGCCACGCTGTAATTTCAAAGAAGTGGGTAAAAAATGGTTTGTAAAATCAATTTAATACAACCACTCCCCCACAAAAAAACAAAAACAAAATCCATCATTACCACATCCTTTTTCATCTGTACCGTCATCGCAGTCAATGGTGAAGTCGCATACTACCGCCCAATTGTGCAGCTGGTTCCCATCACAGAAGAAATAATCTGCAAACAATTTTATAACACACTTTTTATAAACTTTAGCATGACAAAAAGTTGTTTAAAATTGAAACCCCCATTTGACTTTCACTACTCCTAGAGCTAAGCCTAAAGTAAACAATCCCCCTGCGGAGACCTTGGCGAGGTGAGAGAGGGAGAGAGAGAGAGATAAGCATGATAGAGGGAGAGAGGAAGGGAGAAAGAGTGCTAATTTTCACAATTAAAATTGTTGTATCGCCAATTTTGGGTCATTTTGCTTTGTTTGAACTTTCATTATGGCCTTCATCTAAATTATAAGTGACTTTTGGACATGAAAATATCTTAAAACAAGTAAAATATATACAGTAGGTTTGCGGTTGCACCATGTGTGAGAGAGAGAGAGAGGTTTGAGGAGTCCTGAAAAGGACTCTGACTCGGTAATCAACCCGAGGATCGCCTTGCTATGACACAGCCAAACACCTGACCAAGATTCTCCAACCACTCGTAGGACAATCGCAGCACCACATCAATAACTCCAAGCATTTCGTCGATATCCTCTCCAAGACCACCATACACGATACAGACATCATGGTCAGTTTCGATGTTGAATCTCTCTTCACCAATGTTCCTGTCACCGAATCCTGCCGAATCGTCAAAGAACGCCTCGAAGCTGACGACACTCTCCCCAACAGAACCCCCCTGACACCGGATGAAATACATGACCTCATGTACTTCTGCCTCAACTCAACTTCCTTCAAATGGCGAGACAATTACTACCAGCAACTTCAAGGCGCAGCCATGGGATCGCCTCTTTCACCGGTTATAGCCAATATCTTCATGGAGCACTTCGAAACAACGGCACTCCAGACTCTCTCACAACGCCCTTCTCTCTGGCTCCGATATTTCGACGACACATTCGTCATCTGGCCACATAGCAGACCTGACTTAGACCACTTTCTCGCCCACATCAACCAGCATTACCCGAGCATCAAATTCACCATGGAGACCGAGCAAAACAACAGCATCCCCTTCCTAGACGTTCTCGTTACCAAATCACCATCCGGCAAGCCCGCTCATCAAGTCTACAGTAAACCCACACACACCGATAGATATCTTCACTACAGATCCTTCCACCATCCATCCGTACTACAATCAGTCCCCAACGCCCTCATCCGCCGAGCCCATCAACTCAGCGATGCAGACCATCTAGACCAGGAAATCCAGCATGTCACCACAGCCCTAACCAGCATCAACGAATACCCAAGACATAAGATCAAATCCAAGACTCCCGCCAACAAGCCCGCAGCTAACTCCACCCCTGAAGAGAACCAACCCGCAGCTACACCACCGAAGCAAACTATTGTTCTTCCCTATATCGGTCAAGCCTCTCACAAGATTCAACGTATCCTTCAAGCAGCAGACATCCAAGTTCGACACAGTTCCTCCAACAAACTCCATTCGATACTCCACTCCCACAAAGACAAGCATCCAAACCACAAGAAAGCTGGAGTCTACAAAATACCATGCGAATGTGGAAAAGTCTACATTGTTGAAACGGGGAGAAATCTGGAAACAAGACTCAAGGAGCACAGAACCAGCTTCAGACTCAGCGATTGGGATAAGTCCGCCATCGTCAAACACGCCCAGCAACACAAACACACCATCGAATGGGATAACAGTCATCTCATCTCCATAATGAAACACTGGCATACACGCCGAATCCGAGAAGCCATCGAAATTCACCGCCACAACACCGTGCCCCAAGACTCAGGACTATACATCAACGACATCTGGAAACCTCTCATCAACAAGTACCCGGTCACTCCTCCTCCACCACCGCCTCCAGCACCGCCCTCACCACCCCGACAGACACCCGTACATCAACCACCGCCACCCGCCGAACCCTCAAAGCAGCCGCCAGTCTCACAGCTACAATGCACAGCAGACAACAACAGACTACAACGCCGCCTACGTCGGGGACACACACAGCGTCTCGCCGACAGCACTTCCCACTCATCGACTCGAAACTCTCCTAAGTCCGCAACCCGGAGCCTCCAGCCCAGGCGGACAGTCAGACGAATTACCTGCCGACCATCCATGCCCACTCCCCGATGACTCAAGCCGACACGGTCTACTATTTTTCCCTGACGTCCGCACCCCGGTCACTTAAGCTCACGCACGCCAGCTATTCTCCACTCCTGACGACGGATAGTCAACCTGTTCGAAACGTCGAGCCACTCATCCTCTCCAAGCGCTATAGTTCTCCTGAGAACTATATGCTAAGAAAGATAACAAACAGTCCTTTTCAGGACTACACTCCTCCAAGAAAGATTACCGAGTCAGAGTTCTTTTCAGGACTCCTCAAACCTCTCTCTCTCTCTCACACATGGTGCAACCGCAAACCTACTGTATATCTACATCACCATGCAAGCCGACACTTACAAGCAGCAAGTAAAATATATATTTTCTACTTCTCATTTCCTTTCAGGCAGAGCCCCAGTAAGAGTTTGTTTACACTAGTATTACGTAACATGATGAAGAGTCCAGCTGCAATGCTGCAATCCAATATCATAATCTCTCACACAGAGCCAATTGGGGTAGTGGTACCCCGGTGCCTGTGTAATAGAAGTAACTCTCTCAAAGTTTTAACGAAAGAAACAAAATTGGGGTTCTGGCACCCCACCAGATTACATTGATTCCTGCGGTATGGTGGTCGGGTATATTTTTAATGAGAGCTTTTTGTAATAGGATATGTTTTGACCTGATAAGTGTTGCTGCAATTTAATAATAATAATAATAGTACCGGTAATCAATATTTTGTAAACCCAGGAAAAGCCACATCAGGATCAATGCTCTTCTCCCAGAGGGCCTTGCAATTATTAGCCAGGAACGTACCCATTAACAACTGGCTGGAGAGTAGATTTTTTTTTTATTAATGTCTGGCCAAAGGATGTTAGTACTGTGCTGGGATTTTATTTGTGTACTGTGAAACAAAATGTTCATGTATATGAATGAAGTTTACTTATAACATTCAAATTCAAATTCAAACCCTTAACAAATATACTGAGAAAAAGTCAAGTGAATAAACAACTACACAACAACACATTCATACCTCCATGAAACAGTATTTGATGAGCATGATCAATAGAATGGTAAGTGCGCAAATAATCTTTTTAAAAACAAGATGTGTGACTTAACATTTTTGAAATAATTTGATGAAACAACAAAGAAACAAATGAACAAATATACAAGAACAGCAAGCACAAGTTTTTGACTTGAAAATTAGGTCAAATGAAATAACAGTCTAAAGAAATTGAATGTAGTTGGAAAAAAGTTTTCAACTAGAGGGACTTTTAAACAATTTGTTTTTAAAAAATAAAAAAATACATTACGTTCTAGAAATGACAAATGAATGCAAGAAATATTGGTGTGAACAACTTTTCTTTTGGGAGTGGATTCCAATATTTTGTCCACGGATACCCTCTTGAATTGAAGTGGTTCCTAACATCACTCCGAAAAGAGTGGATTTCCATTCCCCAATGAGTGGATTCACGCTCCTATACAAATAGAGAGTACATACCTGATGCATTCAACACTGATATTTCAAGTTCAAATCCCATGTCGGTGAAATACGCATCTGATGAGAACTCAATGACGACTGATGGTTCACGTAAGAGAAAATCAACAGAACTGTAGATTCTGCTGTAGGGTCCATAGGAGAAAACGTTGGTTGTAGCATTAGTTTCCTGGTCTCCAGCTCTTCCCGTGAGATAGTCATAAGAATTTAGGGATAACCTCAGGATGGTAATTTGAAAATACAATTCCTCATGGTCTTTGGTGATGACCCAATGAACGTAGGCATTGTTTGGGTAGAAATCAGGAAAGTTGGGAGACTGAATTCGGATGGTTTCTCCTTCACTTACATGTTCATGGTAATCTAGTTTAGGGAAGAATTCAAAATGAAATTTTCAACCTTATCAGTACTACCAAAAAACAATGTCAATAAGAATAGTGACAATGACGATAATGTTGATGATAATGATAATAGTAATAAAGATAATAATAATGATAATATCAAATTATAATTACAATAATAATAATAATAATAATACAAATTAATGATAGTGTGGGGGTATGCAGGTTGAAACAATCCCAGTGGTTGTAGAAGCTATATGAGTCATGAAGAAAGGAATGGAGAAGTTTAGTGACACATCCCAGACAATCCTGTCGCAAAATAATTATCTCTGAGTCCTTGGAATTACAAATATGGAGAGACAGAAATGATGTGTCCTCAGCATAATGTTAGGTGAGAAAAATTACGATATACGAGTCTGATAAAGATTACATTTAGTTATTTGATTAAGTTTAGCTAGCAGTAGACGGTGTAAACCAATAAATGGTAGCCCTAATCCTAGCGCATGCTGGTCGTCTAGCGACAGTTAACTTCATGAACCCTACCAACTGCATAAAATAGCCCTGTTGGGCTCTTGTAAGTCGTTTTTGAAAAGCCTAAGGTTGATGTTAGTTCTAGATCAAGATGTCTTGACTAGGCTGCGATACTAAATATTTTAGTGTCTGTTAAGCCCTAAACAATTTTGTGAGCATCATACCTCCCATACACTCTCCCATTCGTTTGTGTATAATTTTCGTGCTGTGCGATTAAAAAAAAAAAAAATCACGTCATCTGTCTTATATGTAGAATAAGCTAAGGCAAAGTGCATATATGGCTAAGGCAACTATCTTAAACTAGACAAATTCTAAGAACTTAGAAGTTTATTGAATACGGGCCCAGGTGCCAGGAAATGCTCTCAACCTTAGGTCTTTCAAATCAGATCGAAGATGACAGTCTTGAGAGGAGGTGGAGATAGAGCATAGTAAAGTTACAAAGCAAATGCTGGATGAACTACTCCAGCTATAGGAGAGTAGATCAGAGACCATCAACAACCAAGAGGTTGGCCAGCGTAGCAATGTCACAAAGGCTGAGTCAATGCAAGAACTGGATTAACCAAGTGGCAATGGAGAGACCTCCAACAGATAGACAGCGAATGGAGGATAAGGACTGTAAAGCGGCAAAGCAAATTAAAGCCATCATTCCCAGTTGATGGACAAAGTATTGTTCATTCACCCGCAATAGTGAACAAGGCTATTGACATTCTGGTTGATCACATGTTGATGGCATAACTCCCTTTTAATACCAGACCTCAGTATTTTTTCCGGAGATCCGCTCATATACAGCTTGAATAACGCCATTGATGTGGTGATGGGAAATAGTGGGTTTGAACCATTAGAGCGATTTTTCTACCTACTGAAGTACCAATATAATTACCTCCTCGAAAACTGGTTCGAGGTTATGCTCTCGAAGGAGATAAGAGATAATATTTTGATACCCTAACAATCCTCAAGCAATGGTATGGAGATCTGTTTGTGCTGTCCAACGCTTACAGGGACAAGTTAGACTCTTGGCTGAAAGTAACTACAAAGACAGGCAAAGTCTATGCAGGCTGTCTGACTCTGCTGGACAATGCTGCACAGCTATGGAAACCTTAGGAAACTTGTGATAAATCTAGGCGAAACTCCTAGATCATCTGGCCCCAAGATGGGACAAGAAGGTGGACAACTGTATAAAGGGCAGTCTAAGGAGTTTCCCTCGTGTCCAGGAATTCATTGCAAGAGGACAACATTGCCTGTGGTCCTGTCACCTCCCTGCAGAGTCTGAAGGAGATGAGGTCTGATAAGAGACTGACAATGCAAGGCTGGTCATTGATTCACACCTCGACAGGCGACTGTGGACCTTTTCAAGCAGGCATGGTCAAGAAGCAGCATTATCCAAGCTGTCAGAACACAACTAACATGCAGGTACCCTTAAATAAGGACCTTATCTCCAAGACTTTGACCAATGAGAACAAGTACGCCAAAGAGAATAACAAGTATTTTTGTGTCATAGATTTGTATCATGACATTTGATCGGTACTAAATTAAAAAATACACATCAAAAGATTCGGTTTCAAGTCTACAAAATGTGTACTACAAATTTCCTGTATCTGCCGTTAATGTTCTGCTGCATTTTTTAAGCGTCATTCAATGTTCTGCTGTGCTTAAGGGTCGTTCTATGCTCTGCAGTATTTTCTTAGCGTAATTTTATGTTCGGCTGTATTTGCATAAAATATAATTGATGTTTGAGTCAAAATTAAAAATTTCTGTGAAGTATTTTTGCATATCTAACCTATTAGCTTTATTAGAGAAAACAAAAACAAATAAACATTGGCTAATTAATTGTGGAGAAGAATCATTTTCTTGTATTTATTTGGGGGCTTTAATTTTTGAATAAATTTGCATTAATTATCATAACCAAAATTTCAAAATATTTTTTTAATTTCTGTGTATCTCATTAAAATCTATAAAGCAAACAGAATCAAAATCGGATGAGAAACGATGGAGAAGAAGCATTTAGAAATTGTGGATGGATCATGGACGCCAGATGCCATGGCACACTGTTTAGCTCATCGCACCAATGCGGGCTGGATGAGCTAAAAACAAAACCAAAACCAGATATGTGTACATACCTAAAGATCCAGCGATCACTGTTAGCTGCAGCTGGAATCCCTGACGCGTGACTGAATAGTCACTGGTGAATCGCATCCAACTATTAGAACTGTACAATCTGTAGAACAAGACAAAATTGTAAAACACCTTTCATGATATTAATACATATTATCTGATTATTCACTATGTTCTGGATACACTGTTATTTCACACTTCAGCGCAATGCAATGCCGTAGTATTATTCAGTTAGCTTTTTTTACTAGTAAAAAAACTAAAATTTCATAGGCATAGCAATCCTTTCAAGATTTATTTGCATTTGCAAGAACACCCCAAAACTCATGTAACTGTATGTTGCCTGTAGACCTTCCTGATTTGCATATTAATATCGTTAGCCATTTCATATAGCAGGAAATAGGTCCAAAACAACATCAGGTGTCATTGGAAGTGACGGCCTTAAGTATGATTTCATTGTTTCATTTATATTTCTTTTCCAGTGTGAGGTAACCACCTGGCACATAATCTGTCGTACAGGCAAAAATGGTTTAAAATATCTGAGACATGGCAGATAACATCAGAGTCTCAGAGGTTTTCAGTTTGTAGCACAGGAGAAAGTGAGTTGCTGTTGAGAGCAAGATCACCTACTTTCTTTAATAGAGAAATATCCTTATCACAATGACAAAAGACGGACCGACCAAAATGAAAAAATTGCATTAATCCAGAAACTGACATACAACAAAAACTAATGTACCGGTACTTTATATCAAAATTTGTTGGGATGAGACGTCACACCCACCATAACAGAACATTTCAGTTACATGAACACACACACATGCGCAAATTTAGAGACACATGTATAGGTGAAACACTATTTTGTTCATATGGCTTCTTCAAGTTAAAATGCAAGTACATGTGCATTAAAAATGCACAAATATAAATAATGTATACATTTACACAAACCTCAAAGAAGCTGGTATATCTTGTCCTGAGAAAGTTTTTGCCACCAAGTTCCCAGGCGTATGACCATTCCCTATGCTCAGATGGTCATAGCCACTCTCCAGATTAAATGCTATGAATGTGATGAGCACCGAGTAGTTTGATGGAGCCGTGATGTACCAAGTATAATAGGCGTTGTTTGGATACTCATTAGGATAGTTTGGTGATGAAATTGACCGCGTTTCTCCAACAGTCAGGTTAACCACTGAAACTTTAGTAGTGTAAAGAAATAAACCAAGTACAATAATTTGATGATAAATTTTGTCTGTTTAAATGAAAAAAAGGACATGCAGATCATCAAATTGGTTCAAGTCATAGATTTAAATTCTTGAAAAAAAATCAATTTCATTTACTTTTATTTACTGCAATTGCACTTTGCCATAATGTCCAACATTATTTTTGCTCATATGATTGTATTGTGTTTTTTCCGGTGTATGGTAATCTTGACTTCAAATTCATTTGGGTATTACCATACAAATGGACATACTGAAAAACAGCCTTTGGGGTTGAAAGTGTGTTTTTACCGTGTCTAAATAAAATCAACAACAACCCTTAATGTAGCTTAATATAAGGTATGCACATTTAGGTTCAAAGAAGGTCAGATAAAATAGTTTTAAAATACAGGTAACACATGGGGTATTTGCACATAAAAATAGCACACACTTACATACATTTGCACACACATACTCTTTTCAACACTAAAATAAGAGTATGTAGAAAATTATTTTAAAACGTTTGTCTAAAGATATATGAAATAATTGAGTGCAGTGTTTAAAGACGTGTTTAGCAATGGAGTAGTTATCATGGTAATACCTGAAATCGTGTCATTGGTTGGACTAGCCGTAGTAGTACCTAGAAAAACAAAAGAATATTGCATTATTTGCTTAAACATAGGCATGTGTTTCATTTCACTTTTGCCTGTTAATCAGTATGAATAAAGAAATATACAATCACACATATATGCACACACATACTTTTCTCAACACTATTAATTAAGAGTATGTAGAAAATTATTTTTAAATATTTGTTTAAAGTTTAAGATATGAAATAATGAAGGATAGTTTGGTGATGAGATCAAACACATTTCTCCTAGAGTCAGGTGCACTGCTGAAAATTTAGTAGCGTAAAGAAGAAAACCCATGTACAATAATATGATGAATCTTGTCTGTTAAAATGATTAAAGGAAACCTCACCCCAAAAAATAACTTAAGTTATTCTGAGAGATTTATTGTATTCTTGCCCATTAATCTACATGATACCCCATCAAAGTGTATGTGAGAGGTATATAAAACAAGATATTCTTAGCATAATGTACAGTTTTTAAGGACAACATAGGCATCGCCATTTGCTCGATATCATAGGCCTACTATGCAAAGTCGTTTATCAAGCAAATGTATTCAAATCTATAGACGCTTCCTTCCCACATGTGTGTGCAGTGATGAAGTATTTCATTCGCTTGCAATTATCTTTTGTGCTATAATTTTCTGAATGCAAATTGCATGGAAATAAGCTGATGTTTGCATATTTGTGGTAATTTATGCAATTAAGGTCATAATATTTAAACGTTTTACCAAAAAATCATATATTCTTCATATTTAAACATTCATTTTTTTTACTCCACACCCGGGCCCCGTTTCATTAAAATTGTTATCAATTACAATAACTGTTATAAGCTACTGAAATCAACGCATTTGATTGGCAAAGAGCAAATTTGTCGTAGAAATTGAGCTTTTCTTATTGTTAATATTAAGGTTCATAAAGGAGGGCCCAGATGAAAGCTTTTAGTTTTGATAATTTTAGATAGTCATATACAAAGGTTTTGCTATAGTCCGTTTTTTATTCGTATATTTCTAGCTGAACTGAAATGGATGATGCCATTTCAAATTCACAAGATTGAACATGTCAACTGAGCAAAAGAGTGATGCAACATTCAATTTACATAATAGTACTGTGATTTTAAACAATTTCAATCTTACCTGTGCAGTTCAATTCATCCTCTCTGTTATCGCAATCATCGATACCATCGCAAACCCAGCTTGGATCATACACACATTCATAGTCAGATGCACACTCGAAGCAGGACGAGTTTGCTGGGGGGGTTGCTGGAATAAAGTGCACTTATACAGTTAATGCCAGTTGAACTAAAAGTCACTAGTGCATATGCATGCAAAAATATAAAGTACATAAATTTCGCAATGATTTACAATTGTTTTGGTAGTCAATATATAAAAACCCAGACTTTTAAAATTTTGCTGCACTCTACGATGCAAACTTGAAAAAAGGACCTTGTGACCTGGAAAGGATGATGCCATTTCAAATTCACAAGATTGAACAAGTCAACTGAAGAAAATGTGTATGCTTACGGCAATACTCCTCATCAGAAAAGTCACCACGATCATTGAAACCGTCACAAGTTTGACAATTCAGAATACAATTCTTGTTAGTACATGTGAAAGAGTCATTGCTACACCCTGGTCAACATGAAACTATAGAAATTCATGATCATATCATTTACTGACAAGTGCTTTATCATTGCCAAAATTTAATCAACCTAAATGCACAAGTAATATAATTTGGGGTTGGAACCAACTGGCTCAAGAAATTTTGGTTGACCAGCTTCCTCTACCAGTAGATTAATCCCCCACTCCCCCCCCCCCCCCCCCATTACAAATTGACTTGCCCTAAATCAAAGGTATTCAATGATCTTCAGGACATGAACAGATGTCAGCACACAAATTGCATAAGCTGTTGCCCAAACCCTGAGTATGAAATTACGTTTACGAAAGGAAAACCTAAATCTCAAGTTAAGATGAATCCCTTGTTGGTTTAAATTTGAGTAGGATACATGATAAAGAGTCTTACAGGTCTAACTAAGCAGAAAATAACCATTCATAGGTAGATCTGTCATACATTTTGGTCGTCTCTAAGAAATCATTCACATCGTACACAATAGCACATTCCACTACATTACAGCATTCTACATAAATGGAAAATCACTTATACCGGGTAGGTGAAATAGTCAACATTTTAACATGATTAAGATCGTAGTAGATTATTTTTCGATTTGAATAATATTAAGGGATTGGGTAACTTTGTCTCAGATTCTGAAACAAAATCCTGGATTTAGCTCATGGTGCAATGATAATTATATATAGGTCAGTCAGGAACCCCATGACTTTTACAAGCCGATCGCCTGTCTCATTATCAAGACATTTATGATTGGAAATCGGAATCAAATTTTGTGTTTGCCTAACGGTGTTCATATGTTTGTATTGTATTTTTCAGGTGTATGGTCATTTTGTCGTCAAATTCATTTGTGTAATACCATACAAACGAACATACTGAAAAACAGCTTTTGGGGCTGAAAGTGTGTTTTTCCTGTGTCTAAATGAAATCAACAACAACCCTTAATGTAGAGTATAAATTATGCACATTTAGGCTTAAAGAAGGTACAATGTACATCACAGCAAGCTCAGATAAAATGGTTTTAAAATACAGGTGACTGCACACACATACTCTTCTATACACTAAATTAAGAGTATGTAGAAAATTATTTAAAAACAGTTGCCTAAAGTTTAAGATATGAAATCGTTGAGTGCAGTGTTTTAAGACGTGTTTACCAATGGAGTAGTTATCATGGTAATACCTGAAATCATGTCATTGGTTAGACTGGCCGTAGTAGTACCTAGGAAAACAAAAGAATATTGCATTATTTGTTAAAACATAGGAATGTGTTTCATTTCACTTGTGACTGGTAATCAGTATGAATAAAGAAATTGAATGAAAGAAAATCCCATTTTTTTAGTAGTTTCTTGATACATTTCATTCTACAAGATCTAAATGCTCATCACATTTGAATGGTCGGATCGATGATCCATTTTCGCAATTTTCTTTTAGAAACTCATTTATTGGTAAATGGCTATGCTCACTCATGCATGAATGGTACAATTCCAAGTGCATATCATCTAAACAAGGATTACTATATATATTTATTTAGATATATAAATATAACTATACTTCCAATACTTATTAGAAAATCTTAATTAGAAATAGTGTCCACTTTCTTGTTATGCTGAGTGTAGTTTAAAATTGGAATTTCAATATATTTGTGCATGCGCTATCAGCAGTATCTTGTCTGTGCTCTCAGCTGTGCTGTGCTCCGACAGCTGCTGTACAGACGATTGATCCAGGATTATTTTCGTCAAGAACATAAGGTTAGGATTAGGGTTGAAATTAGCTTTATGGCTAGGATTTTCGACAGCCGGTACTGTGTTTTATCAACCTGCAAGGACCTTATCTCCAAGACTTTGGCTGATGGGAACAAGTACGTCAGAGAGAATACCAAATATTTTTGTTAAATTTTTTTTGGTTAAAATTGTATTTTTTGTTAAAATTTGTATCCTGACCTTTGATTAGTCTTAAATTAAAACAAACAAACAGAATCGCTTTCAAGTCTCCAATCTCCAGTATCTGCTGTTAATGGCATAAATACTCTTGTGTTTAGTGGGTCCCCAATGCAATGCCCATGAATACATTGTACCCATGCAGACCTTTAATGGCTCATAGGGATTTGTCTCATTTTCTAGTGAAATTTAAAGCATGTTCACATATGCACTGTGCGCATTCAATATTTGTTTAGCTACACTGTCCAGCAGTCAGTTTCAAATTTTATGCCTGCAGTTTTGGCCAATCAGAGGCCTTGGATATTCATATGCAGTATATAAAAGAAAATATCAAGGATAGTGATACTTTTTAGTTTTAATCAAGAATTCCATGAATCATAGTATTGCTAGAGTGCCTATATATGTCTACGCATACATATACGTGCAACTGATTCTTATGAAATAAAAAAAACTAATGAACAGAAATTTGTTTGTGTCTCTGTTATCATAAATAGATATAGACTCGGAGATACATGTGAAAAACAAGTAAAAAATATCTGTAAAATTTTAGCAATTCTATTCACCAGCCTCGATATGGTAAATTTCCACTCAAGAATCATATCCCAAAGCGACATGTAAATTGAATGAGTGTGCAGACGTGGGAACATAAAGAATGTAATGAATACATGTAGAATCACATTAAGCATCAAAGGAATTTTAATAAAAAATTGGCAAATTTTAAGTCAAATATTAGGTGCCCAATCATTACGTATGCGACACAAGAGGAAATACCAGGGACTAGCCTATATACCAATTCCCACCACACTGCACCAGCCTGCAATCTAATTAATAACTTGAATTTAAAGAGATAATAAAGGAGTTGGAGAAAGTGGAAAGACGTTTATATTTGTTTGCATTATATGGTTTTAAATGTATTAATTGATAAAAGTGCTGAAACTACAACAATACCTAATGTTGGTGGAACACTGCCTGCGTAATCTGCAATAAAAAGAAATTATTTATTGTTCAAATGAGATAATAGACAGATCACTTGAAATCATTTATGTAAAAATTTGGAATTTCATATATCCTTGGTTTTCTCTTCGCTCTGCATTACACGTTTTGTGAAGTTATATATTGTTAATAATAAGGAAGAATCTATTCTGCACTAAAAACAAAAAAATTTAAGTCAAAGAGGGGGCACAAAACTTATCCTCTACATAAATTCTCCTAAACATGTCTCGAATTTAGATTTACCAATTGTAAAAATTGTGTCTCCATGATTAATTTTCATATAACAATTGGGTTTCTATACATATATTGTTGCTTAATTAAACCAATGTTGCTTCATTGGTGTTTTTTTTTAAATAGCATGATTAGAGCTTTCTCTTTACAGAATATATTTCTGAGATGCATTCATTAAAAAAAAAATGCTTGTGTTGTCATATGTTAAATTTCTTTCAATACCAAGATATTTATGATCTTAAACATACTTTTCACAACTCCTAGAATGAAAGGCAACAGCTCAGAGACTCTCGCGTACACTCCTGGGTTTCCTGGTTCCGCACATCCATATCCCCAACTAGTTACACCGACCAGGTGCCATCTACCATCTGGACCTTCACACGCTAAAGGACCACCACTATCACCCTTCAATCAAAATATAATATTATACTATTATTTCATGTTCTGGCATTCACTATACATGCAATAAAATATTTTCACTGACAAATTAGCAATTGCACAAGTGATCAGGGGCGTCGCCAAAGGGGGGGTGTGGGGGGGTGCGACACCCCCCCACCTGTCAGGATATTGTCGGTAAAATTGCGCTGCCGTCGGGAAAAAGAGAAAAGGGGGAGGGGAAAAAGAGAGGGAAAAAAAAGAGAGGGAAAGGGAAAGAAAAGAAAAAAAGAAAAGGAAAAGAAAAGAAAAGAAAGAAAGGAAAAGAAAGGAAAGAAAGGAAAAGAAAGGAAGAAAAAAGAAGAAAGAAAGAGAAAAAAGAAAAAGAGAGAGGAGAGGAAAGAAAGGAAAAGAAAGAAAAGGAAAAAAGTGAAAGGGAAACAAAAGAAACGGGGGATGACAGAGAGGAGAGAGAGGGAAGATAAGAGACTGAGAGAGGAGGAGTGGGAGTAAAAGAGACGAGGGGGTTGTTGGGTGGAGTCGTCTCGTCGAGGGAGCAAGAAAGACACGGGTAAATATGTTGCTGTGTCGGGTCAGCTGTGTCGGTATTGTTGCTCGATCCTCGTGTACTATATCAATGCAGAAGTATATTGTCGGTCGGTCGACAAGTTTTTTTCCCTACGAACTGTGACTTCTTATCCGCTTTGACGACTTCGAGAGTGACTACAACAGTTACTTGTATTTTCTCGAAGTTTCACTTGCCTATAATATCAGCTAAAGAAATCAGAAGTTTAAAATTTTCGGGGAAACTAAATTCAAACAAGGTTTAAGAGTCAACAACGGTACGACGAATCGTCTTTCTTTCTTTATATTGTGATGAAACGCCCAAAATTCCGCGCTTCGCGCGGAAGGGGAAACTTCATTTAGACGAGTCGAGAACGGTACAACGAATCGTCTTCATTCTCTAATAATTTCAGGAAACGTCAAAGCTTCCGCGCTTCGCGCGAGAGGGGGAAACTGAATTCAGACAAAATTAATAGGGCTTATTTAGAGTCGAAAACGGTACAACGAATCGTGTTCTTTCTCTAATAATTTGAGGAAACGTCAAAGCTTTCGCCCTTCGCGCGAGAGGGGGAAACTGAATTCAGATTAATAGGGCTTAATAAGAGTCGAAAACGGTACGATGAATCATCTTCCTTTCTCTATATTGTGATGGAACGCCACAAAATTCCGCGCTTCGCGCGGAAGGGGAAAACTTCATATAGACGAGTCGAGAACGGTACAACGAACCGTCTTCTTTCTCTAATAATTTAAGGAAACGTCAAAGCTTTCGCGCGAGAGGGGGAATCTGAATTCAAACAAAATTAATAGGGCTTATTTAGAGTCGAAAACGGTACAACGAATCATGTTCTTTCTCTAATAATTTGAGGAAACGTCAAAGCTTTCGCCCTTCGCGCGAGAGGGGGAAACTGAATTCAGATTAATAGGGCTTAATAAGAGTCGAAAACGGTACGATGAATCGTCTTCCTTTCTCTATATTGTTATGGAACGCCACAAAATTCCGCGCTTCGCGCGGAAGGGGAAAACTTAATATAGACGAGTCGAGAACGGTACAACGAACCGTCTTCTTTCTCTAATAATTTGAGGAAACGTCAAAGCTTTCGCCCTTCGCGCGAGAGGGGGAAACTTCATATAGACGAGTCGAGAACGGTACAACGAATCGTCTTTCTCTAATAATTTAAGGAAACGTCAAAGCTTTCGCGCGAGAGGGGGAATCTGAATTCAGACAAAATTAATAGGGCTTATTTAGAGTCGAAAACGGTACAACGAATCATGTTCTTTCTCTAATAATTTTAAGGAAAGGTCAAAGCTTCCGCGCTTCGCGCGAGAGGGGGAAACTGAATTCAGACAAAATTAATAGGGCTTATTTAGAGTCGAAAACGGTACAACGAATTGTGTTTTTTCTCTAATAATTTAAGGAAACGTCTGAGCTTCCGCGCTTCGCGCGAGAGGGGGGAAACTGAATTCAGACGCAATTTAACGGGCTTATTTAGAGTCAAAACGGTACAACGAATCATGTTCTTTCTCTAATAATATGAGGAAACGTCAAAGCTTTCGCGCTTCGCGCGAGAGGGGAAAACTGAATTCGGATGAATAGGGCTTAATAGGAGTCGAAAACGGTACGACTAATCGTCTTCTTTCTCTAATAATTTAATGAAACGTCAAAACTTCCGCGCTTTGCGCGGGAGGGGGAAGCTTCATTCAGATAAGCATTAAGAGTCGAGAACAGTACACCGAATCGTCCGCTTTTTCTCATAATTTAATGAAACGTCAAAGCTTCCGCGCTTCGCGCGGGAGAGGGAAAAACTGAATTCAGACAAGGATTAAGAGTCGAGAACAGTACACCGAATCGTCTGCTTTTTCTCATGATTTAATGAAACCACAAAGCTTCCGCGCTTTGCGCGGGAGGGGGGGGGGAGACTGAATTCCGAAAAGGATAAACAGTCGAGAACGGTACAGCAAATCGTCTTCTTTTTTATAATAATTTAATGAAACGTCAAAGCTTTAGCGTTCCGCGCGGGAGGGGGGGGGGAACTTTATACAGCCACGGATTACCAGTCGAAAACGGTACAATTAATCGTCTTCTTTTCCTAATAATATAAGGAAACGTCTAAGCTTCCGCGCTTCGCGAATCGTGTTCTTTCTCTAATAATTTTAAGGAAACGTCAAAGGTTCCGCGCTTCGCGCGAGAGGGGGAAACTGAATTCAGACAAAATTAATAGGGCTTATTTAGAGTCGAAAACGGTACAACGAATCGTGTTTTTTCTCTAATAATTTAAGGAAACGTCTGAGCTTCCGCGCTTCGCGCGAGAGGGGGGAAACTGAATTCAGACGCAATTTAACGGGCTTATTTAGAGTCAAAACGGTACAACGAATCATGTTCTTTCTCTAATAATATGAGGAAACGTCAAAGCTTTCGCGCTTCGCGCGAGAGGGGAAAACTGAATTCGGATGAATAGGGCTTAATAGGAGTCGAAAACGGTACGACTAATCGTCTTCTTTCTCTAATAATTTAATGAAACGTCAAAACTTCCGCGCTTTGCGCGGGAGGGGGAAGCTTCATTCAGATAAGCATTAAGAGTCGAGAACAGTACACCGAATCGTCCGCTTTTTCTCATAATTTAATGAAACGTCAAAGCTTCCGCGCTTCGCGCGGGAGAGGGAAAAACTGAATTCAGACAAGGATTAAGAGTCGAGAACAGTACACCGAATCGTCTGCTTTTTCTCATGATTTAATGAAACCACAAAGCTTCCGCGCTTTGCGCGGGAGGGGGGGGGGAGACTGAATTCCGAAAAGGATAAACAGTCGAGAACGGTACAGCAAATCGTCTTCTTTTTTATAATAATTTAATGAAACGTCAAAGCTTTAGCGTTCCGCGCGGGAGGGGGGGGGGGAACTTTATACAGCCACGGATTACCAGTCGAAAACGGTACAATTAATCGTCTTCTTTTCCTAATAATATAAGGAAACGTCTAAGCTTCCGCGCTTCGCGAATCGTGTTCTTTCTCTAATAATTTTAAGGAAACGTCAAAGGTTCCGCGCTTCGCGCGAGAGGGGGAAACTGAATTCAGACAAAATTAATAGGGCTTATTTAGAGTCGAAAACGGTACAACGAATCGTATTCTTTCTCTAATAATTTAAGGAAACGTCTGAGCTTCCGCGCTTCGCGCGAGAGGGGGGAAACTGAATTCAGACACAATTTAACGGGCTTATTTAGAGTCAAAACGGTACAACGAATCATGTTCTTTCTCTAATAATATGAGGAAACGTCAAAGCTTTCGCGCTTCGCGCGAGAGGGGAAAACTGAATTCGGATGAATAGGGCTTAATAGGAGTCGAAAACGGTACGACTAATCGTCTTCTTTCTCTAATAATTTAATAAAACGTCAAAACTTGCGGGAGGGGGAAGCTTCATTCAGATAAGCATTAAGAGTCGAGAACAGTACACCGAATCGTCTGCATTTTCTCATAATTTAATGAAACGTCAAAGCTTCCGCGCTTCGCGCGGGAGAGGGAAAAACTGAATTCAGACAAGGATTAAGAGTCGAGAACAGTACACCGAATCGTCTGCTTTTTCTCATGATTTAATGAAACCACAAAGCTGCCGCGCTTTGCGCGGGAGGGGGGGGGGGGGGGACTGAATTCCGAAAAGGATAAACAGTCGAGAACGGTACAGCAAATCGTCTTCTTTTTTATAATAATTTAATGAAACGTCAAAGCTTTAGCGTTCCGCGCGGGAGGGGGGGGGAACTTTATACAGCCACGGATTACCAGTCGAAAACGGTACAATTAATCGTCTTCTTTTCCTGATAATTTAAGGAAATGTCTAAGCTTCCGCGCTTCGCGCGGGAGGCCCATCACCCACACCCCATTAATAAGCGCTTTAAATTGAATCTCTTGTTCACTACCGCCCATCCCTAAAATAAGATCCTAGCTCCGCGCCTGCATTAAAATATATAGCTATGATGCTGACTAAATTGAAGAAATAATTCGTATATTTATGTCGTCGAGGAAAATGACAATTTTGCGCATATGCAAGTACTATAGATAGTCCATAGGAAAAACAATTTAGCCTTCGGCCCCACGTTTATAGGGTTGAATTTGTAGATATTGGACATTTAATTTTGTCGGTAATTGGTGGCTAGTTTTGTCGGTAATTGTTGGCCTCTACACCCCCCCACTGAAAAAGGTCTAGCGACGCCCCTGCAAGTGATGTTATATTTCACTGGGGCCACAGGCATGAGCCTGGGAAATTCTGCATTTTTTTTTCTTTGGGGGGGGGGGGTATTATATATTGAGCGATGCAATGCATGCATTATTTGTTATACAACATTTGGGGTATTTATGGTATGTATGGGTATATATCTGATATCTGGAGTTAGGCGCTCTGGATTATATTCAGGTTGCCCTTGAATTACATGTTCACAGCTAAGATAATGCAATGAATGGATACATGCAGGGGAGAGGTGCAGAGTCTAATTCAATTTAGTACACATATTGTGCATGTAAGGTTCACGCTCATGCACATATAACAAAATGTTGAGAGTCAGCTAGTTGATATCTTCCAAGCCAATAGTATGCTCTCTAACAAATACCCTATTTTATCTAAATAATGAATTAATATTCAACTATCAAATGTAGAAGAGGAAAAACTAACGTCACAGGTATCTATATCTCCTCTTTCATATCCTGCGCATATCATGTTGTCTGTAAAGCTTTCAATCCCAAGTAGACTTCCACAGGTGATTCTGCTAATCAAACCCACGACTGCCTTCTGCAAGTGGTCTGGATATCCATCTACAGAATATGATATGAAAAAATTCACCATTTTAACTTCTTGAATGCCAGATGTGATACTGTCCGATGGGATTTGTGATAGAATTTGTGCAAAACTGCAGCCATAATGCAATAAGAATTAATCAGGTTGATAGAAAACTCGGTCAATCTGATTACTTAAAAATGGGGAAAACGTGACACTTCATCTATTTACATGTTTACTATCATATTCATGCTTGCATTACTAAACAAATAAAAAATGACAAGTTTTACTGATAATGCGAGTCTGGTAACAAAACATAAATGCAACTCTGCACACGTGCACAGAGAAACAAAAATAATAGAAAAAGACCTCGCAAACCAGCAATCTTTGCAACAAGCATCATGATTTATGTATTACATTTCTATCCTCAAAACCACTCTTTAGTGAACTAGCTGCCGGTATACACAGCATAAAAGTGAAAAATATGAAGAAATCAGAATTATTTCATTCTAACCACTACTATACCAAATATTTTAGCATTTTCCATTTTTAAATTTTTTGTTTGTTCGTATTTTCCTACACTGGATGCGGTCCCAATGAACGTTAATGTTAATTTTGTTTTCCTACTTTTGTTTTGAAAGGGATCCCTAAAATATGAGGACCCTTGTGTTATGACAATTTTGGAAGAGTGTACTAGGTGCCTGCATGGCCACCCCTCCTCGCCTACCCCCTCCCCCCCCCCCCCCCCAAAAAAAATAAATAAAAAATTGTAAGACCAAAATTGAGCTACAACGTACCAATTTGAGTATTTCCCCATCCGCTTACTATACATTGCTTGTATACAGTGGTTTCTTGAGATGAATTTGCAAGACATGCTGGTCTGATGTAATCAGTGTAATTGACTAGCGTAGAGAGTTGGATGAGTGCTATATCTGCATCATTGGTGAAAGAATCATAGTCGGGATGAATGAATATTTGACTGGGTGTAATGCTGAGGCGATATGGTGAAGTGCTTTCAATGTTGAGATTCCCAAAGACAACCTCATCCACAGTATTGTGGCTACCAGAAGAGCTATGGAGATGAAATATAATGTTCAAAGTTTATTTCAACACTTTCATCAAAACAACACATAACATACATGTTTTGAAACATCAAAATGTTCAATATCACAGTCATTATGTTAAAACAAATAGCGTAGAGATCATCAGAGTGAAGAAAAACACTGAAACACACACCAAAAAAAAAAATCAATATTGAAAATGAGTCATTAATAGATAAGTAATAAACATTCTGGGAATGTAATAAAATGTTTAATATTCATAACTCTTTGTTAACTGCCATGTTACAAATCATTTCACTCACCTGTTACAAATAATTGTATTTCAATAGTCAGAATGTGAATTACATCCACTAATTGCTTCTAGGTTAGCCAAACATAAGCCATGTTAAGACAGGGGCTTGCTAGTTGGCATAAGTTAATCCCTGCAGCAGTAAATATCCCATAAATATTTAACTCACACCATTAGTTGTCCATACCCTCTTGCTCGGACCAACTTGCCACGATCAAGTTAACACGACCTTCCACTGACCCAGTCTTATAATCAGCGTAACTTCCGGAAGCCAGGGGCAGATCCAGGATTTTCGAAAAGGGGGGTGTGAAATGTACAGATTGTACGCGCAAAGTGCTAAAGCCTTTATGGTGTAAGGTCCGGGGCCCACTTGAGGGCCCCAGAAAATGTTGAACCTTAAAGAGAAGGTTGAGTTCTGGGAAGAGGTGAACAATAATTTGTGAGTGTTATCATTGTATTTTGCAAGTGTGGAAGAACATCAGAGAAAAAAATGTTCTCTGGAAGGCATGGATCTGCAAATGCCTTGATATTCTAAATATGGCATATAACATCATAAAAATTGTGACTGATTTTTATGCCACATGTTTGTGTAGTCCCATATATACAGAGCTGGTAACTTTACCAAGACTGGACCAAATTTCTTATCATTTTGATACTCAGGGTGCCATGTGAGAGCATCCGCACGGTCAACTTACCCTACCCTCTAGTCGTGTTAGCACGTTACACGCGGCACACGAAACGTCGTGATCTTTCAGATCCCTTGCTGACTATACATTGCGAGACAAACGAATGTCACTAGCGATATTAATTTCAATGTTACTAAAGTTATCGAACGGAAACCAGATTTGTTATGACAGGACGGTCACACGACATCGTTTATCCCCTCCGACTTCGTCTGCGAGGGGATAAAAAAAGGTGCAGATGGTGCTACATAATGAGAGTTGGTAGCTATTCTTAAACATTTCTTTTGAACTTTAAATAGTGAGTCTTATTCAGTTGCCCATATTTACCCAAAATAGCTCTAAACATGAACCGTACGCCAACCAAAATTGCCATCGTGGGAACACAGCTATTATATTTTGTCCTACCGAACAACACGAAACTCGCATTCCGACTTTTGAAATAATTTTTTTGTACCAGGTGAATGAAATAATTTGTAATAATAACGAGGCACTTAACAAAAATTTGTGCATTAAATCTGATTCCATGATCAAAAACATATATACATGCATATGCATAATGTGTACACACACACACACACACACATATGTACATATATATGTATACTGTATATATATCAATCTGAAAAGTCATAGAGATTTATCAATAAAGTTGTGATAAGACATTCTTTGTCTATCAAGAATCAAGCATTTTGTCACAATCATTTCAAGAAAAGAGGTAAGAAAAAGAACATTCCAACTGTATGGGCAAGAGCGTATGTAAATATGTATATGTGTGTATATGTATATATATATATTTATATATAAACATACATTCATATACAAATATATATATATATATATATATACACATATACATACACTGTTGCCCATAGAGTTGGAATAGTTTTTCTTACCTCTTTTCATGAATGATTGTGACAAAAATGCTAATCACAACTTTGTTGATAAAAGAAGTTTATTTCCATTCTATTGGCAATGGTATCTACGGTATAAAGGATAAACATTTGATGTGTTTCGGAAGTGATAGTTCTGTATTATGAAGCAAAAGAGAATAGACTGCCAAACTTTCTTCAATCCATACATGTATGTTGCTCATGAAATCAAAGTAAAACAATATCTCCATTTTGTAAAATTGTTTACCTGGTATATTACAATATTTTTGCTCTTTCTACATAATTTTCGAGCCGTAAATTAATTATTATTAAATCTAGGAGGGGACATCCAATCACCAGTTGTAATACTGTTTAGAGCCTCACAGTGATATGAAGACAATACATGTACTTCAAAAGGACAATTAATACTTTCTATATTCTAGAATATGTTATTAAGGAAATAATACCAAACCAATTATTGCATGAGCTTCTTATTCTATATAGAATATTCCTTTAAGAAAAGGGGCTATTGAAGTTGTCCACGACCAAATTTAGGATGGGAAATATAGTATTGCTGTGATTTTGCAGGAACCTGCCTTAGACCTCTACAGCAAACATTGAAAAATCATTATTGAATGAAATAGGAGTCATATATGTATTTTAAACATTTGAATGGGGATACAAAGGTCCTGGGTTTTAGGTCCAGCATGGTACTATGTCCTTCAGCGAGGCATTTTCTCTACATTGCTGCTCTTCATCCAAGTGTTAGATGGATACCCAGTGGGATGTGCTTAGATTAGCATGTGCAAGCCTGTAAAAGTTACCGACTGGAATGCTCCAAAGGGAGTAAAGAATGTGCACTGTAAACTGCAGAATCATAGCAGAATCCACTGACCAGGATAATAATGCTGTAAGCACTTTGGTTGGTTACCTTGTAACTGGTACGGTGTGTTTTGAAAACAAGTGCAAAGGTCCAACTTACACACAGTGAGCTGCTGTCACTACCCATTCGGAAGAGATTAGAGTACCTCCGCAGAAACCAAATCCGTTATCTTTCAAATGTACCATCCAGGGAAATTCGCCTTCATTTGCATCCACGCCACCTACTATTTCGGCAAATTTCTGTCTATATGCTGGTCTTGTACCACAGATGTCAGTTTTGAACAGGTCTAACATAGAATCAAATTGTAAAGAAAGATATATGAATCTTTGATAGGGTCTATACTAGTATTAAGGGAGTCATGCAAAATAATTTACAAAACTTAAGAAACATTTATCTAATATCGAAAAGTACAATGGTTTAAAGTTGGTATTATGTATTTATATAAATCACCATAAAAAATAATACAATTTGATTAAAAGACAAAATTAGACAAAATGTGCATAAAAACTCAACTGTAATGTGCCAAATTAGTAAAAGGAAGACAGCAACATGCAATAAATAATGATGAACGATTAAATATGTATAATAGGAATGTATTTTATATGTTTGGAGACGGGATGGGTTGAAAGAGAGAAAAGTGGGAATTTCAGTATTAAGAAAGATAGATAGTGATGGGAGATAGTTTAATAGTGATGGGAGGAAACGAACAGGAAGAGAAAGAGACAAGGAAAGAGTGAGAACGAGAGAGGGAGAGACAAGGTGTGAATTAAAGAGCAGAATTCAACATTTCCTGATTTGGATTTGGCTTTCTATTAGTGATGAAGTAATCATGCAATATCTATGACAAGCTAGGATACCAATTTGAAGTAACCGCTGGACCAGTTGGAGCGCTAGGGTCGTCACAGCATGATGAACATGAGTGCTACACAAGATGACACCATATTAAATTATCAAATTGTTCAATACATGCTTCTGCGATAATTGCTCTATGGTTATTGTCTATAAAACTAAAAGAGTTCCTGATTTCAAAACTATACCCAACACTATACTAATCATAGCCTCAACCCTGACCTAAAATCCCAATTTCAACCCTAACCCTACATCTTTCAAGAAATAACGCCCAGAGCAGTTGCTGCCGGCTATTGCGGCGTAACAAAATAGCCAGTGAATGCCGACGGGTGCTATGGTTTAGTTTTGTCTTAGTTTATTATCTGGTTTTTGTTATACAATTTTATCTGTTTATTGTACAGAGAACCCCACTTACAAGCTTAAGCTTCTCTCGGGTTCCCTAACCATTTTTACTTTGTATGTCCAACATGTTTTGTATATGTCCTTCGAACATTGTTTGTATTTCTGAATGTTGTTTAAAAAAATGGTTGAACCAATAAATGAAATGAAATGTTGGATCATCCCTACCTCCTGTAGCTCCCTGGCAGTAACCATTAGGTGTTCTCCCTTTATCTGTAAAGTCTTTGCAGTTTACTGGCCAAGACATGTTTGAGTGCTGCTCAAAGAGTTCTCTACAGTGTGCTGTAATATTCACACAATCTGAGTAGCATGGGCGATTTGTAGGTCCTTGATGGATGCATTCAGGAAACAGCAAGTTGCATGCAAGGTCGATGGCTCTGGGATGACAACCTTGTAAACTGTGTATAATCTTCATTCAAAATAATAGTGGTAGGAATGTGATAAAAGATTTAAACATTTAAAGGGGAAGTCTACCCTGATATTAAGTTGGTTTGGTATAGAAGCAGAAAAATGAGAGAAACAGATCAGAAAGAGAGAGTTTGAGAAAAAGTCGATTAAAAATATTAAAGAATTTTTTTGAATTTTGAAGTTGCGATGTTGCAATAAATCAAACATGAATTGGCAGTTCTGTGATGTATCTTGAGACCTCCTGTCCAATTTGCTTGGCACAGAAAGTTTCATAAAGTTTCATTTTTTTTCTTAGTTATTGATGACGGCATACATTTGTTTCTTACATGGGTTGCCATACAACATATGTGCAATAACTATATCTAGAGTGAATGTATGATTGACAATTTTCTTCAGGGAAAATATAATTTTTGAAAGTTTTTTAGTACAGGGCAAATGGAAGGAGAGCTCACAAGATACGTCACAGGGTTACCAATTTATGTTTGATTGATAGCAATTTCAAAAATTAAAAACTCTGTTATTTTTAATTGGTTTTTGCACAAACTTTCACTGACGTGTTTCTCTTAAAACCAACTTAATATCAGGGTGGACTTCCCTTTCAACCCAGGTTCATGGCACAGTGTAATTAAAAATACAAATATTTAATTGGCAAGGTGTACAGCAAAAATACATGGACCCAAACAGCATAGAGAAGAAAACAAAACATTGCCTTTTCAATATGAATGCAGGATGGATGAAATGAAATGGGGTTTCCCAATGTAAAGGTACATGTACTACAACTCAATATTATAAGAAAGAGGTTCGACACAAACTGTGCAACTAGCATCACCGCAGTCCCTCATATTGCTACTGTTATATATTTTGTATGTTCAATGCAATCGTTTTGGCCTGTATAAAATTTAGTTCATCTCATAAAGCAACTTTTTTGTATGAAAAATTAATCTATATGGACACTTTCAGCATGGACGTTATGATACAAGTTTCTCCTTTGTAATAATACTGATAACATCCTTCATAAATTTCTTTCTGAAAAAAATTTGCTTTACTACAGCACATTAGTTATCAAGTGTAAAGAAATATTTATGTGTAATCCAGAGAATGAAATAAGATATAAACACACTGGAGCTACTCACAAAATTGTAAGAAAGAACTGCCTGAGGAGAATTTGGAGAATACTGATTCGAGAAGTATGTTCTGTCATACGGTAATTGTCCACATTCACCTATATTCTCTAGAGGAACACAGGGTGCTGTTTGATAAACAGAAAATATCATATAATAAGAAGGGGAAAATTAACATGAACAGCTGTATGTGTATATTCATGTACATGTAGGTTCGTGTTTTACTAATTCAGTAAACCAAATCCCAAACCCCGAGTACGAAATTACGTTTTACAAAAGGAAAACCTAAATCTCAAGTTAAGATGAATCCCTTGTTGGTTTAAATTTGGGTAGAATACATGATAAAGAGTCTTACAGGTCTAACTAAACAGAAAATAACCATTCATAGGTAGATCTGTCATATATTTTGGTCGTCTCTAAGAAATCATTCAAATGGTACACAATAGCACATTCCACTACATTACAGCATTCTACATAAATGAAAAATCACTTATATACCGGGTAGGTGAAATAGTCAACATTTTAACATGATTAAGATCGTAGTAGATTATTTTTCGATTTGAATAATATTAAGGGATTGAGTAACTTTGTCTCAGATTCTGAAACAAAATCCTGGATTTAGCTCATGCTGCAATGATAATTATAAATAGGTCAGTCAGGAACCCCATGACTTTTACAAGCCTGTCGCCTGTCTCATTATCAAGATATTTATGATTGGAAATCGGAATCAAATTTTGTGTTTGCCTAACGGTTTCATAACACTACAGTCTATTGGGGAAAATGAGTGTGGTAAAACCGGTCACTCAAAGATTTTTACTCTTTTGAGGCACTTCATGATCATTTTGAAGCGCAATTTTTTCAGGGCTTCATTATTACACCATATCACAGACACTGATAACACGTAGGACCATGCCTCTCAGATTTAACAATGTTACCCGATGCCTTAAAGGAAGGTAGTAGAGGTGTTGTGTTGTATTCTATTCTAAGCATAAAGACATCATCAAAAGTAAAATTGCAAAGGAATTCAATACAATTGTTGTGATCCATTGCCTTCAATAACATCTAACTGGTAGGAACATTAATAAGTATCATTAACTCAACACCTGGGCCCTGTTTTATAAATCTTGTTAACAATAACAAAAGCTAAATTTCTATGCCAATTTTGCTTTCTGCCAATCAAATGCCACGATTTCAGTAGCTTGTAACAGTTATTGTTACTTGTTAATGATAAAAAGTTTTATGAAACAGGGCCAAGGTGTTGAGACAGTTGAAAGCTTTCAGTTTTTATAATTTTAGATTATTTTAGATTTAGGTTTTGATATCGTCCGTTATAGTTATTTCTCGCCAATTGGAACGGATGATGCCCTTTCAAATTCACATGATTATACGAGTCAACTGAAGAATAATGTGTATGCTTACGACAATACTCCTCATCAGAAAAGTCACCACAATCATTGTAACCGTCACAAGTTAGAGAATTCAGAACGCAATTGTTGTTGATACATGTGAAAGAGTCGTTGCCGCACCCTGGTCAAAATGAAAATATAGAAACTCATAAACAAATCAATTACTGATAAAAATTGAATCAACCTAAATGCAGATGTAATATCTAATCGACTTGCCCTCAATCCAAAGTATTGAACGGCCCAACGGACATAAACAGTTAATGTTAAAAGACCACCCAAAACACTTCTTTGAATAAATGTGTGGCTAGAGTAATGAGATATATCCGATTTAGTACTTTTATCCACAAGCCTTGACAGATTTTTATGTCAAAATTACGAACTGAATGTACAGTGAATGAGTGGGCAGACATTAGAACCTTTGTTTTTTGCAATGTCAAAATGACATTGTTCTTACCCAAATTTTGACAAAACCTTTGGCACACTTTAAAGGTTCTATGTCCCATTTGCAGGTCAAACAATTTTTTTTTAAATGTTTGATTCCAACGGCATTTGAAAGACAATTCTTATTTAGAACTACCCTCAAAATGAAAGGGTTTGAAAATGGCTTTTTTAGGAAAATAAAGACCATTAGTTGTTGAATCCACATAAGTGATTGCAATCACCTAGGTAATAGTCTGATTTTCAGACCCTTGTACCGAATGGTCTTACGTTTGGTGCTGCACAAACATTCAATCAGTTTGATTTTGGCCATAACAAGTAGTGGGTTATTGATGTAGACAAATGTACCTACCGTATTACAGCTCATTTTATGTATGTAATTATTACCAAAGAAAAAGAAGATGTCAGTCAGTCACTCAATAGTGTCTGACAGGGAAGTCTAGAAAGTAAATGGGTTTCCTTGCATAATTTGAATACTAGGACACTGCTAACATTTAAATTTCACAGATAGGACATTCATGACATATTCATAATTCCTGCAACGTTCTACATAATGTGATGTTGGCTGCAAAAGGGACATAGTATCTTTAATCTAGTTATATATATATATATAAGAAATTAAATGACATCAAGCATAAGGGGAGTACAATATAACGGTAACAAATCTTGTTGATTTCAAGTGAAATATTAGGAGAGCAGACACAGGGTTCCCCTATATATTACACTAAAATATCATATCCTACATATTTTAGTTTAATTTTATGTTGTGCTGTATTTTAGCGCAATTCTGTGTTCTCTTGATTTGTTTGGTCATTCTATGTTCTGCTGCATTTCACCCTAATTCTACTTCCTGCTGTATTTCAGCATAATTCTAGGTTCTGCTGTTTTTTAGCGTAATTTTAGGTTCTGCTGTATTTTGGCATAATTCTACTTCATGCTGTATTTCAGCATAAATCTAGGTTCTGCTGTTTTTTAGCGTAATTCTAGGTTCTGCTGTATTTTGGCATAATTCTAGGTTCTGCTGTATTTTAGCATCATTCTATTTTCTGCTGTATTTTTTAGCATCATTTTATGTTCCGCTGTATTTCAGCATCATTCTATTTTCTGCTGTATTTAGCCTCATTATATGTTTTGCTGTATATCAGCGTCATTCTACGTTTTGCTGTATTTCAGCGTAATTCTATGTTCCGCTGCATTTTAGCGTCATTCTATCCCTGTTCTGCTGTTTTTTAGCATTAAGCTAGGTTCTGCTGTAATAGCAAAAAATATAATTGATGTTTGAGTCAATATTTCAACATTTTGTGTAGAATTTTTGTGTATGTAACTTAGCTCTATTAGAGAAAACAGACAAAATCAAAACTGGTCAATGAATTATGGAGAAGAAGGTTTTTCTTGTAATTTCTTGCATTTTTTTTTTTTGGGGGGGGGGGCAATTTTAAAGCAAACTTTCAAAATTATATGAAAAATTTCTGCGGATCTCATTCAGCTCTGTAAAAGAAAAAAAAATCAAAGTTGGTCAATGAATGAAGGAGAAAATGTTTTTTGTGACTTTGAATCAATTTGCATGAATATGCAAAATTAATACAAATTTCACAATTCTGTGTAGAAGTTTCCACTCCCCCTACCCAGCCCTATCCATAAAGCAAACAGAATCCAAATCGGATGAGAAATTATGAAGAGGAAGCATTTAGAAATTGTGAATGGATGATGGACGCCAAATGCAATTGCATACTGTTTAGCTCATCGCACCAATCGGGCCAGATGAGCTTAAACCAAAACCAAAACTAGATGTGTGTACATACCTAAAGATCTAGGGATCACTGTTAGCTGCAGTTGGAATCCCTGATGCGTGACTGAACCGTCACTGGTGAATCGCATCCAACTGTAAGAACTGTACAATCTGTAGAACAAGACAAAATTGTGTCAATACTTTTTCTGATATTAATACATACTATCTGATTATTCACTATGTTCTGGATACACTGTTATTTCACACTTCAGCACCAATGACGTAGTATCATCAAAAAACAAACATTTCATAGTCATAGCAATCCTTTTGATTTTTGTTTGCATTTGCAAGAACACCCCAAAACTCATCTAACTGTAGCTAATTGCCTGTAAACCATCCTGATTTGCATATTATTATAGTTGGTCGTTTCATAGAGCAGTGTTAGGTCCAAAACCACATCAGATGTCATTGGGAGAGACTACCCAAAGTATGATTTCATCGTTTCTTTCTTTTCTTTTCCAGTGTGAAGGAACCACCTGGCACCAACTCATAATCTGTCGTACAGGCAAAAATGGTTTTAAATATCTGAGACATGGCAGATAACATCAGTGTCTCAGAGGTTTTCAGTTTGTAGCACAGGAGAAAGTGAGTTGCTGTTGAGAGCAAGATCACCTACTTTCTTTAATAGAGAAATATCCTTATCACAATTACAAAAGACCTACAAAAGTCTGACAGACCGACTGACAACGGACCGACCAAAATGACAAAATTGCATTAATCCAGAAACTGACATACATCAAAAACTAATGTACCGGTACTTATATCAAAATTTGTTGGGATGAGACGTCACACCCACCATAACAGAACATTTGAGTTACATGAACACACACACATGCGCAAATTTAGAGACACATGTATAGGTGAAACACTATTTTGTTCATATGGCTTCTTCAAGTTAAAATGCAAGTACATGTGCATTAAAAATGCACAAATATAAATAATGTATACATTTACACAAACCTCAAAGACGCTGGTATATCTTGTCCTGAGAAAGTTTTTACCACCAAGTTCCCAGGTGTATGACCATTCCCTATGCTCAGATGGTCACAGCAAGATTCCAGATTAAATGCTATGAATGTGATGATCACAGAGTAGTTTGATGGAGCCGTGATGTACCAAGTGTAATAGGCGTTGTTTGGATACTCATGAGGATAGTTTGGTGATGAAATTGACCACGTTTCTCCAACAGTCAGGTTAACCGCTGAAACTTTAGTAGTGTAAGAAATAAACCAAGTACAATAATTTGATGATAAATTTTGTCTGTTTAAATGAAAAAAGAACATGCAGATCATCAAATTGGTTCAAGTCATAGATTTAAATTCTTTAAAAAAAATCTATTTCATTTACTTTTATTTACTGCAATTGCTCTTTGCCGTAATGTCCAACATTATTTTTGCTCATATGATTGTATTGTATTTTTTCCTGTGTATGGTAATCTTGACGTCAAATTCATTTGGGTATTACCATACAAACGGACATACTGAAACACAGCCTTTGGTGCTGAAAGTTTGTTTTTACCGTGTCTAAATAAAATCAACAACAACCCTTAATGTAGCTTAATATAAGGTATGCACATTTAGGTTCAAAGAAGGTCAGATAAAATAGTTATAAAATACAGGTGACACATGGGGTATTTGCACATAAAAATAGCACACACATACATTTGCACACACATACTCTTTTCAACACTAAAATAAGAGTATGTAGAAAATTATTTAAAAACGTTTGTCTAAAGATATATGAAATAATTGAGTGCAGTGTTTAAAGACGTGTTTACTAATGGAGTAGTTATCATAGTAATACCTGAAATCGTGTCATTGGTTGTAGTACCTAGGAAAACAAAAGAATATTGCATTATTTGCTTAAATATAAAACACTGGCATGTGTTTCATTTCAATTTTGCCTGTTAATCAGTATGAATAAAGAAATATACAATCACACATATATGCACACACATACCTTTCTCAACACTATTAATTAAGAGTATGTAGAAAATTATTTTTAAATATTTGTTTAAAGTGTAAGATATGAAATAATGAAGGATAGTTTGGTGATGAGATCAAACACATTTCTCCTAGAGTCAGGTGCACTGCTGAAAATTTAGTAGTGTAAAGAAGAAAACCCATGTACAATAATATGATGAATCTTGTCTGTTAAAATGATTAAAGGAAACCTCACCCCAAGAAATAACCTAAGTTATTCTGAGAGTTTTATTGTATTCTTGCCCATTAATCTACATGATACCCCATCAAAGTGTATGTGAGAGGTATATAAAACAAGATATTCTTAGCATAATGTACAGTTTCTAAGGACAACATAGGCATCGCCATTTGCTCGATATCATAGGCCTACTATGCAAAGTCGTTTATCAAGCAAATGTATTCAAATCTATAGACGCTTCCTTTCCACATGTGTGTGCAGTGATGAAGTATTTCATTCGCTTGCAATTATCTTTTGTGCTATAATTTTCTAAATGCAAATTGCATGGAAATAAGCTGATGTTTGCATATGGTAATTTATGCAATTAGGGTCATATTTAATCGTTTTACCCAAAAATCATATATTCTTCATATTTAAACATTCATTTTTTTTACTCCACACCCGGGCCCTGTTTCATTAAAATTGTTATCAATTACAATAACTGTTACAAGCTACTGAAATCAACGCATTTGATTGGCAAAGAGCAAATTTGTCGTAGAAATTGAGCTTTTCTTATTGTTAATATTAAGGTTCATAAAGGAGGGCCCAGATGAAAGCTTTTAGTTTTGATAATTTTAGAGAGTCATATACAAAGGTTTTGCTATGGTCCGTTTTTTATTCGTATATTTCTAGCTGAACTGAAATGGATGATGCCATTTCAAATTCACAAGATTGAACATGTCAACTGAGCAAAAGAGTGATGCAACATTCAATTTACATAATAGTACTGTGATTTTAAACAATTTCTAATCTTACCTGTGCAGTTCAATTCATCCTCTCTGTTATCGCAATCATCGATACCATCGCAAACCCAGCTTGGATCATACACACATTCATAGTCAGATGCACACTCGAAGCAGGACGAGTTTGCTGGGGGGGTTGCTGGAATAAAGTGCACTTATACAGTTAATGCTAGTTGAACTAAAAGTCACTAGTGCATAAGCATGCAAAAATATAAAGTACATAAATGTCGCAATGATTTACAATTATTTTGGTAGTCAATATATAAAAACCCAGACTTTTAAAATTTTGCTGCATTCTACGATGCAAACTTGAAAAAAGGACCTTGTGACCTGGAAAGGATGATGCCATTTCAAATTCACAAGATTGAACAAGTCAACTGAAGAAAATGTGTATGCTTACGGCAATACTCCTCATCAGAAAAGTCACCACAATCAATGAAACCGTCACAAGTTTGACAATTCAGAATGCAATTCTTGTTAGTACATGTGAAAGAGTCACTGCTACACCCTGGTCAACATGAAACTATAGAAATTCATGATCATATCATTTACTGACAAGTGCTTTATCATTGCCAAAATTTAATCGACCTAAATGCACAAGTAATATAATTTGGGGTTGGAACCAACTGGCCCAAGAAAGTTTGGTTGACCAGCTTCCTCTACCAGTAGAATAATCCCCCACCCCCCCCCCATTACAAATTGACTTGCCCTAAATCAAAAGTATTCAATGATCTTCAGGACATGAACAGTTGTCAGCACGCAAATTGCATAAGCTGTTGCTTTTGTGGGGTGAAGGGTTAGCATAAATGAAATTAATTTGTCAACTGCTATATTTTAGTAATTTTACAAACTAAGAATATTGCCATCTTCCATCTTCCACAGAAAAAGTGTTGCAATATTCACCCTAAGAATCTTGCTATCTTTAACATAAGTGTGATGCAGCATTAAAACAAGAGAGTTGCAACATTCAAAATAAGTGAGCTGTAACCTTCTACATAATAGTGTTGCCACATTGAGCAAGAGAGTGATGCAACATTCAATGAACATAATAGTACTGTGATTTTAAACAATTGCAATCTTACCTGTGCAGTTCAATTCATCCTTTCCGTTAAAGCAATCATAGTCACCATCGCAAACCCAGCTTGGATCATACACACATTCAAAGTCAGATGCACACTCAAAGCAGGACGAGTTTGCTGGGGGGGTTGCTGGAATAAAGTGCACTTATACAGTTAATGCCAGTTGAACTAAAAGTGACTAGTGCATATGCATGCAAAAATATAAAGTACATACATGTCGCGATGATTTACAATTGTTTTGGTAGTCAATATATAAAAACCCAGACTTTTATAATTTTGCTGCATTCTATGTTGCAAACTTGAAAAAAGGACCTTGTGACCTGGAAAGGATGATGCCATTTCAAATTCACAAGATTGAACAAGTCAACTGAAGAAAAATGTGTATGCTTACGACAATACTCCTCATCAGAAAAGTCACCACAATCATTGAAACCGTCACAAGTTTGACAATTCAGAATGCAATTCTTGTTAGTACATGTGAAAGAGTCATTGCGACACCCTGGTCAACATGAAAATATAGAAATTCATGATAATATCATTTACTGATAAGTGCTTCATCATTGCCAAAATTTAATCAACCTAAATGCACAAGTAATATAATTTGGGGTTGGAACCAACCGGCCAAAGATATTTTGGTTGACCAGCTTCCTCTACCAGTAGATTAATCCCCCCCCCCTCCCCAATTACAAATTGACTTGCCCTAAATCCAAAGTATTCAATGATCTTAAGGACATGAACAGTTGTCGGCACCCAAATAGCATAAATAAGCTGTTGCTTTTGTGGGGTGAATGGTTAGCCTAAATGAAATTAATTTGTCAACTGCTATATTTTAGTAATTTTACAACCTAAGAATGTTGCCATCTTCCACAGAAAAAGTGTTGCGATATTCAACCTAAGAATCTTGCCATCTTTAACATAAGTGTGATGCAGCATTAAAACAAGAGAGTTGCAACATTCAAAATAAGTGAGCTGTAACCTTTTACATAATAGTGTTGCCACATTGAACAAAAGAGTGATGCAACATTCAATCTACATAATAGTACTGTGATTTTAAACAATTTTAATCTTACCTGTGCAGTTCAATTCATCCTCTCTGTTAAAGCAATCATCAATACCATCGCAAACCCAGCTTGGATCAGGCACACATTCATAGTTAGATGCACACTCAAAGCAGGATGAGTTTGCTGGGGGGGTTGCTGGAATAAAGTGCACTTATACAGTTAATGCCAGTTGAACTAAAAGTCACTAGTGCATATGCATGCAAAAAATAAAGTACATAAATGTTGCAATGATTTATAATTGTTTTGGTAGTCAATATATAAAAACCCAGACTTTTATAATTTTGCTGCATTCTATGTTGTAAACTTGAAAAAAGGACCTTGTGACCTGGAAAGGATGATGCCATTTTAAATTCACAAGATTGAACAAGTCAACTGAAGAAAAATGTGTATGCTTACGACAATACTCCTCATCAGAAAAGTCACCACAATCATTGAAACCGTCACAAGTTTGACAATTCAGAATGCAATTCTTGTTAGTACATGTGAAAGAGTCATTGCGACACCCTGGTCAACATGAAAATATAGAAATTCATGATAATATCATTTACTGATATGTGCTTCATCATTGCCAAAATTTAATCAACCTAAATGCACAAGTAATATAATTTGGGGTTGGAACCAACCGGCCAAAGATATTTTGGTTGACCAGCTTCCTCTACCAGTAGATTAATCCCCCCCCCCTCCCCCATTACAAATTGACTTGCCCTAAATCCAAAATATTCAATGATCTTAAGGACACAAACAGTTGTCGGCACCCAAATAGCATAAATAAGCTGTTGCTTTTGTGGGGTGAATGGTTAGCCTAAATGAAATTAATTTGTCAACTGCTATATTTTAGTAATTTTACAACCTAAGAATGTTGCCATCTTCCACAGAAAAAGTGTTGCGATATTCAACCTAAGAATCTTGCCATCTTTAACATAAGTGTGATGCAGCATTAAAACAAGAGAGTTGCAACATTCAAAATAAGTGAGCTGTAACCTTTTAAATAATAGTGTTGCCACATTGAGCAAAAGAGTGATGCAACATTTAATCTACATAATATAGTACTGTGATTTTAAACAATTTTAATCTTACCTGTGCAGTTCAATTCATCCTCTCTGTTAAAGCAATCATAGTAACCATCGCAAACCCAGCTTGGATCATACACACATTCATAGTTAGATGCACACTCGAAGCAGGACGAGTTTGCTGGGGGGGTTGCTGGGGGGGTTGCTGGAATAAAGTGCACTTATACAGTTAATGCCAGTTGAACTAAAAGTCACTAGTGCATATGCATGCAAAAAATAAAGTACATAAATGTCGCAATGATTTATAATTGTTTTGGTAGTCAATATATAAAAACCCAGACTTTTATAATTTTGCTGCATTCTATGTTGTTAACTTGAAAAAAGGACCTTGTGACCTGGAAAGGATGATGCCATTTCAAATTCACAAGATTGAACAAGTCAACTGAAGAAAAATGTGTATGCTTACGACAATACTCCTCATCAGAAAAGTCACCACAATCATTGAAACCGTCACAAGTTTGACAATTCAGAATGCAATTCTTGTTAGTACATGTGAAAGAGTCATTGCGACACCCTGGTCAACATGAAAATATAGAAATTCATGATCATATCATTTACTGATAAGTGCTTCATCATTGCCAAAATTTAATCAACCTAAATGCACAAGTAATATAATTTGGGGTTGGAACCAACCGGCCCAAGATATTTTGGTTGACCAGCTTCCTCTACCAGTAGATTAATCCCCCCCCCCCCCCATTACAAATTGACTTGCCCTAAATCCAAAGTATTCAATGATCTTAAGGACTTGAACAGTTGTCAGCATGCAATTTGCATAAATAAGCTGTTGCTTTTGTGGGGTGAACTGTTAGCATGAATGAAATTAATTTGTCAACTGCTATATTTTAGTAATTTTACAACCTAAGAATGTTGCCATCTTCCCCAGAAAAAGTGTTGCAATATTCAACCTAAGAATCTTGCCATCTATAACATAAGTATGATGCAGCATTAAAACAAGAGAGTTGCAACATTCAAAATAAGTGAGCTGTAACCTTTTACATAATAGTGTTACCACATTGAACAAAAGAGTGATGCAACATTCAATTTACATAATAGTACTGAGATTTTAAACAATTTTAATCTTACCTGTGCAGTTCAATTCATCCTCTCTGTTAAAGCAATCATCAATACCATCGCAAACCCAGCTTGGATCAGGCACACATTCATAACTAGATGCACACTCAAAGCAGGACGAGTTTGCTGGGGGGGTTGCTGGAATAAAGTGCACTGATACAGTTAATGCCAGTTGAACTAAAAGTCACTAGTGCATATGCATGCAAAAATACAAAGTACATACATGTCACGATGATTTACAATTGTTTTGGTAGTCAATATATAAAAACCCAGACTTTTATAATTTTGCTGCATTCTATGTTGCAAACTAGAAAAAAGGACCTTGTGACCTGGAAAGGATGATGCCATTTTAAATTCACAAGATTGAACAAGTCAACTGAAGAAAAATGTGTATGCTTACGACAATACTACTCATCAGAAAAGTCACCACAATCATTGAAACCGTCACAAGTTTGACAATTCAGAATGCAATTCTTGTTAGTACATGTGAAAGAGTCATTGCAACACCCTGGTCAACATGAAAATATAGAAATTCATGATCATATCATTTACTGAATACAATTCTTGTTAGTACATGTGAAAGAGTCATTGCAACACCCTGGTCAACATGAAAATATAGAAATTCATGATCATATCATTTACTGATAAGTGCTTTATCATTGCCAAAATTTATTCAACCTAAATGCACAAGTAATATAATTTAGGGTTGGAACCATCCAACCCAAGATATTTTGGTTGACCAGCTTCCTCTTCCAGTAGATTAATCCCCTCACCCCCCCCCCACCCCCCATTACGAATTGACTTGCCGTAAATCAAAAGTATTCAATGATCTTAAGGACATGAACAGTTGTCAGCATGCAAATTGCATAAATAAGCTGTTGCTTTTGTGGGGTGAAGGGTTAGCATAAATGATGCTATATTTTAGTAATTTTACAACCTAAGAATGTTGCCATCTTTAACATAAGTGTGATGCAGCATTAAAACAAGAGAGTTGCAACATTCAAAATAAGTGAGCTGTAACCTTTTACATAATAGTGTTGCCACATTGAGCAAAAGAGTGGTGCAACATTCAATTTACCTAATAGTACTGTAATTTTAAACAATTTCAATCTTACCTGTGCAGTTCAATTCATCTTGTCCGTTAAAGCAATCATAGGCACCATCGCAAACCCAGCTTGGATCATACACACATTCATAGTTAGATGCACACTCGAAGCAGGACGAGTTTGCTGGGGGGGTTCCTGGAATACAGTGCACTTATACAGTTAATGCCAGTTGAACTAAAAGTCACTAGTGCATATGCATGCAAAAATATAAAGTACACAGGCGCGTAGCCAGGGGGGGGCGGTGGGGGCGGTCGCCCCCCAAAAAACGCCGGCCAAAAAAAAAAAAGAGAGAGAAAGAGAAGAAAAAAAAGAAAGAGGACGTAGGAAGAAAAAGGGAAAAGGAGTCGAGAACGGTACAATGAATCGTCAAAGCCTCTGCGCTTCGCGCGGGAAGGGGGAAACTGAGTTCAAATTAAGAAATATGAGTCGGGAAAGGTACAACGAATCGTCTTCTTTCTCTAATAATTTAATGAAACGTCAAAGCTTCGCGCGGGAGGGGGGGGAACAGAATTCAGACAAGGATTAAGAGTCGAGAAAGGTACAACGAATCGTCTTCTTTCTCTAATAATTTAATGAAACGTAAAAGCTTCGCGCGAGAGGGGGGGGGGGAACAGAATTCAGACAAGGATTAAGAGTCGAGAAAGTTACAACGAATCGTCTTCTTTCTCTAATAATTTAATGAAACGTCAAAGCTTCGCGTGAGAGAGGGGAGGGACTGAATACAGATAAGGATTAAGAGTCGAGAGAGGTACAACGAATCGTCTTCTTTCTCTAATAATTTAATGAAACGTCAAAGCTTCGCGCGAGAGAGGGGAGGGACTGAATTCAGACAAGGATTATGAGTCGAGAAAGGTACAAAAAGAATCGTCTTCTTTCAAAGCCTCCGCGCTTTGCGCGGGAGGGGGGAAACTCCCCCCTCCCTGCACCCATCCCCCTAGGGAGCGCGCTTTGCGCGCTCTTTAAGTGATTCGCATGCTTTGCGTGCTCACTACCGCCCCCCTAAAATGAAATCCTGGCTACGCACTTGAAAGTACATAAATGTCGCAATGATTTATAATTGTTTTGGTAGTCAATATATAATTTTATAATTTTGCTGCATTCTATGTTGCAAACTTGAAAAAAGGACCTTGTTAAACTATGGAACAACGAGAATCACAACACAAATTGCCAAGATGTTTATCAGTTTTAGACGTCATGTCCTCACTATTTAACAATTGCTCTATATTGTTTATTCCAATTCATTTCCCTTTTTATTCCCCAAAACTTGATTTTCCCATGCCCTTGCCCAGGTTATATGATTTGTATCATATTGCGTGCATGACATTTCACAAAATCTTTTATTAACTTTGAAGAATTTATACTATTTTCTCATTATTGTATATTCATAATTATTGATTTTTATATAAATAGTTTATCAAAATTCACATTTTTCATGATTTAACTGGAAAAAATTACTCTATATTAGTGCATCCACACAAAAACATATTACTATTAATCTAACTTGGATGCTGGTGTGAAGAAATAAGATTCTTAAGGAGAAAATAGGAAATTTATATCATCAATATAAAGAAAATGATTAGTGGATAGTGAGGACATGACGTCACAGACTCACGAGTGAGTTGCTAATTTGTCTAGTGATTTTCAAAGTTTTTAATGTCATTAAAAATTCATAACTTTCTTATTAGTTATCCGATTTTTCCCAGACTATTTTTGATTGATTAGTCTGATTTTCCTGCTTCTATTGAAAGTAAGTAATTTTTGGAGTGGACTTGGGCTTTAAACATAAACGCCCGTATTTCAAAGTCATGTCTAACTTAGTCATGACTGAAGTTAAACAACTGTTTAGTTTAATAGACACCACTTAAACCCGAGATCGAGTCTAAGTCCTGTCTAACTAAATTTGTATACTGAAGTTGTGTCTAAGTCGCGTCTAACTAAACAACTGTTTAAGTCCTGTCTATTAAAGTCATGCTTAACTACAAAGTCGTGTTTAACTTTAATCACGACTTCTGCGCATGCCTAGTAGGCGTTGATTTTGACATCGAAAATAATTGAAACCGAATGCTCATGCTTGCTCGCGCCGAATAAGAAAAATTATTCTGCACAGTGACGTGACTGGCGGACAGTATAAACACACAAATATCAGTGCGTCAATTATTCGCCGCGGGGGACAAAGATCCAGAAAAGAAACTTCTCCAACAGAATGGATAGTTTGGTATAGATTATGGAATTTCCAACATGTCACTATTAGATAAGAATAGTTAATATTATCGAGAAAAAATAGATGGCTATGTAAGAAAAAATCCTGCAAATTCGGGGTCAGCAAGTAGAGTGTACCGTATACGTTGAAAAGCAGCAGAATCGCGCTCTTAACCAGGACTTTAACAACCCCTTGCAGTCGTCTAAAGTTAAACAGGACTTAGACAGGACTTCGCGTTTTACTTGACTTAATCACGACTTCAGAATATGAAAAATTTAGTCACAACTTTGTGACTTAACTTAGACGGGACTTAGACAGGACTTTAGACAAATGTTTAATTAAAGAGGAGTTAGACATGACTTCAGAATACAGGCCAAAAAGTGTTGCCATCTTTAACAGAAATGTTGTAACATTTAACATAAGAATATTGCCATCTTCAAACAGAACAGTGCTGCAAAATTCAACACAAGATTAGTATGGCATTTAACACAGGGGTGTTGCAATGGTCAACATAATAGTTTTGCCACATTCAACAAATGAATGATGTAACATTCAATCTACATAATAGTATTGTGACATTAAACAACTTTAATCTTACTTGTGCATTTTAATAGTCTAAACATAGCTTCAAACTTAATCTCAACCCTAAAACTAAACTTATACGAAATAAAGCCAGGTCGGAATGTGAGATTATCACTGAAAAATTAGAACATATCATGGTATTTTCTATAAGAAGTAATGTGGTTTTTACTGTACTGCCCATAGACAACAATATAAAGGCTGAATGCCCTTTCACTGTCGGTGATGACATTCAATTCAATGCAGAGCCATCAATATTTTGATAAACTTTCCAATTAACTTGAAAATTGATGGTGCTGTTGATGCAGAAGGAATTAAAATTCCTCTGCAAACATCTGAAGCACCTGGTGGCAATTAAAACATGTTTCTTCCCAAAAAAATTCATGTGATCTTATATGTCTTCCCAATGGTTTTATCGGTCATAGAGAATATCTTGGAGGAGAAAAAAAAAATGTATCAAGAAAAACAAGAACAGTAATCGTTTATTATTAAAAGCATGTAAAATGGCTTACCACACATCAATTCATCACTCTCATCTAAACACTCAACAAGCCCATTACATTTACTTGTCAATGGAAGGGCATAAGGGCTGGCATGACAGAGGAAGTATTCTGCAGATAAAAGACAAGATTGATGATTAAAGTCATTGAAAATTACATCCTACCCACGAACTTTAATTCCAATATACCTCCAATTTAGTAAACACTAACACAAGCAGATCTATCCTTCCTGCAATCATACCTGTATGAAGGAAGGATTTCTTGGATTGTAAACAAGTAAGAATTGGCAGATATGCAAATATTTCTGTACATCATGTACATGCCTGTCTAAAGGACAACTCCTAACATGTAAAGAACACCATTTGAGTACGGTAAATTGATGAAAAATGCATTTTGCGTATACTATACCACATTTAACCTATCGTTGTATTCCCATAAGCTTAAAGCTAAAATGTACTAGAAGCACTAATGCAAGAATCCCCTCTACCGCCATCTCATGCCAGCCGTATCAGTATGGTCCTGTAACTCGCTGCGCTGTTATTACCTGATCGAGTCCTGTCTGCGAAACAGAAATTAGGTACCGGTATAGGGTTATGCACTGTTGACCATGAGATGGCACTGTGCAATAAACAGTAGGCTAGGGCAGAAATTTCATCAGTTCAGTATCGCTTTAAAACTAGGAATCACCTGATTCCCGCAGGCAATGGGTTGATTAATGATTTAGTGATTGGTATGTTGCTATTTGTTAGCTCCAGTTACCAAATAACATGTATGTATATTGTATTGACTATAAATGAATGTACATGTCAGTGATTTAGTAATAAAATAAAAACTTAGAACTTCAATTCGATTATTACCAGAGAAGTCTTCGATTGTACTTAGAGCAATAACAAAACCCATGTCTCTGGATGTATAATCAGTCTCGAAGCTGACCCAAGACAGGTTGCTGACCAGGAGGATTGAGTCGAGGCTGCTGTCGTACCCTGAGATGATCCGAACAATATTCTCACTGACTGATGGGTCATGTCCTATTCCGACGACCAGAAGGTCAAACACAGGCTCGATATGTAGGAGATCAAAAACGACTCGAGTTCCAGACTCTTCAGGAGCGGTGATCAACCAGGTTTGGTCGAACAAATTTGGATAGGGTTCAGGGAAGTTCGGAGAGAGCAGGTGGAAAATACTATCGGGCTCAAGGAAGATGTCATACTCTCCATCTTCTGTAAATATATCATAATTACCTTCGTTAAATTATGGTTTATTTAAGTATCAAAGTCGACAAGCCCACACGAATTACCCCAAAATCTGCAACTCTTATCAAAAATATCCTAACCAATGTACACGTTTCTCCTATTCAGTCTGGGATTTTCTAAAGTGATATTACAGATCATCTGCCCATATTTCAAATAACTAACTTATACTGTGAACAATCAACCCCACAAATCTCCTATTTTACAAAAGACCGATTTATCATCTTTTAATTCTATGACGAAAGATCTATCCGTTATTTTGTGGGATGAAGTTTTAGCGTGTGAGGATATTGATAATGCTTATAGTAAATTCATCCACAGTTTGAAGAATGCATATGAAAATAATTGTATATCAAAAAGAAGAATTAATAAAAAATATCAAGTACGTAAGCCATTTTTGTATATATTATAATATTGTTTATATGCTTGAGAAAAATTAATAAACTGAACTGAACTGAATTGGAAAAAAAAAAAGTATCAAAATAACATTAAACGATCATCACGTGGAATAAGTACACTCAATAAAGTGGTGAAGTGTGACGTCATCAAAAAAACTATTTTTAGAATTTCTCAATTTGAACTGCATTTTCCGAAAGAGCATCAAAATTAATGTCCAAGTGTCTAAAATCATTGAATATATTAAGTATAAGCCGGATATGACCATCTGAATAAACAGATTTCCTATAGGAACTCAGTGTTATTTTGCTCTGGATCATAACATTACGAGTTCCTATAAGAACTCTTTTTTATTCAGATGGTCATATCTCAGCCAATATTGAACATATTCAATTGGTTTTAGACATTTGTACATTATTTTTTATGCTCTTTCGGAAAATGAAGTTCGAATTGAGAAATTCTAAAAATTGATTTTTATGACATCACAGCTTCGGTACTCTATTAGGTATGATATAAAAAGCACTCTGGTACCATATCAATCATTATCTGCAGACGCAGAATTTTTGAGAATGTATCACATTATTTTATCCATCATGTAAAATGCTCCACAAGCATAAAATATACAACTTAGACCGTCATATCCTGCACACAGGGAGTCTGCTTCTGTGTTTTATACAGATTTTGCATACTTTTGAAAGTTAAAATGACAACAGAGCCAACAATCATCAATTCATTACATGTGACCTTCTTAACAGTCTTGTCTTGTCTTGTTTGGTTCTATCCCCAAGCTAAAATACAATTTTCACGCGAGTTAAAAATTTGCTACTTTTCCATGAAAACGAGGACACTCCTAGCTAAACACGTATAATTGAATATGAACCTACAATAAAAAGACTTACGGTATGCGGGAAGATGAGTTTTAGTAGTCTCATAGTAGAAAATTATGTGAACAATTGTTTGAACAATTTTTACCTGACGTCCGACAACTAGACAGGCGAACCTGGTTGATCGCTATACCGGTATAAAAGGATTCACCCAAGATTGCTTCTAGCACCAGCCATCCGGATCCCTCGGGAGTGAGGTCCACCTGCCCAAACCTCCATTGCTCACTGCCCGTGTCAAGCTCACGCGACCATAGTTCTTGTTTCGTACGGGTATCCTGTGGAATAAAGCTGACCTTGAGTGCCCCCTCTGAAACGTCAATCCAATAAGAAAACGTAAAACACAGGGGCTCATCACTGCCATCTCCCGACCGGATAAGTAGTGGGCTGATGAGACCTGCAGAGTTGACAGCTCCAGTTCTACATGTGGAAGCTTTTATGTAGGAATTGCCTGTAAACATTGCAAAAGAAAAGCAATGAAAGTGAAGTAATTATGCAAATTGATAGATACATATTTTGAAAGAAAGCAGTAGTTAATACGAAAAATTGAGCATCCTGTTCAACAGATTCTAAAACATAAATCCTCCTTATGAGGATGACTTATCAAAATGTTTTTACATGACTGGAACCCCCTGCAAATAGGATATATATCATGTTTCCCATAATTAGGGGAATATAAAGGGGCCAGGAAGGAGACGGGTACGTTAAATGCAAAAGCCTCTTCATCTTCTATCTTCTTTCACAGTTTAAACTCTCTAGAAAATTCACATGCTACACGTAATGAACATTACAGGGTCATTCAGTGACATTAGTTTTTTTGTTCTTTAAAATATTATTCAGTCATTTATTAAGAAATGAAGGCCCTAGGGAAAGAAGTCTTAGTAGAAATTCAGTTCAAAACATACCATAATACAGATACCAATCACAATCATCCTGTGGTTCTTTGACCTGCTCCCATCCACAAAAGTCATCTTTGAAGTCGCAATACACGCCAGGTGAAACATCGATGTGACGTTCAGCAATTTCTAAATTGTGTCAAAAGAAACGTTCTATAATTAATCTAAATCAACTGTTAGTGATAAGATAGAAAAAGCACAAAATATAATTTTCAATGAAGGATGCACTAAATGAATGCACTAAAATGTGTATCTTTCTTAAAACAGTGTATTTATATATATACTCTTTACAATGATTAAAACATGCATTCATAGAGGGGGTTGGAAAACATAACTGGAGATGCAAAGGTCATTGGGTCGATCCCACCAACGGACTTTTTCCTCTTCTCTCCACCAAAGATTTAAGTGCGTAAGGATGCAAAATTAAGTGTTGTTTGCTTAATTAACACCATTAGCATGTGTAAAAATATTTTTAAAAAGTGGAGCTTGTGCATACATTGTGCGCGGATAAGCCTGAATCAATAATTGGCATAGTCATATATCCCTACAGCACTTTAGAGATATCATTGATGTATGAAGTGCTATACACGTAGAACACAGCTAGAGGAATTATAAAAATATTATTTACATTTTGTGTAATTTGATTAATTATCTATAGGTATAAAACATGAATACTTGATGGGGAAAAAAATATATTTGTTAACTCTAACTAAAAAGAGTATTTAACATATCAAGACAACAATCTTACCATTGCAAGGAGGGAGAGGCGATTGCTCCATGCAGACACATGAGTAACCAGAGGCAATATCATTGCAAATATTGGAATCACCACACGTTTGGTTTGTACATGTTGATGCATCTACGAAACAATGAAGAATTCAATGGTAATTGGTATAGGTAGGCTCATGTATAAACACCAAATGCAGAAGTACTATTAAAGATAAACTTGAGTTCTGGTAATGCGATTGCATTGTGAAAGAAAAGGTGTGGAATGGATCAGAAAAGTTGATCATATAGCATGTAAGTAATGGTGTGTAATGCAAGGTTCTGGAGTCATCAAAATCATCATAAATTTGGCAGAGTCTTGGTAAAGTAACAATCACTTACACAGAAAGATGTATATGGGAGAACACACATGGTGTCCGGGCTAGTACTACCCTGATTTCCTTATTTTTCTATGCTCATTACTCAGCCAATATACATTTTCTTCCAAAATTATTTGGCACATGACATTTATTTGTAATCTTGAACATTTAGGGTACATTTCGTTAGATTCTGTGAGAATTCATTTTCTTTTTTTTTACCAGAACTCAAGTTTATCTTTAATACTAGTATTCCCATGATACTGTTTACCATAAGCTGTAAATTCTTACTTCATGATGATAATGATTACAATTACACCCATTAATTTAATAGTGGTCATAATGTATTATATTTAGAATGATACACCTTCATAAAAAAAGATATATCATGCCATCGATGCTGCATTCTTTACACTGACTAATAATACCTTCTGGAAAATGGAATAGGCCAATGCCTGTTTCACAAGTTGCGTTAATTCACCTTGACATTGGACTATGTCAGTGACTGGCATAGTTGTTAGAGTCCAACATAAAAGTGATATCAAATAAAAAGGTGAAATGAACAATAAACTGTGTAATCATTGCTATAAATGTAACACATGTAGTGCAAGCTTTACAGTGCAGAAAACTTCCAGAGACTACTCCTGAGGCATTTAATGCTCTTATCCTATCAAACCTCATTTGTCTTCCTCACATCACTTGCAATCTTTAGTTCATTATCGTGTTAGGCTGCATAGCCCATTTACGATTACTAATACACCTAACTAGAAGATGAAGAATCACTGTCATATGCAGTAATGCAATTCACTGGTTGTTCACACAGGTAAAGATGCACTCAAAAGGACGCCTTATGTCTATTAAACCAGGCATAATCTAACCTTGAATAGATTTTGCTTCAATGGTTGCGCTGAAACCATGACCTTCAACAACTTGCACCGCCTCTGATGTATACTTGAACCAGACACTCTGTCTGCGGACATGGTAGAAATGAGCAAAGAATGTGTCCGAGTCTGCGATGATGGAAGACACATCACTAGAGTCCTTGCCAAAGCCCATGACCAGGTGATCAAATACTCTCTCGAGATCAAGGTATCTAATGAATATGTCCAGTGCATCACCGTCAGGTGTCGTTATATACCAAATCTTCTCAGGCGTATAGATTACATTGGCCACAATGTCCTGGGATTCCCCTAATGGAATTTGAACTGGTGGAGGACCTGAAATTTAAAATAGAAAAAAAATAGAATAGACTGAATGTTTATTACATTAGGAAATCTACCCAAACATAATGTGTTACAAGGGGAAATCTACTATGTACTAATGATTGAATGAACATCCAATGTTTCTATTGTCAAGTGATGAATTGGCAAATAATAAGGCATACAATTAATATAGCCAGTTGTGCACCAATCCCCACTTAAAAATCTCCTGACAATCCATTCTTATAAAATAATAAATAATAGTGGGTTCTTGTATAGCGCTCATGTCAGTCAGATTTGACCCTCCTGGCGCTCCCGATTATCACCCTGGCTTTAGCACGGCTGCCATACTGCGCTCTAGCATTTCAAGAAATAAATTCCTACCAGGTACCCATTTACTTCACCTGGGTGGAGTGTGGCAAATGTAGATCAATGTCTTGCCAAAGAACATTAGTGCAGCGGCGGGACTCGAACCGCGGACCTTGTGATCGACAGTCCGGCGACGTATCCACTCGACCACAACACCTCTACACAAATCGAGGCATAAACAACACATCAACTCTTTTTTTTTTATTACACAAGTTTAAAATTACCTTCTTCCCCTTCCTCTTCCTCTTCTGGTCCTCCATTTTCAATGAAGTCCAGGTACTCAAAGACCCGGGTGTACACCCCTGGATAGTTTGGTCTCCCACAGCCATATCCAAAGCTTGTGATGCCCACCAAATACATACGACCTTCGTCGTCTTCACACTGGAGCGGTCCACCGGTATCCCCCTGTGAAATGAAGAGAATAAGAGGACAGTTACCCGTCAGTATACAGTATATAATACTGCTCTTCCTGTGCATGGGCACTGCTATTATTATCCCAGCATTGCCAGTTATCCATTTAATACATCTGGGTTGAGAGGGAAGTATGTGGGCAATACACATTGTCCAAGATTTAGCAAGGATCGAACCCGGTACCTCTCATATGAGAGTTAAGAGTCTAATATACCATTGCTTCCACTAGTAAGGGTAAACAGACAAAAAAGTTCATCTGTTAGTGTTATCTTTTGCCCCTACCCTATTTCCTCTTGCTCATACACACACGCTACTTTAGTGTATGTATCGTGCATTGTTTATGCTCTAACAGAGAAATAGTTATCTGCCCGTGGATTTTGAGTCTATTTGTGTGTGCTTTTTTATTTTTATTGGTCTGCGGTTGTTTTTTAAAGTGCACACTTTAGTATCTTTATTCAATGTTCACGACTCAATCGGGAGTATGAAGAAAACAAAAAATACTGCCTAGAAAGAATGTTATAAAATCTATGAAAGTTGATATTCTAAGACAATCCCAAATATTGAGATAATTACAACACTGGAAAGCTTTTAACCCCCAGAATAACACTAAATGATTTTATCCCAAATCAATTGGTAGCATTTTTGTGTGGTGTGTGTTCACGCTTGGATGAACAGGAGGCATTGTTTGCAAGAGTGCAAAAATCGACTTGCACCAAAGTTGCTTATGTGATGCTTGAATAAGACGATTGGGATTTGGGTATTAATTCGGTCTTTGCATATATCGAAATAACATCCCTAACAAAATTAATTATGCCACACATATCAAATATTGATTATCAAATATCAACAAACATTTATGCGTGTGTGTGCGAATTTGCTTCTGCAAAAAGCATATGCAATGCATTTCATTTGATACATTCAATTCACTCTCTCACTCTGCTAATCCTAATGTAATACATGCTGTAGGCATCCCTTTGGCGCAAGTCGATTCTTAAATTTGATATTATGCAAGCCAAAAATTGGTACGTAATGGTGACCAGCAGTAACGTAATGCGTTTCATTAAATCATTAGAGAAGAAGACGATTCGTTGTACCATTCTCGAAAATAATCCTCGTCTGAATTCAGTTCCCCCCTCCCTTTTACGTTTCTTTAACCCTTACTGTACTGTACTGTACCCCCTCGACATTTTCAGAGATCGCGCCGCAACCGCTTGGAATTTTGAATTGTCGTTTCATGACTTTTTTCCCTCAAGTCTTGCGCACATTTTGATACCATTTTCGTCAAAATCGGATATACCTGTAAGGTGTTACATAACAATTAGTATGCGCATGTCATCGAAAAAGTGATATAATTGCATATATTCATGTACAAGCAGAAATGTGAAGATATGAATTGATATCAAATTGCTTTTATATGTTTCTCAGAGTAACTTGATGTATTCCAGAACAAAAGAATACATTAGAAATAAAACAATATAACAAGGAATAAAAAACAATAAAATACATAAGAAAATAAATAGTTGAAAATCGCATCAAATTTGCATAAATTATCATTATTAATTACATCAAATAACTATTTTGTGTTAGAAAAGAAGTTTCATATGAATAATGAGTTTCAACATTCAAAAAGTGGAGTCTGACAATTTTTGTAATGATTCTAGTTCCCTAAATATAGTTCCAGATTTGATATTCATGAATGCGTAATTTGCGTATTCATAATTTATGCAAATTAACCTATGCATTTTCAAATTTCATAAAAATAATGAAACCTCATGAATTTGAGATGAAGGAAACATTTATTCAAAACATTTTCAAGATTCTTCACAAGTCTACGGACAAATATGTAGAGTTTTCTGTATAAAACTGCATAAAATTAGCATTTTACATAATTAATTAGGCCATAACGACAAAAATTTGCATATATTAGGAAAAAACTAAGTATACAATCTTGTTCCTTACGTAAATATCTACAAATATGCAAATTTTCGTGTTCATCGGACATTCGACGGCAGAGATCATAGGGGGGGGGGCCTCCCAGGCCCCCCCCCCCCCCCAGTCAGAGGGTGCTCAAAATAGCCCAGTACAGTAAGGGTTAAATCATTAGAGAAAGACGATTCGTTGTACCGTTCCTCAAAAATAATCCTCGTCTGAATTCAGTTCCCCCCTCCCTTTTACGTTTCTTTAAATCATTAGAGAAAGACGATTCATTGTACCGTTCTCGAAAATAATCCTCGTCTGAATTCGATTCCCCCCCCCCTCCCGCGCGGAAGCTTTTTTTTTACGTTTTATTAAATCATTAGAGAAAGAAGATGATTCTTTGTACCGTTTTCTACTATTAATCCTTGTCAAGTTCAGTCCCCCCCCCCACCTGCGCAAAGCGCGGAAGCTTTTACGATCCATTAAATCATTAGAGAAAGAAGACGATTCGTTGTACAGTTCTCAACTCTTAATCCTCGTCTGGATTCAGGTTCTCCCTCCCTTTTAGGTTTCATTAAATCATTGGAGAAAGAAGACGATTCGTTGTACCGTTCTCGAAAATAATCCTCGTCTGAATTCAGTTCCCCCCTCCCTTTTATGTTTCTTTAAATCTTTAGAGAAAGAAGACGATTCGTTGAACCATTCTCGAAAATAATCCTCGTCTGAATTCAGTTCCCCCCCCTCCCGCGTGGAAGCTTTTACGTTTTATTAAATCATTAAAGAAAGAAGACAACTCGTACCGTTCTTGACTCTTAATCCTTGTCTGAATTTCATAGATGTTCTTTGTCTGCTCCTTTTTCTTCCTACGTCCTTTCCCTTTTCTCTCTTCCCTTTTATTTATTTTTTTGCCAGTGAATTTTTTGGGGACCGCCCCCACCCGCCCCCTGGCTTCGCGCCTGCGGTCAGATAAACACATTTTGATACCTTGTCCGACCCCGGAAGGCAATAAATTACGGTCAGATAAGCATTCAGGGGCCCACCTTAGGGCCTCTGATGGGGTCGAGGCCGTGGAGCCCCGGAAGCTCAGGGGTTTTAGGCATTTAATTAAGGTCAGATTAGCATTTTTTGGATACCTTATTATTTTAATTGTGACACTGGCAAGACACTATTTGACGTGGGGTCCAGGGGCGGAGCTCCCCAAAATCAGGGGTTTCAGGCATTAAATTACTGTCAGATGAGCATCTAAGGGCCCACCGTAGGGCCCTAGGTGGAATCCAGGGGGCAGAGCCCCTGGATGCTAAGGGGTTTTAGGCATTTAATCACGGTCAGTCAGATGAGCATATTTTGATGCCTCATTATTTGTTGACACTGGCAGTTAACTATTCTTTCTTGCTTGCTCTCTTTCTTTTTTATTTCTCTTTAATACGTTTTTTTTTAAAGTGAAGGGGTGGGGGGTGATCCCGAGGCTCCCGATCCCCGCCGTTCATCGGGCCCTGAGATTTTATAGGAATTTTAAGAATCATATTTCTGGCTGTAAGTTTAGAATTTGTCATTTTCCAACAAACGCATACAAAAGTATCATTTACTAAAAAGTGAGGAAAAATTTCCGAAATTATGTCATTTCAGCATAGGATCTATTTGTAATCCACATATGAACAAATTTTGGGCATCTGCTCACGCGGTCTCGCTCCGCGGTCTACAACACGTGAAATTGTCTTTGAAAACGCGCCAAGTATGCAAAGAAATGCTCCTACAAGGAAAACAAACTTTGAATTCACACCATCTCGGGTGGAAATCACATATTCAAATACTGTTCTTTCCACTGATACCAATTTCGAACTGATTAGTAGACTGGAAAATAGGGCCTTTTCGTCTTCAATAATGGACAACAATCATTCAATTTGTGTTTTCTCTATGGAGGTCACAGGAAAATTTGGCTTATTCACTGGGGTTGTGTACTTCAACGAGATAATGCTCGTAACTGCGACTTGTTATTGGGCCATCTTGGGCGCCAAAACAGAGGATATGTAATCCCCTACCGTCTGATGTAACACATAATTTGATTGGTTGTCGAGAAAGTAGGGCCAATTTCAATCCAATAAAAAATAGCTTTTACAAACTTACACATCGACCTCTATAATATATGCAAGCTAGTGCGTAAACGAAGTTTTTACACAGCGGACAATGAGGCTTACACACCGTGCTCGCAGCCGTGCCTATTTCTACCACCAGATTTGACTCGGCTCCGGCGATGGAAAAGACACATTTTACGTTGATTTCAGCAATTTAATGAAGGGAATTTAGATATTATGGATGATCTTTTACAAAACAGGTGTGTAGGGATTAGATTATATCTCTCACGAGACATTGGACTCTTTAATTTTCCTGAAATTTAGCAAATTAATGGCACTCAGAACTCACTGCATGAGCAGATATAAATATTCATGGTTGATCTGCTAGAGAAGGAATCGCGTATTCATATTGCAGGGTGATCCCGCCCATCTTAGACAGAGGGATGACAATGGACTTATGCATTGTGATGTGCATCTATATCTACTAGTAGACATACATATATATTTTCCTGATTTGTTTTCCTTTTTTGGGAGAAGAGGGGAGAGAGAAACAGAAAGAAGGAGAGGGAGAGTGTTGACAAGTCACGCACGCACAGCGGTGTTGACATTCACACTCTCACCAGTTTTATACGATAAACCCCTATTTCATAAAAATCGACGAGTCCGGTACCTTGGTGTTACGCTCTAGTGCACTCGAATGTTCGTCGTCTGTGTGGGAGGTACACAAAATGACTCATTGATCTTTTGGCTGAATGTGGGTCAAATTTGTTCATATGTCCCTGGTAGTTTTGTGAGTTGTGAAAATATATTTTTCTCTATTTTTTTCCTATTTTTCCCCTATTTTCTGGAAATTCAGACTATTTTTTTCCTATTTCCTTCAAGAAAATAGGAAAAAAATAGGGCTATTTTTTTCCTATTTTCTAGTACAAACTATTTTTCCCCTATTTTTTTCACCTAGACCATATTTTTTTTTTTTGGCCTATTTTTTTCCTATTTTCAAGCACAAACTATTTTTTCCCTATTTTTATCACCTTCAACTTTTGTGGACTATTTTTTCCTATTTTCGAGTAGAGGGGTCTACCAAACTATTTTTTCACCTTCATCTTTTTCAGACTAAAAAATAGAAGAAGAAGGGGGGGGGGGAGGGGGCCAAGGTTCGCACGGCCCCCCCCCCCCCCCCCCGGATCCGCTCCTGCCCGCGACAGCCAACTCCGAATACAGCATTAGATGACAGTAGGGACTGCGATATAAAAATGCGCCGCACAAGCCCGGGCGCTGCACGCAGTTTCCACTTCTCGGCTCGTGAGTACTGCAAGCGCATGATTTGAAGTTGGTCAATCATCCGCACACTTCATATTATAATCAATCTTTCTTCAACCGCTGAATAAGTATTCAAATATATAAAATCCCATAGATGTCGAGTTATGAATTTAATTCTTCGTATTAGGGAATAAATATGACTTGTACTTACGGGATTTCTACGAATAACCATTTCAAGCGCTAAAGTTGGGTTCGAGCATTGGCAGATGATCTGATGGCAGACGACGTCGAAGCAAAATAGAGCTTATGCGCATGCGCGAATTCGTCATTTAATATCGTCGTTATTTAGTTTTAGATGAAACGAATTTCACTCGTCAATTGTTATAGATGTCAAATCTGTTATTTCCGTCAGTCAAAATTTTATGAAACGGGTCCCAGGTGCATAAAATAGGCACATGATGGTAATGTTGGGGAATAATTTGCCAAAACTCATATGAAGAACACTATTTATGCTGATGAGGATATACCGGGTAAATAAAAAATATTATCAAATATCATATTAGTACAATAGAAAGATAGAATAGAAAGGTCAAAAGTTGTAAAAGCAATGCAGATACATCTGTATATGCCAATTGACACAATCTCTAACATGATGCACTGTATATAAGAAACTGCAACAATATATGTCAACGGATCAGCACATATATCATTCAGACAGATATAATTCATGACCATAATGGTCGATCGTGCTGTTTGAGGCTTAATTATTATTCAGATGATATAGGCTAATCATAATATTTCGTTGATATTTTTGTACCTGTACCCCCTGGACATCCACCCCCGGATAACCACCCCTAGGATATAACCACCCTCTACTATACCAGCCCCTTGGACAACCACACCTCAGGGACAAATAGGGCAACCATGCACCGGCCTCTAGGCCGACTATGGCTACGCCCGGACCCGCCCCCCCCCCACCCCACTCAGAGGTCGGAATGACCGCAAGCGTTTTGCCAAAATGTCCGGTAAAGGGGTACTTTTCGTGCGACAAAGTCCGGCCCGAGAATTGTAAAAAAAGGGGTGTATTTGACTTTTCACCCGGAGATTTCTTTAAAAAGGGGGTGTTTTTCTTTTTTTCTCTCATCTCTTTGGACTCCTGAGAAATTATTCCGAATTTAGGGGGGTATATTGAACATTTTTCCTGATTTAGAGGGTCTCCAAGGCAGGAAAAGCCCGCGAAAAGCCCGCGAAAGGGGGGTTCGGAAATGTTGGCAGTCCTCAGGTAGGGGGTGCTTTCAAAAAGAGGGTACGAGCATATGCGTTCCCTAAATAACACTGAGTGGGGGGGACCGGGCGCCCGGACAACTACCCCCTCGGACAACTACCCCGGACAACTACCCCCCCCCCCCCGACAACTACCCCCTAGATTAGTTGTCCGGGGGTAGTTGTCCTAGAGGATGGTTGTCGTAGGGGGTACTTGTCTGGGGGAAGTTGTCCGGGGATAGTTGTCCTAGAGGGTAGTTATCCTAGGGGTGGTTGTCCAGGGGGTAGGTGTCCTATAATTACCCTTTTTGATATCACGTATGATACTGTGTAACAAATCATTCTTTGTATTTTTTTCGTATAGGGTTGTAACTTTTAATATCCTACCAGCTGCTTTTGTATATTTTTTGTATACTGATAATATTATCGTCAACAAGCATTAATATATTGTATATTTGATTTGATTTGATTTATTGATTAATTGATTCTTTGTCAACTGTTTCATCCTGTGCTGCTGGTAATCTTTTATACATTAATAAAATAAAGTAAATAACATAAGATTCAGGAGTGCTATAGAGCTGGTAAAAGTGGGGGAGATCCCCGAGATCACGAGGCCCATGCAATTCAATTTGTCGTTTATCTCTACCTGACAAGTATCCATATCTCCTGATTGGTGACCTGCGCAGATCATGCCGGATGTGATTTCTCGATCATGGTAAAAGCGTGCACACTCCTCCTGGCTGAAGATTCGTACTGTGGCCTCTTGCATGGTGTCTGACACGTGCCCTCCTACGAGTCGATCATAGACAAAAATATAACTGTTTAAATCAATGTCTCCTTTGCTTTGGATGTGCAAAAGATATTGTCTGTCTCTTTTTTCGGGGTGGGGGATTTTAGTCAAGCTGACGATACAATGAACAATACGTTGTTTGCTCAGTTCTACATAGCGGTATTCATATATAGTGTAACAAATTATATCCTAGATAAAGGTCATTCTAATGGTTGAATTGTCACTTGTGCACGTGTATATATTCTAGAATACTGTAAAATTATAATCTTAAAGTGTCGAAGAGAATTGTGACCTCCAAATCTCTTCCATTTTTAAAGTAGATCTTAAGTAGATATGTGCTATTTGCTCATTGAGCGACCTTCAGCACCTGAACTATTCAAAAGCACCAGCTGCTCGGGCACAATGTCAGTTGACGACATTGATGGTGGTAAATAATGATGTTAACATTCTGAACTCAATAGCGTTAACAGAGATCTAGCAAATGTTTTTAGTTTTGTTGTTGTTGCTTAATTTAACTGCCAAGATTCCGTTGTACAATCAATGCATGTAATCTTCAAGATATCGAAGATATCACAATGAGTGAAAAAGATCACTCGAGATTATGAGCAACATAAATATTACAAAAAATATTACAAAAATGAATATACCTCACCTTCTTCAGTTAATCCCCAACCAGAGACATAACACCTTGTGTAGGTAGAAGGATCTTCTTGTGGAGACAAGCATATCGGTCTTGTGTAATCATTATTAAATTCGAGGGGTTTATCAAACACAATCAGTGCAATATCGTTATCTATTAGCTGGCTGTCGTAGTTTGGATGGGAAATGGACTGCACTCCAATTTCCAAATGATACGGTGAAGGCCTTGACAGTTTCAGGTCACCAAGCACAGCAGTTTCAAAGATATCCCTGAAAAAGTTTGAAAGAAACAAATATATTCAATTCCGCTCTAAATCATATGTAATATATTCTTACCAATGTTAATTATCCTTCGTACGCATAAACATAAAAACATACCATGGCGTACAATGCAGACGAAAACCTTAGTTTTTCTTTGCTGGCAAATCACGGAGGTATATACGCGCTAGTTGTCACAATCATTTTAACCTTTACGTAGGTCTTACCAAAAGATATTAATATTGTGGCAGGGATTTGAACCCTATAACACGTGGTTCATAGTCCCATATTCACTAGACCCCGACAACCTCTACAAATTATGCATGTAATTATAGATGGATCAAACAGAAGACCTTATGATTCATAAGCTTTTTCGCTTTGTTCATATTAAGCTGCCTGAGGACAGCGAGTGAAGCAAGGCCTGAACTGAACACAAAATGTTAATACAATGCGTTGAATGTAAATCTTGTCTGCTGAAATCCACAAGGACATTAACTTGCATCATTTTCCACAGAATTAAATTGAATGCCCTTCCTACTCTCACTAGACAATTTTTGTTCAGAACGTAACAATTATTGTTCACTGGAGTTATACCAACTGCCTGCAATAACTTTGTATCACACAATCATGTTCCGCTATAATACTCCTTTTTTTTCTAACAAAAAATAGTTTCGGTGCTCATCTTGCCTTGCCTCTAAACAGTTCGAGGCATTGGATTATATTACTGTCAACAAAGCAGAGTCAACTGTTCTTACCAGCAGTGGGCTGAGGTAACATCTAATGTACATCTACTGTTCTGTTTAATAACAACCAAAAAGTTCGAGGTAATAGGATATTACTGTCAACAAAACAAATTCAACAAGCAAAGTCAACCAAGCAAACTATTCTTACACGCAATGGGCTGCGGTAACAGCTACTGTTCTGTTGACGACCACGGCTGCACATCGATGAACATTGTTGCTGTCTCGAAGAGAAACCATCCAAGGCCAGTCTCCCAGCTGGGTCAATGATCCACCGATGATTCTTGAACTCGTTGTTGGACTTGCCGGCCGGTAACCACATTCAACATTTTCTTAATTATGGGAAATGCAAAACAAATTATCCATGTTTAATTCTGGCATATATATATATGAGAAAAACATTTATCTAATCATCTTAGCCATAATTCAGGCACATAATGAGAAAACATGTTTCTGGCATTAAATCTTCTGCAAAAAAAAATTATTGTAGAATTGCAGAAATCCTCACTGTGGCCTTTTAACCATTGTAAAGCATTTCCCGAATCATCTTGAGGTCAACGGATGCCTACGCGTTCATTCAATAAACCTACTAGTAATTAGTCTATGGTTTATGATGCATGTGTCACACAAGTGGACGGCCTTTAAACATTATGCGGCAATCCCCGCAGTTAATTGCTCAGCGGTCAATTAATTTCTACACTAGCAAAATTCCTAGGTTTAATTAACCCAGGACCCAAAACTATAGCTGACTATAACCCTTTACTAAAAAAACTGAGAACCCTAACCCTAACCTTGTATCTTCGACAAAGAAACCCCACAGAATGCCCGTATACTCCATAACTCCATATAAACAAGTAAATAGCCCGTACAAGCATTTTTTAAGTGGGGGTTCTTAGGGTTGCAACTTTGAGCCAGAGGTGAGAGTGAGACATTGCGAAGGAGCGACCAAGCCCGAGGAATATTTAGTGGCGAATAAGAGTGGGGGGGGGGGGGGGGGGGGGGGGGGAGGGAGGTTGTGAGTAAAAAAAAAAATTAATTGCTCAACGGCAAAAAATTAACACCCCCCCCCCCCCCACACACACACACACTTAAGCAAAAAATGAAGAAGAACAAATCCTTTTTTTAAAGGGGGCGGGGGTTCGCGTGAACCCCCCGAACCCCTATAGTTTGTACGGGCCTGCATGAAAGGAACTCAGCAATCTTGTGATTTTGAAGAGGTCCATAGAGAATTGCAATTTTTGGTTTTGGTAGTGAGATTAAAGTCAGATAGCTATGATGTAATTTCAATTTCAAAATGAGTGTTTCAAAAACAGGTATAGAACAAAATCGCAAAGACGTCCGAAAAATCAACCTTTAGCAATGTCAATAGCCATGTCCAGGCATATCTATTGAAATGTACCAACATGGTAATAATATACCTGTAAAGCGCTTAGGCACATCGTTGGATCGATGCATTGAGCGCTTATAAACACGGAATATTATTAAATTAAAATTAAATTGACAGATAATGTCATCCGACATCCGAACATGATGTTAATATCCAATATGGTGTTGATATTGTCCTTGAATCGATTGGTTGGTTGGGAGTCTTTACGACTGTGTTATGTATATCTTCATGAAATTATTGTCAATGGCAAAATCAATTAACATACCTAACGAAACACTGAATACAGCCATAGCTATGAATACATCGTTCGTGTCGATACCAGAGCGAAGTAGAGCCACAATGGAACCAGGTGATACAACGACAGTTGGGTCAAACAGAAGATCAACAAACGCAATCAGACTGCCTACGCTGTGAAGTGAATAAAGAAACAGATGTTTGCTACATGTATTTCACTAACTCCTTTATACTTTAACGTACCATAAAATAAACTTTCCTCTTTTTTTATTGTAATATAATATAGACACATTGCATAAAACGCAACAACATAAAATGAATATAAAGAGAACACCAATAGTTTCATGATATATTGTTCCTTTTCATGATATATGACACTTTTGTATTTACGAAGCATATTATAAGTGTATTAGATAATTTGATTTATAGGTGTCTGCGTCATCTAGAGCTACACATTGTATCTATCTCCTGTAATTACAAACCAATCTCAAGGTACAGGTATCTGTTCTTTCTAACTATTAAAATATAAAGACTCATCCACATAATTTGGATGAGTTTGGTTGAAAAGACATGCCATTATCATTCTCTGATAAAGATTGATTCAGTTATATTTTGTTTATTGCATGACGGTGGTCATTTCGAGTTGCTTCACATACCAATTCAGAAAGGAAAATATGGCTAAGAGAAGAATTTTTCGCTTAAAAAAATAATTGCATCCATTTGGGTTTGGTTCCAGAAAATGTTACATCCATAACATTCATGAGACAGACTAGTTACAGAGCATAATGACATGGAATATGAAATATTGCGCACTATTCCAACTTCGGTTGCCATAACATGGAAGATGCTTAGGTATACTGTACACTGAATTTGTGGGGTCATCAAAATATCAGTCAGCTTAATGAATGTAGTTAAACCAAAAAATTGAGTCCCTGATATCAATGGTTGTTCTGCTGAGACTACGCCTGGCTCCCTTGACCATCTCTATACAGAATGTTGACAAATGTCAGTTTTATAAAAGAATTCCTACACCAGACATTTATTTCTGTTTAGGTTGGAGAATGTTTTGGAACCAAAAGTATGCATGCAATCATGTCGTTTTCTATACCATAACCGATAAATGAATAGAAAATGTCAATTTAAGTAAGAATGATACCTTAACGTATTCACATTTGCTCCAACAAATCCGTGGGATGTCCCTTCTCCTGCTAAAACGGAATTCATCTAAACAAAACAAAAAAGAATTGAAGCATCAATCAGCATTACATTCACACACATTGTGGCCATCCAGGTAAAACTTAGGCTTGGCAAGCATTCAAAATATGAGACAAAGGGAAATTGTGAAAAAAAAAATTTTAGGGGGTGCAATCGCCAAACCATATTTGTACATGATTGTATGATTACCTATTCAAATTGCAGGTATTATGATGGTTTTGTGAAAACGTATCCCAGATACAGATGACCTAGACACTGTTTCATAAAATTGAATACCAGTACCATGTGTCAAAGTTAAGTGAAAATTTGCTCAGAGTCAATCGGATGCACTTCTTTCAGTAGTTTATAACAGTTACTGTAACTTGTTGTTGATATTTGATAGTGATACCAAGCTTTATGGAACAGCGCCCTGGTTTTGAGTTCAATTCATAAATAGAGGCCTGGCATTCTTTGTCCAGACATCTGTAAATTGTCACTTCTACAGAGGTGTGCTAAATTGACAGTCTGATAAAAATGTAATCCTTACATCTTATACTTGGCAGCTTCATAAAGCCTACAATGTTAAAATAAGCCCCTTAAAATTCCTTGCGACTGATAAAAATATATACTAATTATGCCGTTTGCGCGCTTTCATTTTAAAACTATCGATTTGAGAACATCTCTGGATAAGATGTGACTTACAGCTGTTGTAATGTTTGTTTTCATTTCCATATTTTCTGGGGTGCCTTCTTGAATGAACTCAGGACCGTATTTTCCATGCATCTTTACTATAACAGCGATGGTTTGGGCATCTAAAGCTAGAAAGAAAACCAAATGAAGAATTAGAAGTATATGAGCTAAATCATTTCCTACTTAACATAGGTTCTCGAATAACTTTTACGCCAATTCATATTTACTTAAAACATTAACATTTTGTTTTGCAATGGGGCAGATATTGTATCTTCGGAATTCAATTCCACTTATAATATGCTTTTCTCTTCTTTAAGTCTAACAATATATTGAATTCAAGTGTTGTAATTATTTCTTTATTAAAAAAGTAGGATTCTATGTACAGAAGTAAACAAAATAGTACACCAAGCATTGTTTTTACAACAGCAACAGAAACAACGAAATCTCTATAGAAAAAAACAAAAACATGAGCGATTTGTATTGTACCAGGCCAAAACATTTTAATAAAAGACCAGTTACTAAGTTTAAATACCCATCATGTCATGATCAAATGAATTTCGAAGGTGAGGGAAAGGGTCCTCTCGTTTTTTCTCGTCTTTCCCCCTTCCCCTTTTCCCCTTTTTTCTCTTTGCAATTAGAAAGCAGGTGAGTCACGTGCTCACTCGCCACCTACCCCATTCAACAAGGATAAATCCCTATGACAATCATTTGCGGATCATGTACTAAATTGGCACATTGCTACGAAAGCAAATTATATTTAAACGTCTTTGTACAAAAGCCCCCTCCCCAACCCCTGAAACAATGAAAACAATTTGCAGGGGGGGTGGGGGGTCAACAGCAGCATGCTTCGATCTTCTTGTTTTTGTTTTTCTTCTTCTTCTTCATCTTCTTTTTGTCCGATCTCCTCCTTCTCCCTCTTCTCCTTGTCATCCCCTCCTCATTTCAGGTAGTGAATTTACGAAACCATCAAGAGTGCAAGATCAACAACATCTCAATGCTGTTACGTGTCCGCTAGCCAGTGTTTCACAAAATTCTCTTTGCCAAGACCAGTGACAACTTCTGTGACAAGTCTCTGGTCGCAACATTAAATCTGTCATATCTTTTTATAACGCCATCACAAGTGAACTATCGCAGTTTCTATATGGTAAATTTATGGACAATCTAATTCTAAATCCCTAAGCTCTCATTACAATGAACAATTCTTATCGATGTTACGGTAAAAAGAAATATACATGCGCATATGTTTTAATGCCTTAACAAGTAAATGAGGTTAACATAATTTGTCAGCACATTTGCCTTCCGTAGAAACGACACTGAAGATAGGACAGTCTGTGTTACTGATTTCAGACAAATGAGAATGACAATTTATCATAATTATACATTTTTCACTACGTTTTTTTTCCTTCTTATTTCAAGCATAGGCTTGAAACAAATCCTTTTAAATTTTTGCTTTAAAATATGAATGTTTAAACCTTGATAGATACAATTTTCCATTAATATTTCTTAACATAAATAGAAACAGGGCCTTCTTTAGATTGGATATGAATTATGGTATCCTAAAATTTCAAATCACTCGCCGCGTAAGTAACCTCGAGTTTTCTTAACTTTATTCATTCTTATTTGTCATCGGTAACACATACTTTCATATCAATCAGATGTTTACATCATTTGTGCTAATAACCTCTTCTGTTTTTATATTTTCGAACAGTTTCAGTGAAAATTAGCCTAAAAATTAATGTGGGTAATTGAGAATAAATCTGAATTGTGATAAAGACTTCACTTGTTAGCCGATAGTAGCGATGTCATTACTTTGTAGCTTAAATGGCTTTAACTTTGTAAAAAAAAGTTTGTCCGCTTGATGACTAATTCACACCCATTCGCATTTTTATTTGTATTTGAAATCCAAATTGTTGAATGGTTGTAATAAATAAACAGATAACAACGATGCAGAGTAATCTAAGGTGCCTACATCCATAAAAAAGCGCCTACGGTGATATGAGTTATTTAATCAAGAAATTTCCTTTTATATTTTATCTTAAAAAATGATCAAGGACGACATAGTTCAGAGTACACAAATATGACCATGTAATACATACCATTTCCACAATTGATGCCCTGATATCCTGCTGCACAATTGCATTCATATGTTCCATTATGGTTGATACAATTCGCTCCATTCATGCAAGGGTTATCTGAGGGGCATTCGTTTACATCTATGAAAAGAAGAATCAACAGTGAAAAAGATTTATTTCATTGCGAAATTACTTTCAGGGTTATCCCTTTAGAAGACAAAGACAAAAAAATATGGTGACAAATATGGCATCATAGAATAACATACGTACCATTTTCACAAATGTTCCTCTGGTAAAGGATTTATTTTATTGAGAAATTACTTTCATGTGTCATCGCTATAGAAGACAAAGAAAAAAATATGGTGACAGATACGGCATCATATAAATAACATTTTCGCAATTGTTTCCTTGGTATCCTGCTGCACAGGTGCATACATAGGTTCCATTTTGGTTGATACAAGTCAAAGTTGCTGACAGGCAATAACGGTTTATAACCACATGGCATACACGGAACCTTTATCCTTGGTAGTACCATAATGTGTCTAGCTTTAAACCCCAAACAAAACTTGACCTAACCTGGTATTGTGCCTGGTGTAATACCAGGTGTGGTTCCCGGAGTTGTTCCAGGTGTTGTGCCAGGGGTTGTTCCCAGTGTTGTTCCTAAGGGGAAATAATGAAATGTTATACACCTATATTCAAGATTTCTGCGCTTAATTTGACATGGTTATCATTTGCTGTTTGGCATTGGAAATGACATATGTCTGGTGTGACAAATGTTTAACGCTGCTGGCGGAGGCAATAACGGTTTATAATCACATAAAATTCAGAGAACACAAATCCTTGGAAGTACCATAGTATGTCTAGCTTTAAAGCCCAAACAAAATTGACCTAACCTGGTGTTGCGCCTGGTCTAGTACCTGGAGTGGTTCCCGAAGTTGTTCCAGGGGTTGTTCCGGGTGTTGTTCCAGGCGTTGTTCCAGGTGTTGTTCCGGGGGTTGTTCCAAGTGTTGTTCCTAAGGGAAAAAAAATAAATGTTACACGTTTAACTAAAGAACTATACACCTTTATTCAAGATATCTGAGCTTAATTTGTTACGGTTATCAGTTGCTGTTTGGCATTGGAAATGACATATATCACGTTTGACAATTGTTCAAAGCTGCTCACAGAGGCAATAACGGTTTATAACCACATGACATACATGGAACCTTTATCCTTTTAAGTAATAGTACCATAATGTGTCTAGCTTTAAACCCCAAACAAAACTTGAACTAACCTGTTGTTGTGCCTGGTGCAGTACCTGTTGTTGTGCTTGGTGTAGTACCTGGTGTGGTTCCCGGTGTTGTTCCAGGGGTTGTTCCGGGTGTTGTTACAGGCGTTGTTCTAGGTGTTGTTCCGGAGGTTGTTCCAAGTGTTGTTCCTAAGGGAAACAAATAAATGTTACACGTATTACTAAAGAACTATACACCTTTATTCAAGATTTCTGAGCTTAACTTGACAAGGTTATCAGTTGCTGTTTGGCATTGGAAATGACATTATCAGGTGTGACATATGTTTAACGCTACTGGCGGAGGCAATAACGGTTTATAATCACATGAAATTCAGAAAACACAAATCCTTGGAAGTACCATAGTGTGTCTAGCTTTAAAGCCCAAACAAAATTGACCTTACCTGGTGTTGTGCCTGGTGTAGTACCTGGTGTGGTTCCCGGAGTTGTTCCTGGTGTTGTTCCAGATGATGTAGCTGGCGTTGTTACAGCAGTTGTTCCAGGGGTTGTTCCGGGTGTTGTTCCTGGCGTTGTTCCAGGCGTCGTTCCGGGGGTTGTTCCAAGTGTTGTTCCTAAGAGAAACAAATAAATGTTACACGTATGACTAAAGAACTATACACCTTTATTCAAGATTTCTGCGCTTAATTTGACATGGTTATCGGTTGCTATTTGGCATTGGAAATGATATATATCACGTGTGACAAATGTTCCAAGATGCTGACAGAGGCAATAACGGATTATAACCACATGACATACAGAGAACCCTTATCCTTAAAAGTACTATAATGTGTCTAGCTTTAAACCCCAAACAACACTTGACCTAACCTGGTGTTGTGCCTGGTGTAGTACCTGGTGTGGTTCCCGAAGTTGTTCCAGGGGTTGTTCCGGGTGTTGTTCCAGGCGTTGTTCCAGGTGTTGTTCCGGGGGTTGTTCCAAGTGTTGTTCCTAAGGGAAACAAATAAATGTTACATGCATTACTAAAGAACTATACACCTTTATTCAAGATATTTGCGCTTAATTTGACATGGTTATCAGTTGCTGTTTGGCATTAGAAATGACATATATCAAGTGTGACAAATGTTCAAATTTGCTGACAGAGGTAATAACGGTTTATAACCACATGACATACAGAAAATCTTATCCTTGGTAGTAATAGTACCATAATGTGCTAGCTGTAAACCCCAAACAAAACTTGAACTAACCTGGTGTTGTGCCTGGTGTAGTTACTGGTGTGGTTCCCGGAGTTGTTCCAGGTGTTGTGCCAGGGGTTGTTCCCGGTGTTGTTCCTGAGAAGAAATAATTAAATGTTATATACACCTTTTTTCCCTAGATTTCTGCGCTTATTTTTACATGGTTATCAGTTGTTGTTTGGCATTGAAAATGACATATATCAGGTGTGACAAATGTTTAAAGCTGCTGACAGAGGCAATAACAGTTTTTAATATATGTATTAATATGGAACTAAATACCTATATTCAAATGTCTGCGCTTTATTTAATTGATTATCAGTTGCTGTGTGGCATTGGAAATAACATATATTAGGTGTGACAAATACTCAAATACAGAGGCAATATTGGCAATTACTGCAGTAACAATTATCTTTGTTCGACCTAAATCTTCTAACTGTATAGTATAGGCCAAATTTCCATGATCCTAACATCATTTTCTACTTGGTTTATCTTCTTCTTATCTCAATTCCAGTCAAACTGTTATTGGAGTTCTGGTCATCAAATTACATTTCGCAATAAACAGTTTCAAAGTATTGTGAAATTAGATTAGGTGTACATAAATAAGATTTAGGGATTATCGAATCGATTTTTTTTTTTTAAAACATTGGATAACTAGAATTTATTTCAATTCGGTATGATATACAGTGTAAAGGTAACATTTTTGCAATTTGGCATAAAAATAATGATTTTTTTTTTTAATGTTATGTTAGCACGAAAATACGAAAAAATTGACATTGCTTAATTTTGCTTCATGTGACCTGAAATAAGATGTAAAACAGTAAATTGCAGTTAATTGTAGTCGTATATCATATTCATTCATTTCTCAGCAACTTCTTTTGTTTGCCTTTGTAATATGTGAATGCATGTTTGTATCTGAATAATTTGTCAGATAAATTAAAGATTGAGTTCTGGGAAAGATGAAAAATTATTTGTGGGATTCCTCATGTCAGTTTTGAAATAAATCACAATAGAAATGTGCCCTAAAAAGATCGCTCTTCGAATGTGCTATTTGAAATGCTCTTCAATACTCAATGACAATACACAGCTGATGAGCTTGGACCAAACAGTCATTCTAAATGTGTATGTAGTCACATACACCGATTTCCAAGTGTAGCCAATGTGATTTTATTGAAATGGAGTCAATCTTCTTATCAATTTGATGAACCCAAATCCACTTCCAACACCAATCCATATGAACTACATAATCAACATTTTCCAAATGATTTCAAGACAGTTTCTCTTATAATCTTCTTGCATGACCAGAACTCAAGTATATCTTAAAACACGCAATCTCATTTGTAGTTTGAGCTCTTACGAAATCGTTACTATGCTTCTAAAGTATAAGACATCATGTTAGCACGTCCAGTAATATACAGATTCAACATATGTATTCATGTTTACATGAACGGCTGGACTTGAAAGTGAGTTCACATGTAGAATGCATTGGCGCGTTTAGTGTAATGGTGGGGTAGGGGGTTGTCCGGACGCAAAACAAACTAATGCTGTCACTTCCTCCTTTTAAATCTATCGTTATATACGGATCAGATAGCTCGAGCCATCATGAGTAATTTTCCTTCATATGAAATATTGCATGCAGGCGCGGATCCAGGGGGGGGGCCGAGCGGGCCTTGGCCCCCCCCCCCCCCGGCAAAAAAAAAAAAAAAAAAAAAAAAGAGAAGAAAGGAAAAGAAGGGAAAGGGAAAGAGGAGAGAAAGGGAAAGAAAGAAGAGGAAGAAGAAAAGAAAAGGGGGAAGAAGGAGATCGGGGGGGGGGGCGAAAGGGCCTTTCCACCCAGGCTGTTGCCCCCCCCCCCCCCAATCAAAAAAATAATAGAGAAGGAAGGAAAGGGAAAGAAAAAAGGAAAATAGGAGATACTGGCGTACTGATAGAGGGGGGAGGGGGGGGGGGGCTTGGGGGAAATCAAATTCAAACGTGTTTTATTTCTAATTCCATAATTGTGGATTACAAATAATGCTGAAATTACATAATTTCGGAGATTTTTCCTCACTTTTTAGTAAATTATACTTTTGTATGCGTTTGTTGGAAAATGACAAATTCCTAAATTTACAGCCAGGCAAGAAATACGATTCTTGAGATTCCTACATGTCAGGGACCGAGGAACGGCGGGAATCGGGAGCCTCAAGCCCCCCCCCCACACTTTAACAAAAAAAGTATATTAAAGAGAAATAAAAAATAAAAAAAGAGAGCAAGAAAGAAAAAATAGTTAACTGCCAGTGTTAACAAATAAAGAGGCATCAAAATATGATCATCTGACCGTGATTAAATGCCTAAAACCCATAAGCTTCCGGGGCATCTACCCCCTGGATTCCACCTAGGGCCCTAAGGTGGGCCCTTCGATGCTCATCTGACGGTTATTTAATGCCTAAAACCCCTGATTTGGGGGGGGGGGGCTTTGTCCCCTTGACCCCACGCCTAAGTGTCCTGCCAGTGTGACAAAATAAGGATTATAAAAAATGCTCATCTGACCGTAATTAAACGCCTAAAAACCCCGAGCTTCCGGGGGCTCCACCGCCTCGACCCCACCAGGGGCCCTAAGGCGGGCCCCTGAATGCTTGTCTGACCGTAATTATTGCCTTAAACGTCTGAGCTTCCGGGGTCGGACAAGGTATCAAAATGTGTTAATCTGACCGCAGGCGCGTAGCCAGGGGGGCGGTGGGGGCGGTACCCAAACAATCACCGCCCACCCCCCCCCCCTAAAAAAAAGAGGAGAGAAAAGGAAGAGGACGTAGAAAGAAAAAGGAGCAGACAAAGAACATCAAAGAACATAAAATTCAGACAAAGATTAGTGTAGAGAACGATACAACGCATCGTCTTCTTTCTCTAATAATTTCATGAAACGTAAAAGCCCCCGCGCTTTGCGCAGGAGGGGGGAAACTGAACTCAGACGAGGATTAAGCATGGAGAACGGTACAACGAATCGTCTTGTTTCTCTAATGATTTAATGAATCGTAAAAGCTTCCGCGCTTCGCGCAGGAGGGGCCGGGAGGGGGGCGGTGAAAATGAATTCAGACGAGGATTATTTTCGAGAACGGTACAACGAATAGTCTTCTTTCTCTAATGATTTAATGAATCGTAAAAGCTTCCGCGCTTCGCGCGGGAGGGGAAAACTGAATTCAGACGAGGATTAAGAGTCGAGAAATGTACAACGAATCGTCTTGTTTCTCTAATGATTTAATGAATCGTAAAAGCTACCGCGCTTCGCGCGGGAGGGGGAAAACTGAATTCAGACGAGGATTAAGAGTCGAGAAATGTACAACGAATCGTCTTGTTTCTCTAATGATTTAATGAATCGTAAAAGCTACCGCGCTTCGCGCGGGAGGGGGAAAACTGAATTCAGACGAGGATTAAGAGTCGAGAAATTTACAACGAATCGTCTTGTTTCTCTAATGATTTATTGAAACGTAAAAGCTTCCGCCCTTCGCGCGGGAGGGGGTAACCCGTATTCAGACGAGGATTAAGAGTCGAGAACTGTACAACGAATCGTCTTCTTTCTCTAATGATTTAATGAATCGTAAAAGCTTCCGCGCTTTGCGCGGGAGGGGGGAAAACTGAATTCAGACGAGGATTAAGAGTCGAGAAAATATGTACAACGAATCGTCTTGTTTCTCTAATGATTTAATGAATCGTAAAAGCTTCCGCGCTTCGCGCGGGAGGGGAAAACTGAATTCAGACGAGGATTAAGAGTCGAGAAATGTACAACGAATCGTCTTGTTTCTCTAATGATTTAATGAAACGTAAAAGCTTCTGCGCTTCGCGCGGGAGGGGGTAACCCGTATTCAGACGAGGATTAAGAGTCGAGAACTGTACAACGAATCGTCTTCTTTCTCTAATGATTTAATGAATCGTAAAAGCTTCCGCGCTTCGCGCAGGAGGGGCCGGGGGGCGGTGAAAATGAATTCAGACGAGGATTATTTTCGAGAACGGTACTATGAATCGTCTTCTTTTTCTAATAATTCAATGAAACGTCAAAGCTATCGCGTTTCGAGGAGGGGGAGGGGGAAACTCGCCCCTCCCTGCACCCCCCCCCCCGCATTACGTCACTGCTGGTCACCATTACGTTCCAATTTTTGGCTCGCATAATTTCAAATTTGGGCCCCCCCCCCTAAGAAATCCTGGATCCGCGCCTGATTGCATGTAAACTTCTCAGAATAACTGCCTGACGTCAATTACCGTCCGGATAACCAACCTATCCGGACATAGGCGGTGATAGGAGGGGGATGAATCCGAACTAAACTAAAGCTGTCAGATTTTGCAAAGAAGATGGCACTAATTGATGTGAATATTGTTTTCATGTACAGGTTAGTCAGCATACAGATTTCATGAGGCTTGTATCCAGAAGAATTATATTTACTTTCTGGATTGATATATCGAGATATTTAACCAACCTGTCCGGACACAGGATCGTGTGGGTAAACATACCTGTATCACATAGATCTCCTCCCCATCCGGGTGGACAGACGCAAGTGAACTCATTAATCCCGTCCTGGCATGTGCCATCGTTAGCACACGTCACTCCTTCGCATTCGTCAATATCTGCCAAAAAAGGGCAAACAAAATGGATAACGATTCCTATGAAAATTAGACAGTGACGAATTTCAGAAAGAGAATAGGCTATTAAAAGAAAAGTTGTTGAAGGTTCAATTTAGGTAATTGAACTGAGACCTCATTCCTCCACACTCATAAATATCTGCAAAAATATTGTGAAAAGAATTTGTATTCAATTGAATTCAATTAAACTCAATGTATTCGTCCATCTTTAAAAAAGTACAAGTATAACATAATATTAACACATTGTATTAACATAATAATATGAACATAAAAATAGAGGGATTCCCTTAGTAAGCAAGTAAGCGAGTTGCTTGTAAACAGGGTCTCGGTATACAATACAATATCTGGTTCTATAATTACATTTGAGAAAATTATAAAACAGCAAAATTATATATTTAAATTAAAAAATTGCAAAAGAAGATGATATTTATGGTATAAACAAAAGAATAGGTATCTGATCTAAGTCGAACCGGGTAAACAAAAATCCCTTTCTTTTTTAAAAAGCCAAAAAAAAAAAAGGCAGACATTGTGACAGAATTGTCTTTCATGCCAAATAATAATAATAGCCTAATAGTCCACTCCAAATTTTATTAAACCGAAACGGAAATTCTTTTTGCCCAATTGATCGTGAGCCCGGCAGCCACTGAGCAGCGCCAGATCGACGTTGCTCTATCCCTTATTGTTGAACGCCAAACAAGGTAGCAACAACTCCCATCTTTTAACGTCTTTTGGTATGATGCTCAACATGCAATATGTTATTTCGTTCATTGTTTGTTCATTTGGTTATCTCATTGGTTTAAATTGGCGTTATGGCACAAAACGGGTAGAGGGCACCATAAACAAGCTTATACTGACGCCCTACTAAATGTTAATAGAAACCTCACCCCAAGGAATAATTAAGGTATTCTAAAAAATTAGATGTATTCCTGCTCTTTGATATACAATATTCCTTACGACAATGTACAAGAGATATATAAATAAAGATGTTCTTGGCATGATGTGATACCTTTTAGCATAACATGGGTACAGCCATTTTATTGAAAATGTGACGTACCAGATGAAGATGGACATGTATCATGGAAATATTTTTAAAATCAATAACAAAACCTTTACTTTTCAATGAGGAAGAATTATGGCTGAGAAGATGGAAATTATATTTGGAGAAAAACATATAGCAGGGGAAGAATTGTAACTAATTCATTTAGAAATCCTAAAATGTAGCAGTAGACAAAGCAATTTCACTTATAAGAAACCTTTAACCCAGAATAGCACCACTTATTTATGCAATTTGCGTTCTAGCAGATGTTATATAATAGCAGGTGAATGAAATGCTTCATCACCACACACACCTGAAAAAGGAAGGATCCATAAATTTGAACACATTTACTTGATAAACGACTTCACATATTACGTCACGTTATCAGAAACTGGCGATGCCCACGTCGTGCTGAGAAACTGTACATTGTTCCTGCTGTATGCCTCTCTCAAACACTTTGTAAATTAATGGGCAAGAATATAATAAATACAAATAACAAGTTATTTCTTGGAGTGCGGTTTTGAGGTTGGTAGAAGCTTAAACTACATGTTGAAATTATCTCAACCAATGATGTATTGAGTCTGCTTATCACATTAAGGTTACACCGGAAAATAAAATATAAAAATCGGTAATCTTGAGTACTTGGGTGCGTTTATCGTCATTGGCAGAATGTTTAAAACCATGTAAACCTTATGACACATATCTATAACGACAACTGAAATAATTATGATTAAAAAAACGATTCGAATGTCTTGTCTGCATATGAAATGTGAAGAATCGGGTAATCTCTTCCTATACACCCCTAGTAGCAGTACTATGATATACTGGTGGAGACTCTTGACTGTTATAAGAGAGGTCACGAGTTTGAACAAGCTCGGTACTTTGATTTTTGGAGACTGAAGATATTTGACCCAGATCCCCCTTCTCATTGATCGAGTGAATTGGTGCAATGCTTTGGTAATGAAAACTTTGAGGTCCGAGAGAAGAGCAGGATAAATTTTTTTCCTACCCTGGGTAAATAAAACTGAATTATTGATGATCATTCTTACCATTTTCACAGATGGGCCCTTCATGTCCCGTGAGCCTACAGTCACATGTGAAAGAACCGTCGTTGTTGATACAGAAACCTGAATTCTGGCAAGGAGTTGTTTCACATTCATTGATATCTATTGAAAAAAAATATATATAGATATTTCGTTCAGTTAGGGGGGGGGGGTAAGGTTACTTTTTTGTTTACAAACAAAGTTTGAGGGGAGTTTCTTCCAAAACACACACATAAAACAAATTGAGGGGGTTCGACACCCCCCCCCCCACCCCTGTCTACGCTTCTGGGTAAGTGTATAATTGTGATCTCATGCCTTGTTCCTTTGGAGTCCGATTTTCTCGATTACTTGATTACTTTCAGATTGCCTTCGCGTCAGACACGCGCAACTAAGACAATGAAAACAATGGATACGTGCAGGGAAGACGTTTCCCATTACCACAATGTTCCCTCTCTCTCTTTCTTTCCCTCTTCCTTTGTATAATTTTATACATGTATATTTTCATACTTTACCATCTTTCTGTTATGGTATCATCACCTCTGGAATTTATTTCATTTTCTACTTAGCTGTGTGTTCTTCATCGCAACGAAGAGTGCGGATAAAAAGGAAATGATGCAAGAAAAAAAAAGTTGTTTCAAGTCAGAATGAAGTTACAGGAAAAGAAATAAATAATATATTGCAAAAGGAATTAGGTAATCTCTGTAATACGTACCTTACGATTGCCAAGATAAAATGTACACAAGTAAGAGTAAAAATCCAAATAGATTCAAGTGAACTATATACATTGTAATTGTGTTTTTTATAAACCATGATCAGTCAGCCTAACTTTTGTAATATACGTCACTGAAAAAAATTAGAAAGTATTACCAATTTCACAATTCTGGCCTTCCCTTCCTCTAATACACTGGCATGTATATGAGCCTTCCCCGTTCTGACAGGTTCCCTCATTTTCACAAGGATTAGTTGCACATTCGTCCACATCTGTTTATTAAGAGAAAACTTTATCACTTTTTGAAGGAAAGATTGACTCGTATTCAAAAACTTAAGGTTGACTAGATGTACGTTAAACCCGTCTCTGCCAGACTCTTTATTTTGTATAAACCACTGTAACAGTAACTCTGATTAAATTATGAGTATGTATGTATTTGTGAATATGTAATTTTGGTTTGTATCACTGTATCTTTGAATGTAAACGATCTATACCTAATAAATCCTCTGATGAGGCAAATAAAAGAAAACACAAAAAACTCTGAATTAATTATTTCAAAGCTTATTTTCATTTTCAAAATTCCTGGCCTCAAACGCAATGCAGTCATTATACAAATTGATATGGTTAATTTTGTAGAATAAGGTGATTGAAACTTGATCATACATACATTAGTGGATTCAAATTAATCGACTTGCATTTTTATTTTGTAGTACAATGTGTAGTCTAGATCAATCTGGATTTATAAACAAAACAAAAAGCAAAAAAATTCGTCACTAAAATGTAACACAAAAATGCTATGGCTTACAAAATCCTTACAGATTTTTTTTTTTTTGCTTACACATTCAATGTTCAGAAAATTAGGTAAATTTAATTTTTGTCTACATGCCCGAGGTGATATAAATACATAACAATAGCACCCAACTCTCTAGATCATTAGTAGAAAGAAACACTCACCGATGTCGCACAAAAAACCTTCGTAACCCGGCGCACAGTTGCATGAGAAGGAGCCCTCATTATTGGCACATGTTCCTTGGTTACCACAGGGGTCGTTCAGGCATTCGTCCGTATCTACCAAAAGTAATTAGAAAATTACTTTCTCTTTGATTTCTGGCTTTAAAAACTGTTCATTTTTTTCTCGAAATCTGCGAAGAATTTACTATATCAAATTAGGATCTTTGCTTACAAGTCTACAATTTAGGTTGCCGTCAACATCAGCAAAATATATAAATGTTTAAGCTATATCATATGCAAAGGTATTCTCTCTGTGGTATATTTATTCCCAAAATATTGCTATGAAATAGTGGGTTTGAAAATAATTATCTGACATTTTTTTTGTAAACATTTGATATCTAGTAAGAATATATTTCAATTCGGTTTGATATACAGTGTTAAGGTAACATTTTTGCAATTTGGCATAAAAATAATATATATATATTTTTTTAATGTTATGTTAGCAGGAAAATACGAACAAAATTGACATTGCTTATTTTTGCTTCATGTGACCTGAAATAAGATGTAAAACAGTAAATTGCAGTTAATTGTAGTCGTATATCATATTCATTCATTTCTCAGCAACTTCTTTTGTGTGCCTATGTAACATGTGAATGTATGTTTGTATCTGAATAATTTGTCAGATAAATTAAAGGTTGAGTTCTGGGAAAGGTGAAAAATCATTTTTGGGATTCCTCATTCTTTAAATGTCAGTTTTGAAACAAATCACAATAGAAATGTGCCCTCAAAAAGACCGCTCTTCGAATGTGCTATTTGAAATGCTCTTCAATACGCTATGACAATACATAGCTGATGCGCTTGGACCAAAAAGTCATTCTAAATGTGTATGTAGTTACATACACCGATTTCCAAGTGTAGTCCATGTGATTTTAGTGAAATGGAGTCAATCTTCTTATCAATTTGATGAACCCAAATCCACTTTTTCCAAATGATATCAAGACAGTTTCCCTTATAATCTTCTTGCATGACCAGAACTCAAGTTTATCTTAAAAAACTCAATTTCATTTATAGTTTGAGCTCTTACGAAATCGCTAATATGCTTATACAGTAAAAGACATCATGTTATTAAACACGTCCACTAATATACAGATTCAACATATGTATTCATGTTATATGAATGACTTGACTTAAAAGTGAGTTCACATGCACGTTTAGTGTAATGGTGGGGTAGGGGGTTGTCCGGACGCAAAACAAACTAATGCTGTTACTTTCTCTTTTTAAATTTATCGTTATATACGGATCAGATAGCTCGAGCCATCATGAGTAATTTTCCTTCATAATATTGTCCTACATGAGTTTTAAGAGATTTATGAAATATTGCATGTAAACTTCTCAGAATAACTGCCTGACGTCAATTACCGTCCGGATAACCAACCTATCCGGACATAGGCGGTAATATAGGAGGGGGATGAATCCGAACTAACTTAAAGCTGGTAGATTTTGCAAAGAGGATGGCACTAATTGATGTGAATATTTATTTTCATGTATAAGTTAGTCAGCATACAGATTTCTTAAATCTTGTATCCAGAAGAATTATATTTACTTTCTGGAATGATCTAATGAGATATTAAACCAACCTGTCCGGACACAGGATCGTGTGGGTTTACATACCTGTATCACACAGATCTCCTCCCCATCCAGGTGGACAGACGCAAGTGAAATCATTAATCCCGTCCAGGCATGTGCCATCGTTAGCACACGTCACTCCTTCGCATTCATCAATATCTGCAAAAATAGGGGCAAACAAAATGGATAACGACTCCTATGAAAATTAGACAGTGACGAATTTCAGAAAGAGAATAGGCTATTAAAAGAAAAGTTGTTGAAGGTTCAATTTAGGTAATTGAACTGAGACCCCATTCCTCCACACTCATAAATATCTGCAAAAATATTGTGAAAAAAAAATTGTATTCAATTAAATTCAATTAAATTCAATGTATTTGTCCATCTTTAAAAAAGTACATGTATAACATAATATTAACACATTGTATTAACATAATAATATGAAAATACAAATAGAGGGATTCCCTTAGTAAGCAAGTTGCTTGTAAGCAGGGTCCCGTTATACAATATCAAATTTACACCTTTTTTTTATAATTACATTTGAGAAAATTATAAAACAGCAAAATTATATACTTAAATTAAATAATTGCAAAAGAAGATGATATTTCCCTTGGGTACTAGGAATTAATGGCATAAAAAAAAAAATAGATATCTGATCTAAGTCGAACCGGGTAAACAAAAATCCCTTCCTTTTTTAAAAGACAAAATAAGGCCTACATTGAGCGGAATTGTATTTCATGCCAAATGCTCAACATGCTATGTTATTTCGTTCATAGTTTGTTCATTTGGTTATCTCATTGGTTTAAATTCGCGTTATGGCACAAAACGGTTATAGGGCACCTTAAACAAGCTTATACTGACACCCTCTGGTAGCACTTCAAGCTCCAGAAGCATGGATAATGCTTTATCCCAAATCATAAACAGTACTGTATGTATATATATATATATATATATATATATATATATATATAATGTCTTGCCAAACGACGTTAGTGCCTGACCGGGATTCGAACCTTCAATCATTGGATTGAGAGTGAAGTGAATGAACTTCTATACCACGACACCTTAACCTCCACGTAATATGATTAAATGATTAAAGAGTTAATCTCTTGCCATATTTGCCAGGCATCACTTACTTCTTAAACATGATCTGCCCGTGAATCCGGCGGTACAGGAGCACGTGAAGTCTGAAAAGTCTTCGGCATCGATGCACATAGCTCCGTTCTGACATGGCTCGTTCTCACAGAAGCCTGTGTGATTCAAATATAATGATGATGATGATGATGATGATGGTGATGATTAGGGTAATAATAATATTAATGGCAAAAATAATAATTTAAAAAATAACAATAATGATAATATTAATATAATGATATGATTCAAATCATTCAAATGATTTTATTTCGCATGCAAAACATAATACAATGAATAATTATATTACAAAAATATGCAATGAAACGAAAAATATAAAAGAAAAAGCCCGAAAAAAAAGTGGAACTATCTCGAAGCAGAGCTTGTTGAAGTTTTAGTTCCTCAGATGCTGTTTTACAATATAACGTGAACAAAGTATGCTTAGAAAATCAATAAGTAGACAAAATATGTAGCTAAGAAATTATAGATTTTATGGGGAAAAAATTAAAGAGAGGAAAAAATAGTAGAAAGCAAAAAGAAAGATATTACAAAAAGGGAAAATGAATGATTGCAAAAGCTCTAGAAGAAGGAGGTTGGATCAGTAGAAAGAGGGAGAACGATACTGAGCCGAGAGTCAAACAAACCGAGATATATAAGACTAATAATACGTTTGTTTATCCAGAGAAGCCCCACACCCCAAAAGATTTTTTTTTTATTTTTTAGAAATCCCTGTTATCCAGACTCTTCATACTTAACTGTATAAAACATAAATTTTTCTGTTTCGGAATTTAAAAAAGTGTGAATCGAAGTGGCTATTTTCCTTCGATCTTGTACCTCTTGGGATTTTGTTGTCATGTTTGCATGTTGTATTTTTTGTTGAAATTTGAATATCACTGTGATGTAGCCTTGCTCTCTGTTCTCTATCCCAAGTTTCCAGGCGGAGGATCCACGGGCCGATTCTACCAGCCCGCCCCCCCCCCTACTCAAACGGTAAAAAAATAGGATAGAAATGTAAATTATACTCTTTTTTTTACTGAGTCGGGGCAAAATTTATCCTCAAAAACTGGACAAAAAAAAATGTGCTCTTACCCACCCACCCCTCCCCCCCCCCCCGCTTAGTCACCGGCCGGCTGAGTCGGCGCAAAATAGTTTCTCAAGATTTGGTCGTTTAAAAAAAAGTAGAAAGTTATGAACTATGTAATGACATGATAAGCTATGGAAAACTGTGAACATTACAAGACAAATTGCCAACGTGATGGCATCATTCCCTTTCAACCCACCAATTATTTTTTCCTACATTGATAATACGAATTCTCTTTTTGACCAAGAATATGATTTCCCCGCAACATGAAAAAGTTAAGTTTGTAATGATATTTTTGTTTTGCATATAGACATTAAAGGTAAAGACCAGTTATGGTCATGCGATTGCATTGTGAAAGAAACGTTGTGGAATCGATCAGAAAAGGTTGATCATCTAGCATCTAGCATCTGCAAGGTTCTGGAATCATCAAAATGATAAGAAATTTGGCCCTTTCTTTGTAAAGTTACAAGCACTATACACAGAAAGATGTTTATGGGACTACCCTATATCTCTCACAGACCATGAGAGAAACAAATTTACCAAATATATGAATTAGTAGGCGGTTTCCCGGCAATTTTTTTATCATCATGTATTAGTCAAAACATATTCTTTCACATGATTGGTAATGAGAGCTTCCATTTCATTTCTTGAAATTGGGGCGTTTCCAATACTGGTCCTTACCTTTAATACGGAGTAATACTGTTAAAATCATGAACATTTCGATATATTTTTTTTAATATGATAAAAGAGTGATTATGAGAAATTAATTTTTTTTGTGTAATGATATATTTTTAAAATCATGAATACAAATGTTGTGAAGATGTAAATGGAAAACATATTGCTTCACTATGACTTAGTTTAGTTCAATCATATTCTTGGAAGAAAAAAAATAGAATTTGTATTGTAATTTGACAAACATTGTAAAAGTCTAACCTGAAGTCATTGTTACCGGTCCAACATCGTTTGAAATCGTACTCAAGGCTTCTAGAACACTGTTCAGAACATCGTCGAATATATCCAGCAGTTGTTCAGGTTCTCCAGAAAAGACAATGTAAATAATTATGAAGTCAACGTGCCAGCTGCCTTCCCTTTAAAAGGATAGAATAAAAAAGAGGGAAAAAAGAAGAAATGTTGTCAAAACCTTGATTAGACATTGATCTTTATGTCCCTCAACGACTAAAACTATTCTTTTAGCTAACTCTGCCCTATATATTGTGTAAAAGTTATGAATGAGATATTATTATACATTATGCAATTTGCTCTATTTTGATCGAGAGTGACCATGGCAGTGCAGAGTAACATGTTTTCCGTACCTGTTTGCAATAGATATGGTGTTGCACAAATGACAATTGTAATTTATATCTACATTTGCAATACTCTGGCCATCTCTCGACATGACACACAGATTATTTCGCGGAGTAATGTATTTAAATTGTGTACACGCGATGAGCTATATACATTCAACTTTTATACATTCTTGCATTTCAGTAGTCAGAATGCATATTTGATACTTTTCGTGTTTTTATGTGGGGAAATGTGGAGAAATGTTTTGCTTGCTAGTAACATCTCCCCTTCCAATGTGTACAATTAGGTCAAATGCTCTGTTTTATATCTTTGTATTCTAACTCTTATTGCAATAATATTATACAACAAGTGAATGTAATAGCTCGTCGCTAGGTAGACGTGTATAAATTTGAATAGATTTTGAATTACACAACAGTTCTACAAAACGTCTTCATATTTTTGATGACTGTCGGAGCTTCCTCGTCTCAGCATCAACGAACGTATGCCATATCATGAGGTTTCTTAATAAAATAAACTGCTCAACGATGGACAAATATGGCTGTCACTATTAGTAATGATAGCGACAAAATATCTATCTTTAACAAAGGCAAAGGGTACGAGAGCTCACAATGAGCAATTTGCATTGCAACGGATGAATGATGAAATCATATTAGCCTTTCATTAGCCACCAATACCGATTGGCACGACCACTATAGACTTGCCTAGTCTGTCGATCAGCACAAAAAATAGGCCCCAAGTAACAATAGGATTGCATCGTGCTATACAAAAGATTTGCATCCTATAAAGGCTTGTTCAGATATTGCGCAGTAAAGAGCGATTTTTTTTTTATTTAGTGTAACTGAATGGCAATCGCGCGCAACAAAGGACTCTGGACACTACTGCACATGTCTGTATATATCATCTTTTTCCTGAACATTATGAAATAAATCAGATTCCTTTGGCTGAAGTATTCCGTGAGAAATACAATGTGGTATATAAATAACATGTGTGTGGTAGGTAAGAGGGTGCCGTCTGTTAATTCGTTCCCATCACCTTACCGAATCTCGAGGATCTGAGCACCGGCATAGGTAGGATCATTTGCGTACTGGGCATCAATCTGTTTAAGGAGAATATCAAATAATGTAGTATTATTTACGGGTTTTAGATATTTCTTTTGAGATGTAGCATCAGGGTGAAATATTTATGAGTAGTTTTGGATTCAATTTAATGCAAAAGTATTTATGAATTAATGACAAGAACATAACTCCATCCCCAAAAATAAATAAATAACATTGGCGCCAGGTGAACATTATGTATGCGGTTCTAGAAATATAAAATACAACTTAGGTAATCCCGATATCTACCCCCATGAATTAATGTACCTTTCATTTGCCACCAGTGTCGATTGACATGTATAGGATATGGGTGGACATTTAACAGCTAAATTATTCACACCCTTACCAAGATTTTTAATCATTCATATGTGAAAATTGATTTATCCTGATTTATGTTTTTTGAGAATGTGACAAATCAAAGCTTACATATAAGATTATTCACCAAAGGCCATAATTCAACTAGTCCACCTTTCATTCTTAAGTTACAAAAACAAAAAAACATCGAATTACATGGAGTATGACAAATGCAGTTGGTAACTTATGTATATGTATGTAACACTCACACGCACACGCAGACACATACGCGCACACACACAATGCGTATATACCTAAATGAAATTGATTCCTTTACATGTGACAGACAACGATAACATAAAGAAAAAATAGGACATGAGACAAGGTTGAACACTTGCATCAAGTAAATGAGAATGGGTATAACCAAGACAGACACGATATGTGTAAGACGAGATAATATATATACAAGCATTATAAAAGCATAGTACTTAAATTCTGTTTCCACATGTTGTAAATGATGGCGCTCCCCTATATGATCATTTCCATAAAATTAATTATTTACGGAATATGTTTTGCATATTCCTTCTTTAAAACGCATAAAACTTTTCTAAGTAAATACTTCCTTAAATGAATTGGAGAAGGAATTTGACATAATAATCACTATATAAGCCGTGGGGGCGCAATTGGACGGGTACAGGTAGGTGTTTTTTGTGAGGTGAAGCTACGGTCACAAAGGTTCGTACGAACGACAATTTCGTACGAATCTCCCTGCTTTTCCATTGTCTTCCCGATTTTCCATTGTCTGAAAATCGACCGTACGGCGTTCAAAGCAGTTCGTAATGGCATTTGGGACCGAGGCTTTAATGTACTATATCTGAAGAAATTTCGCTATTATGTTCAAAAGGAGTGTCACGTTGGAAAACGCAATCAACGGTTTTATCAAAATATCCTTTTTTCTTTCATTAAACTAGGAACTAAATAAAACAAATTATAGCGTGTACTTGTGACAGAGAGAGAGATAGAGAGGAAGAGAGAGAGAGAGATAGGGAGCGAGAGTGAATGTGCCATCGGTGGATGTAATTAGTATAGAAATTATACAGTGTCCCGCGAAGCATTGAATGTGTTGTCACGGGTTACTGTCTGAAAAGGTTGAGCCTACCATTGAAAGGAAAGTGGAATGGCATTACACCTGTTGTAGATGGGAAGTTTTTTTGTTTGTAGTTGACTGTATATAATGTACTGGAGTAACAGTGGCTAGGGACACACCCAAAGAAGTTGGCTTGGTGTACGGAGGTCTTAGTGTACGTAGCAGCTTGCTTTAAAGCAATATAGCTAGCTGCTTGTCAACACATTGTAGAAGACAGGTTGAGAAAGATGTGGCTTCGTGCTTTATAAGTTTTGATACATGAGAATTTGCAGCTTTAAGTAGAACCGATACTTCCCATCGGTAAGTGAAATCATGATATTGTATTATTTATTTTACTACATTGATGATTGTATAATCTTGTACTCTAATGAAGGGTGGCTTATTTAAAATGACAAATTTGAAGTACGAGAAAGGTATAACATGTTGTTTCACCTTTTGTTATCAATTAATTTTTGGGCAAAGAACTTAATGATTAAGAAGAGGAAAATATTTACAATTTGTATTGATGCATGTTTCACCTAGAAGAAGAATCTATAGTAGAGAAATGTTTGTGCCTGAACTCTTTACATTTTAGATGGCACAGGGGCTTGGGAGACAAGCTGAGATTTCTACGACTACGAGAGTTGATGCGAGACGGGACATTCGGACACGTGACCGACAGATCACCAAGAACATGGCGTCTTCAGTAGAGAACGCAATATGAACATTACGGTGAGCGATAATGGTGCCGATTATGTTGACGAGACTATTATGGAACTTGAGATAAATAGTTCGTTGAACTTGAAAGTCACATCTAAAAAGATGTCATAGGCTTAGCAGAGCCAATTGGACTATTTCGTGTTTGAGTGTGTATTGTTGATGCATGCATTGTATAAAGACGACTTTGAAAGATGTAATCAAGGGTGAAGTTAGCGGACAATACAGGTCTGGAGTTAACCGTTCACGTGACAAGAAGTCAGTTTTTGATTATTTTGAGAAGAGATCATGATATTTGTGAAGGTATAATTTGTTAAAGTTGATAACTAAATAAACGACAATATACTGGTCTGTTTATTGATGTTAAGGTAAAGTATCTCAAGAACGAGATGTGTATGAGTTAATTGTTTAAGCTACAGATGTGCTATATATATATTTAGACAATTCAGGTCTGTTTATATATAACATTATTGGTGTAGAATTCATGTATAACAAATTATAGAAAGATTTAATACATGTTACAAAGGTGTTGATCATATATTTGATTGATAAGGTTGATTTTATTTTGATGGGACCAAGTGTTTTTGGAACGAGATTGTAAGAGGATATATATTTCGTTCGTACCATTCTCTTTTTGTCGGAGAATGGTACTATTCTTTGCTTTATAATAAAGCTTGATTATAATTACGAGTATCGTAAATGGCATGTGTTTAGGCTTTTTTTATTTTGAGTGTACCATGTGACAAGGAGACTACCTGAAAAAAGAACAAAGGAGACAAATCACTTACGGCGCTTGTGATTTCGACCACAGCTTCCATATACGCCATAGACTTGTTGTCTCTCAGCTCTTCAGTGAACTGTTTATCATCAAGGATCACATTGAGATTCACGGTAGCCATTGTGGTATTCTGTTGCATATCTATAAAAAAAAAATGGACGTCATTCAAATCCTGAGAATAATGCTTAAGTGCAACGAAAATATTATGCATTGATAATTACATTAACATTATAAGGTCACAAAGCAAAAGATAGTAGAACTTTTGATTCGGCAAAAGATATGTAGAACACGAAGGATCTTGATGAGAGAGAGTGAAGAAAAAAAAACACCTAGTTGGTTAATCGTAAAGATATTGTGAAAGAAGAGATATTTCCTTCTGTTTGCATTAATTTCATGTTGGACAGCAATTCGATGAATGTTCAAAAAAATTGTATAAATATTGGAATTTCTTAAGGTCTTATCCGTATGATAACATGATTGCTTAGCATAACGTTATGCATAACTTAATGATGAAGTAATGCAGAATATATAAGAGAACAAAAAGACAGGATATATTTTCCATTAACTCTTCTCCTTTTGAAGGTCTAACTTATTATTTTAGTTATTAAATGAACCAGGCTAAAGCCATGCATGTGAAAAACGGAAAAACTCAAACGTGCAATCTCACCAACTTTTATCTATTATATATTCATGATAATACAAAGGCAAACTGTGCTAACTGCTGTTTAGGTTCGTCAAATTGACAAAGATTCTTTTAGT